GCGCCACCGAAGGCAGGAGACCAAGCGGGCACGGCCAAGGGGGAGGCTGTGGCTTCCGAAACAGCAGCACCCGTGGGTCCTAGGAGGGCTGCGCGGTCAGACCTGGGGGCCCTGCTAAGGTGTCCCCCCCTCCCGTCCAGGACCCAATCCACCTCGAGCCATGAGCCTGAGCATTCAGTGCCAGCAGCTGAGCGACGCCCGGTGGACGGAGCTCCTGCCCCTGATCCAGCAGTACGAGGTGGTCAGGTAGGCGCAGCCCGGCGCCGGGCCCCACGGGGGGTGCAGTCCCCTCCCGCCGGGTGTGGGGCCGCCCCGAGCCGCCTGCCTCGCCTTCCCCGGGCTTGGCAGGCAGGAGCGGGGGGGGGGGGGGGGGGGGGCGCCGCCTTTCCTCCTCCTACCCGAGTGCGTAGGTTTACGGAAGAGCCACAGGGATTGTGAAACAGGGACCCCCGCCGCCTGGACGCGGATGTCACCAGCTCTGCTTTAATTTTTTTTTAAGATTTTCTTTGTTTATTGAGGAGAGACCCAGAGAGGAGGCGGGGACACCGGCCGCGGGGGAAGCGGACTCCCTGCGGGGAGCGCGATGCGGGACTCGATCGGGGGACCCGGTCACGCCCTGGGCCGAAGGCGGCGCTGAACCGCGGAGCCCACGGGCCGCCCCATCACCAGCTCTTCTGCTTGTTGTGTCCCCCAGGGCTGGGCGCGCGGGTGCAGAGGGCGGCACCTCCCTGTCCTCGCCCGCCCACCTGCGACGTGCGGCCGCTCCCTGTCTCCGCCCCCTCCGGGCTGTGGGGCTGGGGGGGGTACCGGCGGCCCCTGGGGCGCCATGGGCTCGCCCCTGCGGGCACCTTGACCGCCTCTGCACCCCGGCGCCCCCGTGTCCTGGTGGCGGGTACACACGGTGGACGCGAGGCCGAGAGCTCTCGTGCTGGTCGTGGGGGTCTCGGAGAACGGTGGTTGCTGGGCCTTTGCTTAGTTGGGATCTTTGATTTCCTCACTTACCTGTTGCCGTTCTTTTTTTTTTTTTAATTTTTTTTATTTATTTATGATAGTCACACAGTGAGAGAGAGAGAGGCCAGAGACATAGCAGGGAGAAGCAGGTTCCATGCACCGGGAGCCTGACGTGGGATTCGATCCCGGGTCTCCAGGATCGCTCCCTGGGCCAAAGGCAAGCGCCAAACCGCTGCGCCACCCAGGGATCCCATCCTGTTGCCGTTCTTTTGTGGGCAAGAGCTGGCTCTCCTCCCACCTGTGCATGTCGGGTTTTTCATTTGGCCCCGGGTTGCACGCCCATCTCGGCGAGACCCTCCGGTTTTGTTCTCTATCCAGCGCTCCTGCGGTTGGTTTTCCCCTCGAGCTCGACCAGAGCTTTCACTTGCTCACCGCCTCCCAAAGCGAGCGTAGTAGGTGCCCTGACGTGCATCTGCGCACGTGCCAGGGTCTTTGACAGAAGCTTTCCGAGACGATCCCTACACTTTTCTGTTATTTATTCATTTAAACTGGGCTCCACACGCAGCATGGGGTGTGAACTCACTGTCTCGAGGTCGAGTCTGCCTGAGCCCGCCAGCCGCCCCTGTTTCATTTTTAAACGTCTTGGTTGTGATCTACCGTGTGGAGTTCTTGGCCCATGAACGGGCCGGGACCCGCCGTGTGAGGTGACCAACGTCCCGTCCACAGGCTGGATGACTGCGGCCTCACGGAGGTGCGGTGCAAGGATATCAGCTCTGCCCTCCAGGCCAACCCGTCCCTGACCGAGCTGAGCCTTTGCACCAATGAGCTGGGTGATGCCGGCGTGCACCTGGTGCTCCAGGGCCTGCAGAGCCCCACCTGCAAGATCCAGAAGCTCAGGTGAGCCCGTAGGAGCCACATGGTCCCAGGTGCTTGGCCCAGTGCAGGCTCGGGTCTGGACGGCAGCTGCGGCTGGGCAGGAGGCAGCACGGGGCTTCAGCCGCAGGTCCTGGGGGAGGGGCCCTGTCCCTCGGGGTGTGCCCACCATCCAGCCCGCCTGTCATTGCTGGGCTCCTGGCTCAGCCTCCCTGGGGCCTGAGGTGCATGTGAGAAGCCCCTTGTGCTCTCGGTCCTTGGCCTGGGGGAGAGGAGGGGCGTGCCCTCTTCCAGGGCCAGGCTTGGGGGCCTCCTGTGGGCAGGGGTGGCAGGGGCAGTGGTGGCTCCTGAGGACAGAAGGGTGGCTTGTGTGGGGGCCACAGCTGATGGGGGCCTGCTGGCTTGTGGGGACCCTGCTGATGGGCGGATGGGTGCTCCAGCCTCCAGAACTGCTGCCTGACGAAGACTGGCTGCGGGGTCCTGCCCGCCGTGCTGCGCTCCATGCCCACCCTGCGGGAGCTGCACCTCAGTGACAACCCGCTGGAGGACATAGGCCTGCAGCTGCTGTGCGAAGGGCTCCTGGACCCCCAGTGCCACCTGGAGAAGCTCCAGTGAGTGTGGACCCACCACACAGGCCACCCCTAGCCCCGCACCCACCTGTCCCTGTGGTTTTGGCCGAGCCCCTGCCCCAGCACATTGGCTGCACGGAGCTCCGAGGCAGGGGCGCTCCGGGACCTGCAGATTCCTCCTCTGACGCGGGGGCCCCGAGCTGGAAGCCAGCCTGGAACCCCCACATCAGGTGTGGGGCGGGCTGGCCACCGCGAGTGTGGACGGGCTCAGCGAAGGAGAAGGAAGCCAGATCCAGCTCTGGACACTGCTCCAGCGGATCGCAGGCTTGGCGGGGGGCTCGTGGGGGTGGCTGGCCTCCAGGAGGCTCAAGGAAGTGGCCCTTAGCCATGGCTGTGCCGTCCCCGCCGAGCAGCCCTCCGGTCTCAGGGCCCCCTCAGGGCCCCCTCATGGCCCGAGGCAGGAGAGGAGACCCGGACAGTGCCCGGCGGCTGGAGTTCCTGACACCTGCCCGTCCCCAGGCTGGAGTATTGCAACCTGACGGCCGCCAGCTGCGAGTCCCTGGCCTCGGCGCTCAGGAACAAGCAGCACTTCAAGGAGCTGGTGGTGAGCAACAACGAGATCGGTGAGGCTGGCGTGCGGGTGCTGTGCCGGGGCCTGGTGGAGTCAGCCTGTCAGCTGGAGACGCTCAAGTAAGCCAGGGTGGGGCTGCAGGGGGGCTCCGGGGGGGGCTGTGGATGGATGGGTGTGGGGAGGGGGCTGCAGGGGGGCTGCGGGGGCTGCGGATGGATGGGGTGGGGAGGGGGCTGCGGGGGGGCTGCAGGGCCCCCCGCCCAGCCGGCCCTCCCATGCCCCCAGGCTGGAGAACTGTGGCCTGACGCCGGCCAGCTGCGAGGACCTGCGCGCTGTGGTGGCCTCCAAGACCTCGCTGCGGGAGCTGGACCTGGGGGACAACAAGCTGGGTGACCAGGGCATTGCGGTGCTGTGCCCCAGCCTGCTGCACCCCAGCTGCCAGATCAGGGTCCTGTGGTGAGTCGGCTCCGCCCTGTGCCCGCCGCCTGCCTGCCCTGTGCTGAGGGCCGTGGCCTGGGCAGTGTCAGGAGGTGACTGTCCCGCCCCGCAGGCTCTGGGAGTGTGACGTCACTGCCACCGGCTGCAGGGACCTGTGCCACGTGGTCAGCGCCAAGGAGAGCCTGGAGGAGCTGAGCCTGGCGTGCAATGCGCTGGGGGACGAGGGTGCGCGGCTGCTGTGCGAGAGCCTGCTGGAGCCCGGCAGCCGGCTGCAGTCCCTGTGGTGAGCGCCGTGGGGGGGAAGGAGGGGGCTGTGCTCCATCCACAGGGCCCCGACCGCGTGTCTGTGTGTCTCAGGGTGAAGTCCTGCAACTTCACGGCCGCGTGCTGCCACCACTTCGGCACGATGCTGACCCAGAACAAGTGCCTGGTGGAGCTGCAGCTGAGCAACAACAAGCTGGGGGACTCCGGCGTCCGGGAGCTGTGCCAGATGCTGGGCCAGTCGGGGACCGCGCTGCAGGTGCTCTGGTGAGCCACCTCCCCGTGCGCGTGCTGGTGCGCGGGGCCCCGGGCCCTCTGCCCCGCTCTTGCGGGTCCGTCCCGCACGTCCCGCGCCTGCGGGGTCCCGGCTCCTTCGCTGGGCTGGCCGCTGGCTCGTGCCCAGTGTGGGGGCCTCTGCGGCTCTCCTGACCTCGTTTCCTCCGTGGCGCCCGCGGGGTCCGAGCTGGGCCACCCGCGCCGTGTTTTCTCTGTTTTCTGCATGGAGTTCCGCTTCTCACGGGGGCTCGGGGCTGCCCGGCCGTGCGGGGTGGGAGGGGCCCGGCCTGCCCTTCTCCGGGTGTCCCGGCCGTGTGGCCGCCGCACCTGCAGGGGGAGCTGCGTGCACCTCTGGCCTTGGGCGGGGCCGCCTGCCGGGGCTCGCTGGGAGCAGCCGTGACCCTGGGGCTCAGCGCGCCCGGGGCCCAGCGGACCTCGTGGTGCGGGGCCGCCCCACGTCCTGTGGCCTGACCTGTGCCCCGCTCTCCGCCCAGCCTGGGGGACTGCGACGTGGCCAACGATGGCTGCGCCAGCCTGGCCTCGCTCCTGCTGGCCAACCGCAGCCTGCGGGAGCTGGACCTCAGCAACAACCGCATGAACGACCAGGGCATCCGGCGGCTCATGGAGAGTGTGGAGCAGCCGGGCTGCGCGCTGGAGCAGCTGGTGTGAGTGCGGGCGGGGCCTCGGGGGCGGGGCCGGAGCAGCTGGTGAGTGCGGGCGGGGCTGCGGGGGGCGGGGCCTCGGGGGGCGGGGCTGCGGCGGGAGCAGCTGGTGTGAGTGCGGGCGGGGCTGCGGGGGGCGGGGCCGGAGCAGCCGGTGTGAGTGCGGGCGGGCGGCGGGGGAGGAGGGGGTGGCGCTCCCCCACCCGGCCCTGACCCTGCGGCCTGCTGCCTGCGCAGCCTCTACGACATCTACTGGTCCCAGGACATCGAGGATAGTCTGCGGGCCCTGGAGGAACGGAAGCCCAGCCTGAAGATCATCTCCTGAGCAGCCCCCCCACCCGCCCCCCACGTCCTAGCTTGGAGTACACAGAAATGCTCTAATCAACTCAGTTCTGCAACAAAGTTTTAGACACTTTATTAAAGCACTTTTTTTGGCAGAAGGGGTGCCTGTCCTTTCTGTGGGGGGCACACTGGGCGTGGCATCACACGTGTTCACAGGTGTGTGCATGCGCACGCGCCCAGGACCGCCGCCGCCCCCAGCGGGCACAGCTCCCGGCCCCACCCCCTGCACACGGCCGCCCCTCCCCCAGGAGCCAGTGCGGACCGCGCCCCGCTGCTTCACTTGTTCGGTTTGCTCGTGAAGACGACCCTCCACCCCGCCGCCGGAGAGCCCGGCCCTGCTGCCCGCCCACCGCTCTGCGCCTCTGCTCCTCGAGGGGCGTCGGGGCCCGCGTGCTCAGACCTCCCCGTCCAAAGCCGCTCGGGTGTTCCTGGATGAGCGGGGGCAGCGGGCTGCGGGGCAGTTAGGGCCTCCCAGTGGCCGCAGGCCCGGGGAGCAGGGACAGGCGCTGATGCCTGGGCTGGGCCGCAGGGGCAGAGGGGAGTGGCTGCCCAGGGTCAGCCCGGGGGGGGGGGGGGGGGGGGGGCCCGCAGCCACACACGGTCCACGCCCGTGCACACACCACACACGCGCACAAGCCCGAGCCGCAGGGCCCCGCTGTGCGCAGGGGACGGGGCAGGGCCCCTCGGGAGCCGGTCCTGAAGTGCGTCAGCTTGGGGCCGGCGCCCCCTCCGCCTCGGCCTCCGCGGGCCCTGGGGGGTCTCCTGGCTCAGGCAGGTGCCCGTCTGCGGTGCTGACAGCTCTGCCCGGGTCGCCCCTGCTCTGTTGCTTCTGCCGCCGGGTCTCCTTGTACCTCAGGGTGATGTCCCTAGGGTCCGAGGGAACCACATCACCGGCCCACCATTGCAGGGACGCGCCTGTCACCAGGACGGGCCAACGGCCCATGCGGCTCCCCTGAGCGCCCCACACTCACCGCAGGAAGAAGCGCCAGATGGTCCAGGTGAGCACGAGCACGGAGCCAAGCGTCCAGCACTGGGAGATGTAGAAGGGCAGGGACAGCGTGAGCGTGTGTGGGTCATACTTCACCACGATGAGCAGCTCCGTGGCCGTGATGGCTGCCACCAGCCAGGCCTGCTGGCCCAGCTTCTTGTGGAGCTTCCTGCGGGGAGGGCACCGGCTGAGGGCGCCGCGGCCGGGCCCCGGGGTCGGCAGCACCACGCGTGCCCAGGCCCGCCCCGCCCACCCCGGGGCCCTCACGGGTCATCCATGAAGTCGTAGATCTCCCGCATGGCCACACCACCCACGTTGACGAAGAAGACCAGCCGCAGCAGGACCAGGTAGTGCTCCGGGGGCAGCCACAACACGAACTTCAGGTAGAACGTGTTCAGCTCTGCCAACAGAAACTGGGGCCAGAGAAGGGTGGGCGGGGGCCTGGGCTGCCCGGTGGGTGCACCCACGGGACCTGCCAGCCTTACCACCAGGATGATGCCGCACACGGCCAGCCAGCGGCGCAGGCTGGAGGCAGGCTTCCACTCGAAGCGGACCCAGCTGTAGGGCGTGAACTGGAAGGCGATCCTCTTCATCTTGCCTCTGGGGGCACAGCAGGCTGTCACCCGGGGGAGCACCTGCCCCACCCGTGGCCGTGCCAGCCGCTCGTGCCCCGTGCCCCCCCAGTGCCCTCTAAGCGCTGCCCGTACCCCTGAGGGGGGCGGCCCGGGGAGAGGGGAGCCGGAGAAGGGCCTGGGGGCTCCCGGGGCCCAGGGGCAATCCTGGTCCACAGCCCCTCCCAGAAGGTGCCCCAGCGCCACTTCAGGCCCCCGGGGACCCCCCAGCAGGAGGCTGGGGACGCACTTGTAGGTAGGGATGTTCCACAGGCCCTGCCACTTGTATGTCTTCATCGACAGCCACTCGAGGGTTTTCATGCCGCAGTAGATGCCCAGCCCGTTGCAGACGAGCACATCCATGATCCACTGGGGGCAGAGGCCGGAGGTGAGCAGCGGTCCTGCCCCGCGGACGGCCTCTGCGCCCCGCGACCCCCAGGGTGGCTGCTGGCACCTACGTGATCCCACCAGCACTCGCTGAAGTTGGGCAGCTGGTGCTCTAGGCTGTACTCCAGGAACTCAAACATCACGCTCACGATCGTGCACATCCACCAGTCCCGGATCATCAGGGTCTGGGGCCGGGCACCACATCAGGCCCTGCAGGGCGACCCCGAGGCCTCACCCACCACACCCACACCCACACCCTGAGCGGCAGCAGGAGGCCAGGTCGGGCTCAGAGCGCAGGGCAGAGCCCGGAACCACCGTGTCCTTCAGACAGCCAGGCCAGGCCGCCTTACCTTCAGGTACCAGCCGAGGAAGTGCGCGGGCACAAAGCCGTCCAGCTTGTCCTGTGGGCGAGACACCTGCCTCATGCCCAGCCCACAGCCAGCGGCCCCTCGCTCCCTGCGGGCACCACGGGCCCCGCTCCCGCCCGCGCCCAGGGCTGCTGGGACTGCCCCCCCCCGGAGCAGCGCTGGCCGGCCCTGGGGGACAGAGCAGTGGGCGCCTGTAGCCAGGCCTGACCCCAGGGGGAGCGGGTACCCATCAGGGGGCCCCTGTGCAGACGGGGGCTCCAGAACAGGGCCGGCCAGCAGCGGGGAGCCCCGGAGCCCACCCTACCCAGACATTGTGGAAGGGGTCGCTCTCGTTGTGTGCGTCGTAGATGAGGCAGTTTCCCCCGTAGTCCCTCTCGGGCAGCGGCACGCCTAGCTTGGGGTCCACGTACTTCAGGAACTGGCGGCCATCCTGCACGGTCTGTGAAGCCAGCAGTGAGCGGGACCGGCAGACGGATGTGGGGGCCCCAGGCCGGGGGGCTTGCCGTTGGCCCTCCCCACATCCCCTCACGGGAGCACGGCTTCAGGACGCCCCCCAGACACAGGCGCCAACACTGCCCGCCAGCAGGCCGGGCTCCCTCCCACCCCCGCGGCCCGTCCAGCCACCAGCCTCGTCCCCTCGTTACTGCCCCGAGTACCAGCCGAGGGACGAAGTGGGGACGAGAGTGAGGGGGTGACCGGTGTCTAGGGCCGCCGGGTAGAGCATGCACACACCTGCATGTCACGTGACCCAGGCCACCTGTGCTACGCAGACGCATGGCCCTGTCCTGCAAGTGGACCTGGAGCCCAGCTGGGGTCTATGGAAGTGACACTTGGACGGACGGTGACATCACACAAAGTCACCCCGTGAGCTTGGGGACCATGGGACCTGAGGGTGGACGTGCTGTGTCCCTGCGTCAGCTCAGCAGCAGCCTGGAGTCACGGGCTCCACCCACAAGGTGACAGGTGTGCACACGGCGAGGCGCCGCTGAAGGCTGAGCAGCGACCCCTTCCACAATGTCTGAAGGCTGAAAAGTGCATAGCGCGAGGGCCCACCAGGGCGGGCAGTCCAGAGACGCAAACAAGCAGGACAAGTGGCGCACGGCCCGACGGCCCCAGGAAAGATCCTGACGGGCCAGGTGTGGCGGGAGCAGTCTGGCCGTGCCTTACACAGGCAGCACAGGCGACATGGCAGGCCCACACCCCCGATGCCCCCGGGGGGACACGGGCGCACGGCTCGGACGCCTTCAGGGGCCCAGGGGGAGGAGGACGGGCAGTGGGCGGCCCTGCAGGGTCACACGTGGTGTTGCCGTGCACAGAATTCCCCGCGTGAGCATGGACGTGAGGGCCAGCACCGCAGCCGGGCGGCTGAGAGCAAGCTGCTACTGCGGACCCCGCATGCCAGCAGCACGTCCACCGCACGAAGTAAACGGACGATGACACAATAGGCACAGGTGCCAGCACCCCTGTGCCCGGAGGGTCGAGTGGCCGGGCCACCTTCAGTGCCGAGTGCGGGGTGCTGGGTGCCGTGCGGCAGCAGGTGAGCTGGCCCCCAGGCCCGGGCCCTGGCAGCGTCCCCGCTCCCCGTGCAGGCTGACCAGGCAGGCCCCTCCTCCCCTGCTGGGTCCTCCCCCCTGTGCCCACCTCCCCGGGATCCCCCTCGCTTCCCCCCAAAGCTCCTGGGGCCGCACCGCCACCTGCTAGCTCACCTGGAAGAGGATGAAGATGAGGAACAGCTCGTAGACGACGCTGACGCACAGCCAGAACCGCCAGTATGCTACAAAGACAGCACGGGCGTCAGGAGGGCCCTGTGCCCCCTCCCACCCTCACCTGGTGTCAGCGCGGTCGTCTGGGCGTGACCCCTGACCTCTGTCGCTCAGCAAGTCTGCAGGAACCTTGTGTCCAGGTAAGGAAACCCAAGGCCAGAACGGGTTTCCCTGTGAATGGGCAGGAAATCCCCTTCCTCCTCCCTCGCGTCACCCCCCCCAACACCGTGAGGAACACACGGCACGTGTGGGGACTTGACCACCTGGATGGCGGGGTGCACCGACCTGGGCGCCACGACCTGCTTAGGGACCTCTGCGCCAACGCCCCCGCAGCCGACCCCGTGCACGTCCCTTCTCTTGACCCACACACTCAGGGCAGTTATGTCTCAGGGAAGCTGAGAACACACATCCCTCGGACCCTGTGATTTGCCAGGACCCGACCTCCGCCCGCTTCTCCCCAGGAGCGAGCAGCCAATGGGAGGGGGAGCCTGTGAGCCTAGAGCACAGGTGCTTTCTCCTCCCAAATCCTGACACTCCGGAGGAATAAAGGCCTCGAACTGCCCTTCCCCTGGCTCGTGACTGTTGAAGAAAACCAGCAGCCTGCTCAGTCCCCTCGAGGGAACAAGGTGGTGCTGGTGAACAAGGTGGTGCTGGCGGAGGAGAAAGAGACCGCGCCCAGCCTGGGAAACCAGGGCCGCAGGGGGGTGGGGTGGGGGTGGGGGGTCCATACACGCTCACAGGGGCTCCAAGCCCACCGGGGAACCAGGCCCATGCAGGCGGGGGGCGTGAAGGTGGACGGCTCTCAGGTTCTCCTGGGACAGGGACGGAGAGCACCCGACACAGCAGCCCCGGCGTCCTGGACTCCAGGAGAGGCCTGCATGCTCGCCCTGGCAGGGGTGCGGGCTGGAGCTAAGCGGGCCGTGGTGAAGCCACGCGGGGCCGCCCCCACCCCAGGGCGCACCCCAGCACATGCGACAGCACCTTCCTGTCCCCTCCCTGACCGCTGCCCCTGCTCAGTCTCCCACCTGCGGAGCCCCCAGGACCCAGACCCGCCACCCCCAAGCCACAGCAGGTGCTCCTCCGACGTTCCCACCTGACCCCGCACCAGCGGCAGCCCTGGCACCGCCCCGTGTGCCAGCCTGGGGGCCCTGCCGGCAGTAAACATCCTGAAGGGCGCCTCTTCAACGGGCTAGTTTCCCAGCAAAGTCCATCGCAAACAGCGACCCCCGGCCCCGAGCACCACCCCCTGGCCCCGAAGGCCCTTCCCGCTGCTGCCCATGGCAAGCCGCAGGGCGCTGAGCAGTCGGAGGCCTCCTGCCAGCCAAGGCAAGCAGGTGCTGCAGGACAGGCCCCACGGCCGCCCCGGCACAGCCCCATGGGGCACCGCGACCGCCAGGCCCCGCAGCTGCCCTGCCGTCCCCCCCGGGCGGGGTCTGGGCCCCCAAGGCACTGCGGGGACTGCCCACTCTTCCCCCTCAACCCAACAGGCATGCGCCGGGCCTCACGTCTGCCGTTTCTGTGGCCTGTACCCCGTGCCCTCTCTTGTCTGCAGCCCGCAGCGAGTCCAGGCCCCCGAGGCCCTGACCGCCATCACCAGCAGGCCCCGATGGGGGCAGCATGCTGGCGATCGGGCCATGCAGGCCCCACCGGCCCAGCCCGGGGCAGACGCACACACCGCGTGCAGAGTCCCCATGTCCCTGGACGGCCGGACAGGCCGCCGGTAAACACCTGGTTGTCAATGAGACACTAGGAAGACGTCTGTGTGAACCCGGAGCCAGGACGCAGCTTCAGGACATAAAGCCCCGCACGGGAGGCCCCGTGAAGAAACACGGAGACTTCGGAGACTTCGGTGGTTACTTGTCATGAACGGGTTTTGTTTCTGTTACGAGGTATCTCTCTTATTTGTCAGATGTTCTCAAGGAACATGCGCCCATCCACACAGAAAAAGACACCTGTTACTAAAGCTCCAAGACCTCGGGAAAACTGACCATGTCCCCCCAGGGGCAGCTCCCCAACGAGGCCGGAGCCCCAGACACCCTGAGGCTGAGGGAGGACCAGGGACAGGACGAGGCAGGGGGCAGGACAGAGGACGGATGGGGGGGCAGGACAGGGGGATAGGATGGGGGGCAGGGATGGGACGAGGGACAGGACAGGACAGGGGATGGGACAAAAGGAGACGGGACAAGGTGATAGGATGAGGGACAGGACCAGGGACGGGACAGAGGGATAGGATGGGGGGGTGTGGGAATGGGATGGGACAGGAGGACAGAGGACGAGACAGGAGGACAGGATGGGGGGCAGGGATGGGACAGGGGGATGGGATGAGGGACAGGGCCGGGGACAGGACAGGGGGATGGGACAGGGGACAAGACAGGAGCTGCCCGAGCGACGCTCTACAGTGAGGCCCCAGGGCTGCTGGAACTCCCCAATGTGGGGGTTGGGGACCAGAGACAGGAGGACTCATTGCAGGTGGCACGCGGCGAGCACCTCGATGGCGGGCAGCCGGGTACCTCGCTGTGTAGAGCGAACCCCCAGGATGGAGCGGGAGGAGGGGGAGCAGGAGGGCCCGGGTCAGGGCGAGGAGCAGAGGGATGGGGCGGTCCCGAGACAGGAGGGACTTCCAGGATCCTCCCCTCACCCTCCTCGACTGACAGGGGCCCGGCCGGCGGGGCTGGGGGACAGGACACGCACCCGGCAGCGCAACGTGGGGCGAGCACTCAGGACAGAACTGGCAGGTGGACGCACACGGACAGAGAGGCGAGTTACCTGGATGTGGTCTGGAAAACGGCCCGTCTTTAGCTTGTGTGACTCCAAAACATAAGAAAACCAAAATACTGGCCACAATACCTCTGCAAATAAAGAACAGACAGCCCCTCAGTGCGCGCCTCCAGGTGGGAGGGGCCCGGGGGGGTGCGGCCTGGGGAGGAGGCAGGCCCCCGGGGGACACAGCCCTACGTGGGGCTCGGGGTCGGGCTCCCCTCGAGCGTCCCAAGTGCGCAGCCGGGGTCTCCTAGGGGCGGGGCCACACGGCCTCCTGCTCCTCAGGCGATGCCACCCCCCGCTGCACCCCGCTGCCCCCGCACTGCCCCGACCCCACCCGCCCCGCAGGCCCGGCCTCCCCACCGGCCAGCACGGGCAAGAGTGCGTGCTGCTGGTTCCCGGGGGCCCAGAGGTGCCAGCCCAGGCTCTCCACCCGACACCTCACCCCGCTGCCCGCTAGTGCCCTTGGGCGTTGGGGGCGGCTGCAGAGGGGGGCGGGGGGGCTGCCCGGCCCCTGTAGGACATGAGCCTCCGCGTGGTCTGAACCAGCTCATGGCAGCCCTGCTCCCCGCTGATGCAGGAGGCCCAGAGGGACAGCCAGACGCTGGCCCCCGTGCTCAGCAGGCCGGGACCCACGCCCCAGCACAGGAGCCGCACGGAGGGCCCCTGGGGTACCCACCCCCCAAGGACACACCCTGGTCGGTGTGGGCTGGGGGAGGAAGTGCACACAGCTGCCTGGAGCAGCACAGGGACCCCCCCTTGGCCGCCACCCCGGGTGACACCCTCCACCCCGAGAGACGCCCCTCCTGGTGCTACCACGACACAGCTCTGGAGCCATGGGTGAGCTGCAGGGGGGTCACCACGCAGACAGAACAAGGGAGGCAAGGCCTCTGGGCCCCCGGGGTGCCAGGCCACCTCCCGCCTCCCCGGGTCAGCTTCACGGCGCCCACTTGGGCTCTGCAGCTCATGGCAGCTCAGCAGGCCTTGCCAGGCAGGCAGACACCGGAACCCCACCCCAACCCAGGCCCCAGGCTTGGCCGTGGCCACAGGTCTCCAGTCTGTGCTGGTACATCACCCACGTGCCCAGCTCCCCACTGTTCATGTGAAGCCCCCTTCTGCCCCAGAACAGCCTGTAGCCCAGGACCCCCCCAGGACACCGCCCAGGACAGCCTGTAGCCCAGGACCCCCCCGGGACAGCCTGCAGCCCAGGACCCCCCAGGACACTGCCCAGGACAGCCTGCAGCCCAGGACCTCCCAGGACACCACCCAGGACAGCCTGCAGCCCAGAACCCCCCCAGGACAGCCTGCAGCCCCGTCTCTATTGCTCACTGTCCTGTTTTCAGCTGTGCCCGGTGTCAGAGCTTTGACACGACCCTATCCTCCAGGCCTCAGTATTTTCTGAGCGCTTCCTTCCGGGCACTGGAGATCCCCAGACCCAGCCTGGGAATCCGCCTTCCTTCCAGGAGCCCTGGTTCCTCCACTGGAGGACGGTCTCCTCGCCACAGGGGCGTCGGAGCTTCTGGGCCCCTCGGCTGACAGAGCCGTGCGGCCTCACTGCGCCTCCAGGTGAGCCTGCGATGCTCCCCGAGTGGCCGTCGTCCACGTGAGGCCAGCGTCCCCAGCTCCCACCCTCATCCCGTGGACACCCTCCCCCTAGGGACACACCCGGTTCCCGCCTCCGCCGGCCACTGAGCAGCTCCCTCCGACCTGGGCTGTGTGGGCAGCGGCGGCAGAGCCATGGACGGGACACCCCGCGGGAAGCCCCCGCGTCCAGCAGAGCCCAGGGTGGGGGGCCGCGGCCCCAACAGGAGCCACTCACTCTGTCCCTGGTGCACATTAGGTCTCCCGGGGCTTGCCGTCGTCTGCGCGCTGCCAAGTCCACCAGGACGGCGCCAGGCAGGGCGGCGTTAGCCCCCACCCCTGCTCAGCCACTCGCCCCAGCACCACGCCTCCCACCACCTTCGCCAGCACGGGCCCTTCCACACGGCCCTTCCACATTCTAAGCTGCTCCTCAGTGTCAGCCTTGTCTTCGTCATGTGGCAACACCCACCCCACCCACCGTTAACCAGTCAGCGCGGAACCAGACGCCAGCACAAGGCAGGTAACCCCACGGACCCCCTCCGTTCCCTTCTCTGCTCCTGATGTCCATAGGGCCACGGTCCTGTGGTCACCAACTGTCTTTCCCCGCAGCTCGCAGAGTGCCTCCGTTGCGGGGGGGGGGGGGGGCGCGGGACACCATCCAGCCACGAGTCACCGGAAGCCAACTGCATCTCTGCACCTGCTCACAGACTTTTATCATTTAACGGCTCGTAGCCCAGTTCCCTCCGCTGGTTAACCACAGCGTCTGGATGTACCTGGTTTGTTGGTCCATCTGCCCGCTCAAGGTGGAGCTGCTCCACGTCCGGACTATTACGGATACAGCGGCTCCGACATCCATGTGCAGAGGTTTGTGTAGACTGGAGTCTTCCCTTCCCTGGGATGGACCCCTTGGAGCCTGATTACTGGATCACGTGGTAGGAATCAGTCTAGTTCCGCCACAGACCCTGGAATTCCGGTGTCCTACCCAAGAGGTACCCTTGGGCGCCTGGGGGCTCAGGTCATGGTCCCAGGGTCCTGGGATCGAGTCCCACGTGGCCCCTGCTCCGCGTGGAGCCTGTGTCTCCCCCCTCCCCCACCCATACGTGCACTCTCACTCAAAAAAATAAAATCTTAAAAATAAGTAGTCGCCACCAAATCCAAGGTCACCAGCTTCTCTACTGTTTCTGCCAGAAGTCTTAGTTTCTTATCTTACGTTTAGGTCTGTAACCTATCGTCAGTGACTGTGAAAAGTGCACAGTCCGGGCTTCCTTGCTGTGGGTGTAAACGTCCAGCTGCTCCAGCTCCGTGTGCGGGAAAGACTCGCGGCCCCGAACTGCCTCCGCTTCTCTGCCCGCAGGTGCCCTAGTCTGCTGCACTGGCCGCCGTGCTGACCCACTGGCCTCATCCCTGCCGCCTGTCAGCGGGGCCAGGTCATCCCTGCAGCCCTGCTCTCCCCCGTGTTCCCAGAACATGTTCACGGTTTACGCACACTTGCTTATCTTTGTACCCGAACGTACACAGCACACGTGTGCGTACACATCCCAGGTGTGCCCTGTGGGACGGTGGGTCAGTAAAGCGCGGCCCACCCCACAGAACACTCGCCAGCAACGGAGCGGCGTGCTGGTCGGTGACTCTGCGTACGTGAGCCCTCCAGCACACGAGGACTCCGGGCCGCACCTGCACACATGCAGTCTGTGACACTCGCTGAGCTGTAGACTCTAATCGGACACGTGTTGTATGAGATCCCTGGTCGATCAAGTTAACCTCAGAAGAAAAAACCTACTCCCCCAAAATAAGACAATTTCCCAGATCCATGAAAAGAACGACCTAGAAGCCGAAATCGAGAGCTTAAGGAAAACAAACCAATTTCCTACATCTTAAACAATGCAGACGTTATTTTTTTCTTTCTAACAATAGGCCTAATTTTTAGAAGCACTTTGTTTCAAGGACACGCCAGCCTGCGGCATCAAAGCTCTGACAGGGGAAGGGGCCGGGCTGGGGCCCTGGGGCCAGAGCCGCCCTGGAGGCAGCAGCAGAGCCACAGACAGCGTGAGGACTGGGGGGGGGGGGGGGAGCATCACAGGTCCCAGGCTCACCCAGGAGGGACAGGGACCGGCCACGGAAGTTCCAGTGTCCTCGGCGCACACAACCTCAGAGCAGGAGTCTAGGGGCCTCCAAGCCCCAATCCCCCGAGTCCCCCCGCAGGGAGCTTGCTCCAGGGTGGCTGCGGTGAGCACCGGTGAACAGGTGGGACAGGCCCACGGGGTCGACCGCTGCTACCTCAGTGCTCGGGCTGCAGGGCCCCGACAGGCTCTAGTGGGAACCGCTGCCCCACCCCAGGAGGGCACTGCTCGGATGCCCCACGTGGGCCCATGGGGGCTGGGTTCCTGCTCTGTGACGACTCTGGCCTGGAACTGCCCGTCGTTGGTCTAACTTCACAGCCCCGGGGACACCTCTTCAGTGTGACAAGTCCCGCTTCCTGCTGCCCCCTGCCCACCCGTGCCCAGCGGGTACTCATGGGCAAACCCACAGAGAAGGCCACGTTCTACTAGCAAATAACCACTAAGCGAACTCAGGCTCCCACCACAGCCTCCCTGTCTGCTGCATCCTCAGGCTCAGAGTCCCTGGTGCAGAGCCCAGCGCAGCGAGAGCAGCCTCGGGCCACAGGGGGGCCAAGCTTCCTCCTCTACCTCTGGACTCTGACCCATGCACGGTGCACCAAGCGGCTCCCCCTGTGCCAGGGGGGCACCGAGCAACGGGCAGTGCAGAGATGCATTAGACCTGGAGCCTGACACCCAGGGCTCAGAAAAAAAGAGGAAGGCACAGCAAAACCACCTGGCAGACAGGTGGCAGAAGAGGGAGGAAAACCTGCAGAGCCTGCAACCAGGAGCCAGGGCGCCTCCCAGCTGGGGACAAGGCGTGGGCCCTGACAGAGCTGCAGCCTCAGGACCAGATGGGGGCTGTGAGGTGCCGCACACACGGGCTGCCAGGGAGCCCCAGCACCCAGCCCCCACACGGGCTGCCAGGGAGCCCCAGCACCCACCCACATGCTGGTGCTCACGGCACCCTCCCAGGCCGATGCTGACACCCCCACTTTACGAGTCCCGGCCCCAATGACCAAGTCTGACCCGTGGTCTTCTGGCGCTGCACTCTGCCCATCCCGGCCCTGGCACCCCGTCCCACCGGAGCCAGTGGGTCAGAGGAGCAACCGGGGCTTCAGAGGCCTGAGGAGCCCCCCCCCCGCGCAGAGACCTCACAGCACTCAGCTCTACAGCCAGCGCATTGCCCCGCACACGCTTGAGGGTGGCCTCAGAATCTGTGGGATTCTGGCAAAGAAGCACCCACCAGCTAGTCCATTCTGCAGAGAATCCTGAAAGGGAGTCCGTCCACTTCCTGACCTGCAGGATGACAGGCTTTCCACAAGAAAGCTTGTTTACAATTTTCAGAAAGCATTATTATCAACAAAGCTCAAGAACGGTGCTGGCCGATGGGAGGCTCGTCTCTGACCACCACCAAAGCCTGTACGCCCCAGACGCCACTCACAGGCTCTGTGATCGTGATTTATAAGACATATAAACTTGGGGGGACACAAACCAGGGGCCGCCAGACGCCTTGGGCCCATTGCACCCCATCAGAAAGGGGCCAGGATGATGCTTTGCCCGTTGACATATTGTGATACTGTGACTTATAAGACATATACTTATCTTCATCCCATTTTTGGCACAGAACCCCTAAAGCCTTGGGAATTTCTCAAGTGATCAAGGGGTTTTTGTTATGTTAATGAGGCGGCTTCCCTGACTGCCAGGAGAGCCAAGCACCAGGCAGAGGGCTGGTTCTCTCCCAGCCCGGATCCTGGGGATGGCCCCTGGGAATGGCCGCAGGGCTCAAGGCTGAGTTCAGTCCCTAAAGGCCGACGACTGAGTCAGTGCTGGCTGAGTGACGAAGCCTCCGTGGAACCCTAAGGGCGAGGTTCTGAACCTCTGGCTTGGGGACCACAGGCCGACATGGGGACAGTGCTGTGCCTGGAATGGCCGTGGATGTCTCCCCACCCCTGGCCCTGGCGTCTCTTCCATCTGGCTGCTCCCGACCTGCGTCCTTTCATGAGCCACTGGGGATGTGGGAAGGAGAACGTCTCCCGACTCCGTGGACCGCTCTCACGAATCAGTACAACCAAGAGGTCACAGAGGGCTCCAGTGGGCCCCACGTGGTCAGAGCACAGGTGCGGCCCCGGCTGGTGGCTGGGCCCTGGAGTGGTGACGAGGGTCCAGGGACAGTCTGATAAAAATGAACCCTGGCCCGTGCAACCTGCTGTGCCCTGGGGCAGAAGGTGTCAGGACGGAGCTAACTCTAAGTGGTGCCAGGGCCCTGCTGGTGGGGTGTGTGGGGAAACCATCCCTCCCATCAGAACTGGTGAGCAGAACCCCTTTCTGGGCTCCATCTCTGGTGGTACCGCAGCACATTCTGTGCAAACCCCACACGGGCTGCAGGTCCCATGAGAGATGGGCCCCTCGAGGGTCCTGGGGCAGGTGTAGGGGGGCTAGAAACCTCAACAGCTCCAAGAGGCAGCTGCGAGAGATGCCTCAGGCACGTGCAACGGGGAGACTGGGAAGCCAGCCAGCCTCTGAGTGACGAGTCTGGGCCCCCAAGCCACTGGCCAGCCTGGGGAGAGCAAGGACCCACACCCCAGTGGGCCAGGTGCCTGTACCCCCCCCACCGGAGGCCTGGTTACCTCTTGGTGTTATAAGCTGTGTCCCGGGGCGTCTCCTCCAGCAGAGTCACGTAGCCAAGCACACAGGTGAGGATGAAGAGCACAGTCAGGGTGTGGGCTCGCCTGAAATCCAAACACACAGAGAACGTGTCAGCGCACAAAGCAGGATGACACCTGTGCCCTGCAGCGGGGGCAGAGCTCAGCCTTCAGTCACTGGTGGGGTGGCTCCTAGCTGGGTCTGCCTTTGCTGCGTCAGCCCATCAGTCAAGAGCGCCAAGCTGCCGGGAGAGCTGACGGCATCCTGGGACGTGCCCGGCTCTGCGCGGGGCAGGAGGGAACGTCTGCTGCTGGTGTCCGCAGCACGTGGCCATCGCGGAGAGAAAGGAGGCGCAGGTAAACGTGGTGGTTTTCACTGAGCAGATAGGAGCAGCCTCAGGATTTGTGAAGCGCCACATCTAAGAGGCTCAAAACAACACCCCAAGACCCGAAGAGGTGAGAGAAAGGGTCACCAGGACCCAAAATGAGGAGGCACGGCCCCTAGCAGTGCTGTTTACTCGGGAGACCTGGGCCTTGGCTCTCTGGCAGCCAGCGGGCACCTGCCCTGGACGCGGCCGCCGCCACTCAGGTACGCCGCCGCCTGCCTGTGCACTGCCCCACGTCACACACCACCTGGACCCTCTGCACCCTAACAGCTGCTTACAGCGGGAGTCGTGGACCCAGACCCCACGCGAGCAGAGCATGTCCCTGGAGGGGACGCAGCCCCCCCCCGAGCCTCAGGGTCCTGATCTCTAAGTGAGAATGCTTCCAACCTTGGGCGATTCCGTGTCCAGCAAACACGCCCTCCAGGAGCGAACCGAACACCATCTGGGCATGAACAAGGGGAAGGAGAGCAGCAGGCCCGCTCTAAGAGGACCACTCCCCAAGTCCTCGGACAGAAACCAGGCCGCCGGGAACCAAGAAACGGCAATAGAAGCAGCACTCACTAGTGACACGCACAGTCCTCACCGGGCGCTCCAGGCGCCTAACTACCGGAGGCGGCCACCGCAGCACGTGCTCCGAGATGCTCTGAGGAGAGGCCGAAAGGGTCAGCGCGGACCCGGTGTGGCCGAGCTGGGGGCTGAGACAGCGAAGGCTGGGGAGGACTCACCGCCTTCCAGGGCGACAGCAGAGACGTAACCTGATCCATCGCTTGCTCGGAGGTAGAGCACGCAACCAACCCCGGCGGCGTGAGAGGGGAATGGAAACAGGGAGAGGGACAGAATGGCAGACGTGAACATGTCAGTAACTGGGCATGAGCCACCTATGTGGACAGCTAGACAATGGAGGCTGGTACACACGCAGCGCTGCACAGCCGTCGGGGAGCTCGGGGGGCTCGGGTACGCAGGCAAAGCCGGTCCCCAGCACTCGGGGCCACCTGGCCCTGTTTCCATGGCACCGTCCAAGGGCCACATGGTGGCCGAGATCAGGCGCTCCATGCTCTGCCTGTGACGACCGCTGCACTGATGCTCACGGAACGGAGGATTCTACAAAGTCAGATTTACTGTAGGTACTTTACGGAGGAAAATAAGTAAAGATCTCTCAATTGTTACGGATCAACCATTCCTGGCACAAGGCGAGGGTCCAGGCAAGCATGCAGGAGCTCCCTGTGCGGTGAGCAGGCGCGTGAGGCAACGTGCCCGGCCACGCACGTCTGGGAAGGCACCACCCGGAGACCGGCACCAAGCAGGAACCTCTGGGGCCCCCATTCCCATCCCCAGCAGTTCGGAAGAACCACAGACTTCTCTGCAGGGCGCACACTCCTCAGTGGGCCTCCGCAGAGGGGAAGCGCGGAGGGCTGCGGACCGTGTCCCCCACGGGGCTTCCCCCCCACAGGGCTCTAAGGAGGCTCAGGTCCCAGGGGCTCTGGGCGGGCAAAGCGCCCCCAGCAGGCTGACCGCCGGACGCAGGTGCACAGAAGCACCTGTGCAGGCATCCGCTCAGGGAAGAGATGGGGCCGTGGCCACAGAGGGCTCCCGGCAGGGGAGGGGTCTATGAGGGAACAGGGGCTCCTTCGCCCCAGCCTCGGGAGAACCGACAGAAAGATAGCGAACAGCCCACAAACCGGCATCAGACTCACAAAAGGAAAAGAGAGAAGGTGACGAGTTCCGGAAGAGGCCGCAGGGCCAAGGGAACACCTCACCGCCACCGTGTGGCCCAGGACCCGCCTACGCTGCCTCAGGGTCACCAGCTCGCCAAGGGGCTGTGCACGACAGCTAATGGAGGTTGCTGCCCCTCCCCCCCCCAGGGTCCTCACTCTGGGGCACAGAGCCATCAAGAAGATGTGAAAGGCTTTTGTCCTGGATCTTTTTTTTTTTTTTTTTTTTTTTTTTTAAAAAGCAGGCTCCATGTGGAGCCCAACCCAGGGCCTGAACTCAGGACCCTGAGATTAAGATGCTTGATTGAGCCACCCAGGTGCCCCTGCCCTGTCCTGGGACTTAAAACCTGACCTCAACCCTCTGGTTTCTTTCACATTACTTCCCACCAACACACTAAGCTTCCTGTCGTTTCTTTGGGCTAAAACATATTCCCTGAGGAGCGCAGGGCAGCTCTGGTCATATATGGTTTCCATCCTCCCCAAAACAAGGATTCCCTGAAAAAGAAAAACTATTTGTCCGTTGGGATCAACGTTCTCACTGTCATTCAGGAAGAATTGGTGCTAAGTAGGGCTTCCTCTGCTCTGTCCGAAGAGGGAAGGAGACAGTCAAGGACCCATAGGAGAGGACAGGGTACCACAGTCTCGCAGCAGAACAGACTTCAGAACTGCTAAAATCACGAGCTAATACAAAATAAAATATTTATATTAAATTATGATGAAATCCACTTTTAAAACACTCCCCATTTCTGCACAACAAAATGCAAAGACAACCTACCGAAAGGGAGAAAATATTTGCAAATCCTATGTCTGATAAGGAGCTCATATCCAAAATCCGTGACAGACTCACACCACTCACAGCAAAACCCCAAACCTGACCACAAAATGGGTGGAAGACCTGAACAGACGCTTTTCCAAAGAGGACACCCAGGTGGCAAACGGACACAGGAAAAGATGCTCCACCTCACTCGGCACTGGCATCGGGGAAATACACATCAAAGCTACGGTGGGACACCACCTCGCACCATCAGGAAGCAACACGTGGTGGGGAGGACGCGGAGAAAGGGGAGCCCCCCACGCTGCGGGCGGGAACGCAGGCTGGCGCAGCCACCGTGGAAACGTGCAGAGGGTCCTCAAGAGGGTAACAGGATCGCCGCAGGATCCAGTGATTCCACTGCAGGGTACTGGAAGGAAGCAAACCACCACGTTGTCCGTTACTGCAGCGTCACGAGCAGGAACCCAGCAGGGAAGCACCCCAACGGGCCGTCACGTGCGTATTTATACAATGGAATATTACTTCGCCACAAATAGGAGAGAAACCTTGACGTCTGCAACACAGGTGGAAGCTGAGGGCATCGTGCTGAGACAAGTCACACATGGAATGACAAACACCTGGTCATCTCTCTTACAGGTGGAACCTAAACACAAGACCAAACTCCTAGAGGAGCCCGAGCGGCTCAGCTGGCTGGGCGTCGAATCTTGATTTTGGCTCAGGTCACAATGTCAGGGTCGTGGGATTGAGCCTCGCGTCGTGTCGGGCTCCATGCAGAGCATGGGGCCTGCCTGATTCTCTCCCCCTGCCTCCCCCACCCCAGCTCGCACACGCACTCTCTCAAAACAACACAGAGAAACCAAACTCAGAGAGAACAGACTAATGGTTGCAGGTGGGAAAATAATGAGATTGCCTTCTTGATTAAAAAAAAGAAATTCCCTCTGCTGAATCACTTTATAAATTTCCTGTGCTGACCAACAGTGATGTTTAACAGGTGGTTCATCTGTGGTTCTGAGCACTTTGAACATATTCAGCATTACAGCACTTTGGTGAGGAAACATCACCCAGTTGTTTAAGGGCAGGAGAAAGCCGCAGACTCCCGGCCATCACGGTGTTCGCGTGGTCAGGGCTCGACCCCGACAGAGCACTTTCAACAGGCAGCTTGTGGCAATAAGGAGAAGTCCCAGGACAGCATCCAGGGGAGACAGAGCTCCATTAATTCTGATTTTCAGACCATCGCTCAATCCATGGCCTGTGCTCCGCTTCCATTTCTCACTGTAAAGTCTACGTTTCCTGTGTTGACATTTTTCCTTGGAGAAAGACAAGGGACATCGTCGGAAAAGTGCAGATTTTATTACCAACTTTGCCTCTCAGTACACTTGAGGTCTTGAGCCACTTCCTCTTTCAGGTTTAATTTCCCCATCTTCAAACTGAGAATCGAAATACTGACTTGCAAATAACCGTAGAAAATAAAAGTATTACCTAGCAAGTTTGGCCAAAACAAAACCAACTCCCGTATCTTACACGCAGCACCATCTCCACATGCGTGGAGGTACAGACCCAACGCTCCACAGGCAGACCTCCCCGTCCCTCCCAGACGCCTCCTTGCTCCACCCCTGACACCCGAGGAAGACAAGAGCATCCTTTGGTTTAGTGGCTAATAGATAACTCAGGGGAGATTTGGGTCCAGTGATCCAGGCCCAGGACTGGAGCGGCCGTAAATCCTGTGACTCTCCAGTCACTCGGCGAGGGCGTGAGGACAGGACACCTGGCTCCCGGCCACTCTCAGTGGAAACACCCAAATGTCAGTCCCTCTCTAAAGACGACCACACTCATTATGCCAAGCAGGCAGAAAGGCAGGCCCGCCAAACCAATTAGAGGAAACACGAAGGTGTGGCTGGCACACAGAGCACAAGGAAGCCTCCGCCAGGAAGGGCCAGGGCCAGAGGGCCTGCCCCAGGCATGCAAGAGATGCCCGTGGTCATGCCACTGATCCTCCGGCCTGCTGACCGACAGGACCAGATAGGTATCCGCTGTGGAGGTGAGCTTTCCAGATGTGGGCAAAGCTGGCAAAGCCCTGGCCCATGATGACTGAGAAAAGCATTTTCAAGAATCTGGGGCTCTCGCGGCTGCGCTGACACACTGCGCACAGCACAGTCTCGAGGGTCACTGAGGTGCTGGCTCAAGGCCTGGGGTCACCAGGTGTGCTCCCCTGAAGTGTCACAACCATCCCTCGCCTCTTGCCTTGAGAGCTGGTCAGGAAGCGTGCTATCCCATGGCAATTCACCCAATGTCCATCTCCGGACGGCAACGTTCGGTAGCACCTCTTCAGGACATCAGGTCCCCTAGTGTCTCCCAGATGATCTTTAGAAAACGAGAGTCAAGACAACTGTGTGCCATTCCTGAGTCTGGTGCTATGTGGCCCCAGATGTTCCACCCTGGAGACCGGCACAACCAGTAGATGGGGTGGTGTTCTTGCCACTGGCAAACCTAGTAGTGCTCACGCCCCCTCTTGGGAGGGCAGCCCGGCCTCCAGTTCCAAGGTGCAGGCAAACCCTGACCCTACTTATTATATACCTTGTGGCCAACAAGTGGTAACAGACACTCCGAGTCCTCCTACGTGGCCCAGCACAACCCCCAGCATGGGCACCTTTTAGGAAACTGAGTAGTCTTGGGACATAAAATCATTTCGATAAACACACGCTTTTAGTCCTCATGAGGATTTTTTGTTTCATTATTAAAATCCTCTAAAACATAAAATAAAGGCCTTTAGAACACCAACAAAGTCAGTGAGAGGAGCTTTGGGAGCTGGCAAGTGGCTAAGCTCCGCAGGTAAGAATAAGTAACTCTCACCAGTCAGGCATCTGGTTACCTGCCTTGGGGAAACGTGAAGCTCCGTCTGGGGAAGGCCTGGGATGCAGCAGGGCCTAGAGCACACACTGCAGCAACACCCAGCCCAAGGGCGCAGCACAGCTCACCGCCGCGGGGGCAGGCAAGAGCCACGCACGGGGAGGCCCACCAGGCAGGTACCACCTGCCTGCCCGTCGCACCACCTCCTGGTCCCACCAGCCCTCCTCGTAGGTGAGCTCAGCTACAGCAGGCCTCTGCGTGTCCAACTCCCCGGTGACCAAGCAGCCTCGTGGGCAGGGCCCCTGGCTTCTAAAGAAACGAGGGGGCGCCTTTCCCTGCACTGGGTGATATGTGTGCTCCGCGCCCCTCCGCGCCGCTCCAGCCAGGGCACTTCGGGCCTCCTGAAGCTCCAGTCTTCTGCCAGGATCTAAGCTTGCTTGCTCAGCTCCCTGCTGCAATCCGGTGGCGGGCACCCAGCTGGGGAAACAGCAGCAAGCCGGGCGCGGTCCAGGAGGGCCTCCCTTCTGCGGTCGGCGGGGCCTGCGGCGGCGGAGGCCTGACCCTGTCCCGTCCACAACTCGGCGGCCGCCGGACACCTTGGGTTCCCGAGGCAGAGCAGGGAGGGCAGCGGCTGCGGGCACCCCCGGGGAAGACACCTATGTCACCCATGTCGTCCAGGTGCAGGATGCACCCCCGCCCACGCCGGCCTCCTGTGGTCTTCGCCCGAGGCTCGCGGCCCCTCATCAGGCCTCCGTGACCACCCCATGGCGGGGTGTTCCGCCGGCTGCGCAGGACCCGCTTGTGCGGCCAAGGAAAGCCCGGCCCGACCCTCGAAGAGCGGGCTTCCCAGCACGTGGGCCGCTCTCCGACGGGGCGGGAGCTGGGCCGCCCCAAGGTCACGGGCGCTCTGCGCATGCGCCCCGCCCGCCCCGCGCGTGGCCGGCGCGCCCACTCCCCCTGCGCCCGGGGTCGCGCCCTCCGCGCCCGCACTGGGCTCCGAGCAGCACCGGGAACGCGCGGCCGGGGGGGGGGGGGGGCGCGGAGGGGGAAGGCGGGGGGCGGGGCCTCGGGGTCGGGCGGGGTCGCGGCGCCCCCCAGCCCTCGCGCCCCCGGCCGCCCTCACCAGAAGAAGGTGTTGGTGCCGTCGTCGTACACCTCGGACTCGGTGCTGCGGCGGCCGCCCCCCCGCTCCGCGCCCGCGCCGTCCGGCGGCTCCTCCAGCGAGGCCTTGCCCGCCGGCACCGGCGACCCCGGCCGCGGCCCCCCGGCGCCTCTGCGCTCGCCCCTCCGCATGGCGCCCGCCCAGCCGCTCCGCCCCGCGCCTTGACCCCACGCACCGCGGGTCACCGCGAGGGCGCGCGGCGCTCGGCGCGGGGAGCGCCGGGAAGGGGTCGCGGCGCGGCCTCGGCGGGGTCTCGGGAGAGCGCGGGCGGGGGGCGGCTCGGAGACGGGGGGCGGGGCATTGTGGGGCTTGTAGTCCGCGCGCCCGGGCCGCGGGGCACGCTGGGCCTCGTAGTCTCCGGCGCCGCGGCTCCGAAGCAGTGCTCGCTGGGAAGGATGCCGCCTGGTTGCTAGGAAACCGGAGCCGGCTGGCCTGGCGGGCCCCCGAGCCCGTCCGCGCTGCCCTGGAGCGTCCTCCCGCCGCGAGCCCGGCTCCCTCTGGGGCGCCTCCCCACCTTCTACCCCCGGGCGAGCCCCGACCCAGCCGTTGCGGACTCCGTGCTGCAGGGTCGCCGGCAGCCAGCGGGTCCCCCCCGGGGTCTCCAGGGGCAGGAGGGTGTCGCCTGGCGCGTTCGGGTTCACTCAAGTGGTAACGGAACCAGCCCCCCACGCACACACAGTTAGCTCCCAGCCACTGGGAAACACAGTGGAGGCTCCTCGGAGGCTTGGGGGGGACCTGACCCAGCACCCCTCCCAGGGATACCAGGTGACCCAGCACCCCATCCCAGGGATACACCCAGTGGGGAGATGATGACCTCTCAGAGCACACCTGGCTGTGCAGAGCAGCATCCCCCATCAGAGCCAAAGGGGGGAACAACCTAATTCCCCCAAGTACTAAATGAATACACAAAATGTCTACCATACAATGGAAAGGTATTTGGCCCTAAAAAAAGGAATGAAGTTCTGACACGTGCTACAATAGGGGTGAACCTTGAAAACATGACGCTCAGTGGAAGGAGCCAGTCATAAAAGATGGCACATCATATGACCTGTCTACACAAAATACCAGTAGAGGCAGAAAGGTAAGGAAAGGGAACGGGGTGGGGAAGGGGTGATTGCTGAAGACTGTGTTTCACAGTCTTTTCCAAACTGAAAATATTCTGACATTGACCATAGCGACTGTGAATATATTAAAATCTACCGACCTCTACATTTTAAATTAGTCGATTATATGGTTCGTGAATTATACGTCAAAAAAGCTGTTATTAATATGTATGCATGTGTAGATGTTGTTGATCCTAAAAATAAAACTGCCCGTTATTTTGCAAGCAAAATGGGTTTATTCTGGAATAAAATTGCAACCTAGGACAAACCGGCTGTAAGAAAACCAAGGCGAGTCCTGGGGACGGGGGGAGGTTCACTCTTTTCTAGAGGACGGGGGAGAGCTGGTATAGAGGGAAAGCTTGCTGCAGTGGGCTGAGAGTTGGGGTACAGTGGCTTCTCATGGGCTGGGCTATTGCCCCAGGAAGAGAAAAGCCTCCTTCCTCCTGCGGGGTCTGAGGAGTAGCCACCTGCTGGCTCTGCAGTGGCCAAGCGCCCCGGTGGGCAGGAGCGCTCCCCCTGCCGGCCTCCTGCCTCTGTTCTACACTCGTTAATTTTCGCATTTCTCTCTTTGGATCAGATCATTCTTTGAAAGCATCTTGATCAAGCGTGATGCTTTTGTCCCTCGGTGCCAGGCAGGACCTTTTCCGATTGTCATGTTCCATGTGGGGGTGCGCAACACTTGGAAAGCACTTCAGGCCACATTCGAGTAGCGAGGACGGTCAGGAGGGAGACCCCTCACGCACTTCCCATCTCTAGTCCGTATTTACCAAGTCCTAAGAATTGGAGATCATGTGTCAAGTACATCATTTTTACAAAAGTTGGACAGGCAACAAAATGCAAAACTTAATCACACGAAGCAGGAGGAGTAACACTGCAATTCCAAATTGTGTGATGGTGCTGAGCTAGGACCCTCGGTCTGAAAGTAGCCGACTTATATTTGTTGGCACTTACTCTGCCTTAGGGCGGAAGGGTTCTCCCCACCGAGGCAAACTGGGAGTCACGCAGGCCTCCTGGAAGTCCCCACTTGAAGCAGCCACGAGAGGAGAACAGTGAATACAGCAGGAGCATGCGGAGGGAATCAGGTGCATTTGGGGAGATACAGTGCGGGTGTAAACACGAAGTAATAGTGAATGAACTTTCTTGCAAAAATAGCAGAACTTCAAAGATTTATTAAAACAGTGTTGTTGGGCCACCTGGCTGGCTCAGCGGTGGAGCGTCTCCTTCAGCTCAGGGCCTGACCCCGGGGTCCTGGGATCGAGTCCCACACCGGGCTCCCTGCGGGGACCCTGCTTCTCCCTCTGCCTGTGCCTCTGCCTCTCTCTTTGTATCTCTCATGAGTAAATAAAATCTTAAAAAAAAAGTGTTGTTCTCTCAAAAGAACTGTATGGAAATGAATGCTATCCAATAGGACAGCCTGGAAGTTTGGAAATTCAGAAGCCAGGAATTTCGGGTGGGAATCCAGAGCCAGACGCTAGTCCGGATGAGAGAAAGACTTGTGAATTCTGAAATCGTAACCCTTCAGAAAAAACAACTTGAAAAGATCAATTTGTCACAGGATCATGATGAGACTGTTTCCAAAAGTCCATAATCAAAAAAGATTTTCCACGTCTCAAGGGTTTGGGAAACGCAGCCAAGGACACTGTCTTTCCAGGCGAGAGACGCAGCAGCAGTAAGACAGGTATGCAGGCCTCCAGACACCTGGGGAAGCGTCTGATCAGAGGTCGTCTACTGCCCCGCCAGGAAATCTTTTTATTTTTTAAGATTTTATTTATTTGAGAGAGAGCATGGGATGGGGAGGCGGGGAGGGAGAGGGATGAACAGACTCCCCCTGAGCAGGGAGCACAAGGCAGGCCTGGATCCCAGGACCCTGAGATCAGGAGCCGAGCCCCCAGGCCCCCCAGGAAACCTTTTACTTTCAGGTCACCGGGGGCTGTGCGGGGCCAGGCAGGGGCTGGTGCTTCCTTCAGGTCCTCAGGTGACTCCAAGAGCTCTTCCCTGGGGGTTAGCTGCGCAAGGGTTGGCTCAGAGTTCCTGATAAGGGCCTTTCCAGACCGTCTTCCTGGGGTGTCTTCTCTCAACGAAATCTCAGGTTGCATGAGGCACAGGGTGGAAGGATTGCTCCGCCAAAGCGCGGCTACTTCGAGTAGAAGCAAGCAGGCCTCAGCGACATGGCCTCGTGTCCTTCCATCGGCCGTGGGGCAGAGGAGGCAGGGCAAGCTCATGGGGACACTGGGGCGCCGAGGCTGCCTGGGGGGACAGCAGCTGGGGGGGGTGGTCCCCAGGCGGCGGGTCTCCGGTTTAATTGGACCAATGCCAGTTCTCTGGGCCAAGCTGCTGGGGGGTCTCTACCAACTGTGCCAGCTGAGTCGCAATCATGCCCTTTGTGCATCACGGGCCTGAGGCCTGGGTGTGTGCACCGCGGGCGGAGCGGGCCCCTGGCCGCCGTGGCTCGAGACGGGCGCCAGGCAGGGCTGACCCTTCCAGGCAGGTGAGCCGCAGCACATGCCGCGGCCATCCGGGTCCGGAGGGAAAAAACACCAACTGCGACCCAAACATATTTACGCCCTGAGACAGATATGACATCCGCTGGCATGGATGGGGGTTCCGTGGGCCGCACTCCGCACAGGCCCAACCAGCTGGCCGGTGCCGGCGGGCTGGTGGCCTTACTGGTCTTTCCCACTGGCTGGTGGCCTTATTGGTCGTCCCCACCAACGCCGGCTCACGGATGCGGTCGTCTTGCCCGTGGGTTAGATGCTTGCATGGTGGGAAGTGGTGGGAAGCTTAGAATCGCTGGTGCGGTTGGATTATTATTTGGTCCAAACCAGAGTTCTCTCCTCCTATCAAACCAACAGTTAATGGATTTCCAGTATTATGTTTCCCCCTTCTGGGATCAACGGTTGGGCATCCCTGGTCAATTTTTCCACATTATTGTGTGGAAGGACATCCTTTGGACCAGAGGTTTGGCTATTGGTCTCTTTGAGAGCAGGGTCTTGTTTTTTTTTTTTGGTTTTTATTTGTGTGTGTGTGTGTGTGTGTGTGTGTGTGTGTGTGTGTGTAAATGTCAGTGAGGCGGTTCCTCAGCCCCCAGGGAGTTGAGCCTGGAATGCCCAGGAACCCTAAACATAAGCAGAGCCACTGGCAAAAAGTACGGCATTTAATAAACTTTGCATGGAGGAGCCATTGAAATTTTAGCTCCATTGGAGGCAAGGGTGCTTCACGGTTCCCGTGATATTCCAGAATCGTGACCTACCCCCTCAAAACGTGCTGGTGTCTCATGTAGGCTGTTGGCCGAAGTAGCCGAAGGAAAGGTGCCGCCTCGGTGACTCCCAAGTGGGAGTCGCAATCACGTACCCAACACGATCTCTACCATTTTCATCCCTTAGGTGAGAAGCACCAGGAAACCACGGAAAGTCTGCAGTGGTCAGAGGAATTCCCTCTACGTTGCCCCAAGGAGTCAACAGGGATCTGTGAGCATTAAGCGGTCGGGAGGGCTTTCATCTGGATCCAGATGCAGTCCCCGTTTTTGAGGTGGGATCACAGGAGTATCTAACCTGGGGGTTTATCTTCGGAGACCAAATCCGTTTAAGGCCAGAAAGTGTGACAGGTGGTCGCTGTTTCCTGTGGAGAGGTTTTGGGGGGCGGGGGGCAGAGAAGGAAATACTCTTAGAGCCTGAAGGAAATGCTCCATCATCCGAATCCGCTTCAGTCAGAGGGACTCGGGGACCCGGGGCTGTGGGTCCAGGCGTGTCGCTCTGCCCGGGAGAGCAGGACGCCGCCCGGGCCAGCCCTGTCTGCCAGAATTCCAAGAGATGTGCCGCACGGTCCCTCGCGGGACACCTTGATGTCAGGAGAATGTGAGGGTTTGGGACAACGGGGGGATGGAGAGGTGACAAGGCCGTTACTGCTCACAGGTCCTGGACGAGCCTCCATCTTCAGTGGTGGGGTTTCCTGAGGGGTGAAGTTGGCCTGTTACAGGACATAATGAGGCCCCGAGCCTCTGTAAGCCCTTGAAGGGCTTCCTTATCTATAGGATGTTCATTAATTCTGAGAGGGGTTTTAGAGGGACCTATTTCAGTCTTTCTGGGAGGCGCTCTGCGGATTCTGACCATATCAGCGGAAGATTTTGCAAATAAGGAAGACAGTCACTGATCTAACAGGGACAAATGGTCAATGTCCCCAGAATGTAACACCGTATAGGGGTGATAATGCCATCAGGGGCTGGTATTTGCGAGAGTTGAAAATTGAGAATGGGGTGGTCTTTCTTTCAGGTGACTCACCGAGGGTGCCCACAAGCTGGTTTGCCACAATCTCTAAGTCTGGAGTGGACATAGTTTCCTGTTCCACCTTGGTCCTGTTAGCGGCGAGAGAACGATCCTGGTGCAGCCTGCTAGTAGACACGGACACGATGCTGCCAGGTTGGATTCAGCATCCACAGGGAGACCAGGGTGGCCTTTGAAGACAGTGTGGAGTCAGGGGATAATCATGAACATTTTCATCCGGCTTTTCTGCGCAAGCTTGAATCCTGTCCAGTCAGCAGGCTTAGGAAGAGGTACTGTAATCCTTTGGTGGAGATTTCTAGCGAGTTCTAGCACTTTGCCAAAACTTAGGCATCTGTTTCTCTCAGTCCCTTTCAGGGTGCTCCCATTGAGCTGGTTTCATCCAGCGTTTGGTCTGACCCTCAGCAGCAAGCATGTGGACCAATTGATACAAATCTGAGAAATCAGATCAGTAAGTTTGAATAACTGTGTTAAATCTTCAGCGAACGTATAGGGTCCTCAGTCACTTTGGGAAATTGTTTCAGTACGGCTCCAAATTCAGCCTTAGTCCGGGCAGCGTAAGCCATTTGGCGTTCATTTGGACCTCCAGCAGAGTTTACTTTAGAGGGGTAGGTGTTAATAGGGTCAGGAGAGGAGGGGTGGGGAGAGGTTTGGAGATAAAGGGAAGCTCAGTGAAAGGATTAGAAGGAGGAATGGGTATAGGGGAGGGGAGGGCCAGTGCCAAGGGAAGAGGGAAAAGGCTCCAGAGGCAGGGCCCGAGTATAAGGTGGCCCCACCTGTCTGGAGACAAAAAGGATGGGAAGGGGAAGAGGCCTCAGAAGCCCCGTTGACTTCTTACAGTAGTTTGCCTCTTTGCAAAATACTATTTCTAAATTAACTGAGGCGAACAAACTTTGAATCCTAAAAATGTTTGGAAGCCTCGAGGTAAATTAAAATAAGCATCCAATTCAGTGTTGACAAGTTTCCAGCCATGGCTGTCCAATTCCATTGTGAGAAAAGTCAATTTGGGGAGATGGGAGGTTCCCCACGATGGCTTTTGAGGTTGTGAATGCCTTTTGGTTGAGTCAGTCCATTTAGATAAGAATGCACACGAGGGATCCCTGGGTGGTGCAGCGGTTTGGCACCTGCCTTTAGCCCGGAGCGCGATCCTGGAGACCTGGGATCGAATCCCACGTCGGGCTTCTGGTGCATGGAGCCTGCTTCTCCCTCTGCCTGTGTCTCTGCCTCTGTCTCTCTCTCTCTCTCTGTGACTATCATAAAAAAAAAAAAAAGAATATACACGAGGAGGGGCCACCATTCTGAAACCTAGAACTGGCTGAGGTCCCAGAAGTGTGGGGGCAAGGCCGTCCTCACAGCATTTTGATCGCTGGGATCCCACTTCCCAGAGGCTTTTCTCTAGAGGGAAGAGAACAATGTCTAAACAGCACAGTTCCAGTAGGAACAGCCTAGCTCTAGAAAGGAGTCAGACCAAAGGCCAAACGAGTACTCTCAGGAAGGACAAAGCCTTAAAACAGGTCCTGAATAAAGGCTGGAGAGCTCAGAACAGAGAGTGAAGCTCACGTCCAGGAGACGACTATTCTCAAACCCCAGGGCCGGCAAGAGAGCAGCAAGCCTGACCAGGTCTGTGGGGACCGGCACCTGTGTGTTTGCTCACCAGCCTCAGAGCCGCTGGAGGTAGCTGCCTGCGTCCCACTTCTGATACCAGGTAACGTTTTCCTTAAAAATAACACTGCCAGCTATTTTACCAACAAAATGGGTTTATTCAGGAGAGTGGAAAATTGTAATTTGGGACAAGCAAGCTATGACAAAACCGTAGGCATGTCCAGAGGACAGAGGAGAGAGATGCTCCTTTATAGATTGGGGTACGGGGGGGATGGGAGGGGCTGTTGTAAAGGAGAAGTCCTGGGAGTCACCTGGGAGTTGGGAGTGTCGTGGCTTCTCATTGGTTAGCCTGCCACTGTCTGTCGGGTGGGGGGTACTGTGCTCACCCTGGACTTGCTGTGCTCTCCCTGGATGGGCTGTGCTCTCTCTGGATGGGCTGCGCTCCCCTTGGTTTGGCTGTGCTCTACCTGGATGGGCTGTGCTCCCCCTGGATGGGCTGTGCTCTCCCTGGATGGACTGTGCTCCCCCTGGATGGGCTGTGCTCCCTGTGGACAGGCTGCGCTCCCAGGGCTGTGCTGTCGGGGACGGAGGAGCCCGTCCCTCCTCCACTGGCCTCCTCCACGTTGGGAGCCTCCCTCTTGTCTTCCACACGTCTCTCTGTCAGCCGTGCATTCCTGGCTCCCCGCCCACCGCCCACCTGCGGGATCCGTCAGCCTCCTGGGAGGCCAGGTGCTGGCAGCTGTGCCAGGAAACGCAGAGCAGGAGGTGCGCTCGGGGCCGTGGGCCGGTGCCGGGGACCGGTGTAGGATGGCGTCGGGGCCCACCCTGCTTGTCGGCTGCAGAGCCAACAGGAGGAGACACGGCTCGCAGGTGCACGCTGCTTTACAGCCCGAGAGGAGGAGGCGACAGCCCCGCCCTGGCCAGCTCCAGGGGCACTCCGTGGACTCGCATTTACAGCGGCCCCTTCCTCCGGGAGACTGCTCTCTGCGGCTCCGGGGACTTGCCTGTCCCAGACGGTGACTGTCGGCTCTTCCCAAGTAAATTCATTCTGCTGGTAAAACATCCAACAGTTTGATTTCTGGGGCCCGGTCGCTGCCCTCCGCCTGGCCCCAGCCCTGACCCCCCCAACCTGGCTCCCCTAAGTACATGTGCAAGTGAAGGTGAGGAGGCTGGAGAGGATGGCCAGGGAGCCCCCTTTGCTCTGTCCTGACGGCTGCGGGGAGGCCAGATGAGGTCAGGGCCACCTGTCCACACAGTGGGTGAGCCAGGATCCTGCTCCTCCCTGCACTGGCCTTCACAGACTGACACGGGCCCCCAGAGGCCAGCTCCCGCCCCCTTCCTGTCCAGCAGGTCCTCATCCTGCCCTGGGGGCCCAGAGCCATCCTTCAGGACCTCTCTTCTCCACCCCAGCTGGTGGCACATTTCCAGGGCCGTGCTCCATGGTTGCTTCCTGGGTAGGGGTGTTTGTCCCAAACTGTGCCAGGAGCCACCCCCTTCCTGCACAGACAGGGCCCCCGCCTTGGCAGGGCCGGCCGGGGCGGGCCGGATCCCAGGAGCCACGGCCTGCCTGCCGAGGGGTGGGGGGAGCGGGCTAGGGCCCGTTGTGGGTGGGGCCGGGGTAGAACTGCGCAGGGGCTGGGCCGGGGCCCCAGGGGTGCCCTCTGCCCTGAGCGCATCCACGTGGTAGTTAACTGCCACCAGGCTCTGGCCTCATGCCAGGAGGGCTCCCAACGCTTACAACTGCTCATTCTTGTGACCTCTACGCCCCCTTGGGCTCTATTTTAATCTCTGGCTGAGAGATGGAGACACTGAAGCAGCAGAAGGTCGGGGATGCCCCTGCCCCACCCTGTGCCTCGGCGCCTTCTCCCCGCAGGACCCTCGATGCTCGACCATCCTGCAGCTTTGCCCCCGGGTCTGCTCTTACGGTCTCAGCGGCACCGGGTCCCCGGGTCCCCGTCCTGACTATTGCCCTCCGGCTGCGGCAGCCTGGGCCGAGTAGTCCTTTCAGACAGCGGGGCCCGGGGCCTGTCGCCTGGTGCCTTGGGCTTGCAGCAGGGCTGCAAGGCAGCCCCCCCCCCCCCCGCCGCCCCCTGGCCTTCCTCAGACTCCGCTGGTCCTGGAAGGGAGTGCAGAGGGCGGCTTCCCCGGCTGCAGGACTCACTCTCGACTCACTCTCGGTGTAGACACCAAGTATCGACAGAGTGCTCCCCTACAGTGTCCCTGTGGCAAGGGGGAGGGCACTGCGGGCGCGGAAGGAGCAGCAACTGTGCAATGGAGAGTGGAGCGCACGGCCTGTGCCACCCGAGGTCCCCCAGGGCTGGCAGCAGGACGGGGCGCTGTGCCCTGGGCTCAGGCAGGGAAGGCCCTCCGCTCCTTCGGGCGCAAGCCAGGAGCTGGGGAGCCTGAAGGCCCAGAGGCGTTTCGGGGTGGCACTAGGAGGACAGAACTGTCCCTGGGGCGAGGACAGCAGGTGCTGGGGGCCCCACCCTGAAGCTCTGGGGTGACAGGAGGCACCAGCGGCTGGAAGACCCGGGGGGCAGGGGCCCGGCCTGGGAAGGGGGTCCTCCCCGCAGGGCCCCACACAGGTGCAGTGGGCCAGAGGCCAGAGGGGGTCTGGGAGGCCGGCTGCAGCTGCCCGGGCTGCGAGCCTTGGAGAAGGATCCTCAGGGACACTCCCAGGGCCTTTGGGCTGCACCTGACAGGGCCATGGGCGGAGGGAGCCGCAGATGAGGGTAACCGGCCCCGGAAGCTGCGGCCCCTGGCAGGTACTGGGGAGGCGCCGCGGCACTGTCCCTCCGTGATTCTGGGTCTTCCTCACACGTCAACACCAACGCCCTCGCGAACGGCCCTGGTCCCCACTGTCCCCACCCCGAGGTGTACAGTCCCTTGCCCCCACGACCCCAGGCCGGCAGGGAGCAGCTCTTCCTGCTTTAGTAAAACCTCCGTGTTGCACTGCAGACGCCTCCAGGACTCTGGGCTGTGGGCTCTGGACCCCACGAAGCTCACTGATGTCCCCAAACTACATCACACGTGGGCCCGTGGGGTTGGGAGGGCAGAGGCCCGAGGTGAGGACAAGCAGCACTCACTCCTGCTCGCAGGACTTGGCCGGGGGCCCTCCGGGGGCCCTGCCATCCTGGCCTCCTCCACGGCATGGCCACCGGCCCCCCGGTTAGGGGTCAGGGCGGCCTCGGAGGCAGCAGTCCTCCTGCTGCACTTGGGCCCCTCAGACGGAAGAGGCCACGCAAGCAGGGAGCTCGGCAGAGGAGGGAAGAGGAGCTGGGTCCGCGGTCCCCGGGGGCAGCAGGAGGCCCAGGCCCAGGCCGGATCAGCGCTGCCAGCCGCCGGGCGGCCACCCGGCCTGCAAGGGACTGGTCCCCCATCCTGAGGCTTCTTCAGGCGATGCCTGAGTTCAAGACCAGGGTCAAGGGAGCGAGGCCGAGTCTGGGGGAAATTAAGTGCGTAATAGTGGATTTTAGTGTCATCATGAAGTAAGTTTAATAATTAAGTCTGTAGAAGGGATGCGTGTGTTGCAGAGCCTTTGAAGAAAGCAGACGGGAGGAGGAAAAGTGTGATGTCCCCAGCCCAGGAGCACGTCCTTGAGCAGAGATGAGCACAAACAGCAAATCCACCCTCCCGTATCTCAACGTGTTTTAACCTAGTTGAGGCGACAAAGCCCATACACGTCTGCAAACTGCGCGTCTGCGCTTAGCACGACGTGAGCGTTTCCTGCAGACTTGCCGCTCTGAACGTGTGGTTTTTACGGCTGCTCAGCCTGCGTGGGCACACAGCACGTCTGCTAGGACATTTCCCTATTGTCGAGCATCTCAGTGGTTCATAATTTTTGCCTCACGGGACATATTTATACACATGTTCATTATTATTATTTTTTTTCTCCTTAGGATGGTTTGTAAAAAGGCAAATCAATGGACCAAGCCATAAACCCTTTTGAGGCTTCTGATTCTTTTTTGCTGAACTGCTTTCCCAACGGGCTGTACCTGGTTTTCCTCCGGGTGAGACTGGATGGGCTCTGTCCCTGTTGTGCACCCCGCACTGAGGGTAGGGCACTGTCTCCTGCGGGGCCAGGCCTGTGCTCCCCACCCCAGGCTGGAGACGCCGTTTGCCCCAAGGGGCCCCGGGCCCAGCTCTGGAGCACCGGGGTCTGGATGTCACTTGAGTTCCCTCGGGGCCTTGGACGGCGGGGAAGAGAAGCAGTGCTTCTGCGGCCCTATAGACAGGAGTGCCGGGTAAGGACACGGAGCTCCCACAGCCTTGTAGACACTTGCAGGGACGCCCGCGTCAGGGGAAGCCCGTCCACGGGCGGCTTTAACACAACGCAAGCGTAGACACAGACACCCCGGGCAGGTTGACGTGGCCACCCGGAGGGGCCGGGAGCGGCTGGCAACACAGACCTGGAGTTCGCATCACCCACGCTCCGAATCCCTTGCTGACTGTTTCCCGAACTCAAATAGGGCCTCTGAGGCCCGCTGGCCCGTGTGCGTGGCCGCTGGCCGGGCGTCCTTCCCTTCCTTGGGAAGCGGGATCACAGCTCGCAGACTTCCCTGCAGGAAACTGGGGCCCTGGGACCCACCATGCCCCGTGGAGCGTCCCTCCCTCCCCTTCCTCCTCCTGCCGGTGTCAGCGGGAGCGTGGGCGTGATGTCTGGAGGTCGAGCAGCCGTTTTGAGCCGTGTGGTGGGGCCAGGTGTTTAAGGTGGCAGAGCGATGGGGGAAGTTCACGCCAGTCCTGGACACGGAAATCAAAACCACAGCGAGATACTGGTTTACGCTGGCGAGGACGGCTGAGCCGAGCAAGCCAGCAAACAACAGGTGTCAGCGAGGCTGCGGGGAGAGGGGAGCCTCGTGCACTGTCGGGGGACTCAGGTTGGAGCAGCCACTCTGCAGAACAGTGTGGGGGTCCTCAAGGAGTTAAAGACAGAGCTACCCGATGCCCCAGCAGGTACACTGCTGGGAATTTACCCCGAAGACATGAACGTAGTGACCCAAAGGGGCCCCCGTGCCCCACGTTCACGGCAGCAGTGTCCCCGGTAGCCACACTGCGGGAGGGGCCCAGACGCCCATCGGCAGGCGGGCGGCGGATAAGGAAGGTGGGGTCGCAACATCACTGAGCATCTGGCAACTGAGATCGTGCCACCTGCAGGGACATGGACAGACTAGAGGGTGCGACGCTGGATGACATACGTGCATCGGAGAAGGACGGTGCCCATCCGGTCTCCCTCACACGAGGGATCTAAGGAACACAACAGAGGATCAAGGGAAGGGAGGGAAAGATAAAGACGGAATCAGAGAGGGAGACACACCATAAGAGACTCTTCACTCTGGGAAATACACTGGGGGCTGCTGGAGGGAGGGCGGTGGGGGGACGGGGTCACTGGGGGTCGGCGCCGATCAATCGCTGGCCTCTGCCTGTGACACCAGGATACATTATATGCTTATTTATTCAATTTTAATACAATAAAAATTAGCCTCAAAAATCCCCACTGGTGCTGGCCCGGCCCCTGGCCCCCATCTGTGGGGAAGGCAGTGAGTCTACGCGTCCACCTCCGGAGCCGGGCTCCCCGGGAACCAGCCCTAAGGCCACGTCCAGAGTCGCTCCAGGGGAGTCACGCAGGTCCCTCTGCCGTCTCCGCTGGTCCCAGTTCCGGCCTGGTCATGGCCGCCCCACAGCCTGCCCTGGGGTCACCCACAAGAGTGGGGGGCCCACAACTCCCGGGCAGGTGGACACCCATGCTGGGTGCAGACGTGGGGCTGCCCAAGGCGGGCTGACACCGTGCACACCCCTGGCCCCCGTACCGGGAGGGGTGGGGTGGGGGGTGCCCCTGGTTCTGCTCCGTGTCCCCGTGCCGTGCCCTGGGGGCCCCCGCCCGCTGTCCTGAGCTTCCAAGCAGCTTCTGGAGCCTGGGAACCCCACGTCGCTGTTGGGGGGCTCTGCTGGCTGGCGGCCCAGGCAGCGAGGGTCCTTAGGACCCCAAGGGCCCCGGCCCCCCAGGTGACGTCCACAGTGCAGGGGCTCGGGTGGGAGTGTCTCCTTGGGGTGTCCTCAACTTGGGCCCCGCTTCTCCCCTAAGGGAACCAACAGCGGTGCGGGCGGGGAGTCCAGGTCACAGGCCCTGCAGGGACCCCGCGGAGGGCGTGTCCTGCCACCTGAAGAGGCAGGTGCGCGGGGAGCCGGCCCGGGGTGCTCCTGTGCCCATCTGCACTCCCAGATGCCACTCTCACTCCATCTCCCCGGGGAGCCCCTCCCACCGGGGAGGGCGAGCCCTCAGAGGGCTGAGGGGTCCCCAGGACGGGGAGGGGTGTTCCTTCCAGCCTGGGGCGTGGCTGCAGGAGGATCAGCCCGGGCAGGAGGAGGGGCAGGAGGAGCGAGGCGGGAGAGACCAGGGAGGGAGGGGTGAGGCCCACACGGAAGTCAGGTAGGGCTCGCTTGCTGCCCGCTGCCACACTTGGGCCTGCCGGCTCCTGCCAGCCTCGACCCCGCGGCCAGCGAGCAGGTGAGTCCCCGTGGAGTGCACACCTGAGGCCGGCCACGCCCGCGGGGGCCCTCGCCTTCGGGATCCCTGCAGCCTGAACGCCGCGGGGACGGCCCCCGGGCAGTGCCAGGCAGAGGGCAGCTCTCCTCCTGCCCTGCGGGGGAAGCTGGGGACCCCAGGGCCGGGCCCCGAGAGTGCACGTGACCCCTCGACAGGACAACGTGTCTGTCCCCACGTGCAGCTCTGCCCCACAGAGGGAAGGGGCTCTGGCCTCCAGGAGGGGCTGACCCGAGCCCAGGAGGCGGGGGGCCCGCCGGGCACTCTGCTGCCCTGCCCGGGACTGTGGCCCCGGGCCGGCCCTCGGGGCTTGCTGCAGGCTGTTGGCTTCTGCTTCTGGGGTCAGAGCAGGAGGCCGAGGAGCCCCGGGGAGGTGAGACAGCCTCCCCGCTCTGCCAGAGCAGAGGCCATCCAGGCGGGCACAGCGCCTGGGTGGCCCTGGGAGGGGACGGTGCTGAGGTGGGGAGCGAAACCAGCCTCCCACTCAGCCTCCCACTCAGCCTCCTGGGGCCCTCCCAGGTGTGGGCCGAGCAGGTGGCCTTGTGCTCCACCTCTGCCTAGGGCCTCTCAGCCCTTCCAGAGCTGGCTCTGGCACCTCGCTGCCCGGGCGACCACAGGGGCACACCCCTGCCCGACCCCTGCCAGCGCCCGCGGGGGAGGGAGAGGCTCTGGCCGCCCCCCCCCCCCCCCCGGCTGAGGCAGGAATCAGTGCTTCCAAAGGGCGTGGGCGAATGCGTGTGCAGAGCGCAGGGGGCACCCGGCGGCCCACTCCCAGCAGGATGGGAGCAGGCCGTCCCCAGGCGGGCCCTTCCGTGGCTCCCGTGCCCCCAGCTGACTGAGTGCCCCGGTGCCCGAGCCGCCTCCGTGAGGGCCCCGCTTCTGCCAACACTGGCAGCTCCCTTCTCCTCTTGATATTTCTGCCAAGCTCAGGTGCTGAGTCCTGAGTCCCTGGGTACTAAGTACCATGTCCTTGGGGGTGCTGAATCCTGAGTCCCTGGGGGTACTAAGTACCATGTCCTTGGAGGTGCTAAGTCCTGAGTCCCTGGGTACTAACTACCACGTCCTTGGAGGTGCTAAGTCCTGAGTCCCTGGGGGTACTAAGTACCGCGTCCTTGCGGGTGCTGAGTCCTGAGTCCCTGGGGGTACTACCACATCCTTAGGGGTGCTGAGTCCTGAGTCCCTGGGGGTACTAACTACCATGTCCTTGGAGGTGCTGAGTCCTGAGTCCCCGGGAGTACTAAGCATCCAGCCCCTGGACACTGATTGCACGCGGCCCCCAGAGCCTGTCCATACACGTTTTCTCTACCAGGAAAGTTGCACCCCCTTCGTGGCCTTGGGCCAAGGTCACGCTCCAGGCAGATGCCCGTGTCCCCCAATAGCCTGCACCGCCCACGAGGGCTGCACACAGAGCAGGCCGCATCACCCGTGAGGGCCTGGGGGGTCATGGGTGGACGCGGGACACGGTGGTCTGACAGCTGCGGAGGGGGAGGGATGGGGGACGGAGGCAGGGAGGGGCAGACCATCCACTTAGGACCTCTCATCCCTGAGACGCACGCACCCGGCCCCAAGGCCGTCCCTGCCCTACAAGTCTGCGAAGAGCAGGCTCTCCTCTGGCCCAGGGTGGGTCTGGGAGGCCGTAGCCCACCCCTGAGTGCCAGGGGCTCCGGGGCACAGAGGCGGTGTCGTGGGGCACGAGACGCTGGCTTCCGAAGTCCGAGAGCTGCGGTGCGGGGGCGGGGAGGGGGGATGTGATGCCGTTTTCTGGCTTCTGTGCCCAGGGCAGAGGGGAGACAGTGGGCAGGCCCAGGCCCGGCGGGGGCCGGTTCCCCGCGCCCACGCGTGGCATTGGGGGGCTGGATTAGGGTTGTAGGGTTTGAAGCGACTAAAGAACAAGTCCCCAGTGAAGTTGAGCTCTGTATGAAAGGCTCTTGTTCAGTGCAAGTGCGTCCCACACAGGAACTGGGACACTCGCGCTCGGATTCAGACGTGCCACATGGCCCGTAGTTCCCCGGGCGGTACTCCAGGGAGGCTGGCTGGGCCGGGAAGGGAGGGGGCCGTCCTGAGGCTGGAGCCACGGGTCGTGGGGGGCCGGGCGGCTGCTGGCAGTGGGCAGCTAGGGAGGACGGTGCCCTGCGGGGGCAGACGGCCAGGGCCGCACGGAGCTCCTCAGCCAGGAGGCCGGGTCCCCCTGGGGCAGCGCCCTGATGTGCCAGCCTGGCAGGGGAGAGGTGGGGTGTACCAGTGGGGCCCCTGGGGTCTCGCCTGCACCTTCGCCCCGAGACATGCAGCATCCCTGCACCTCCCGGGACAGTGAGCTGGGGACCCTCTCAGCGCTGCCCGCAGCCAGGTGGACGGTCACGGGTGGTCTCACCGAGGGACAGTGTTGGCAGCCCGGGCTCTGGGCACCAAAGCCGGCGTGTGACCCGCTCTCACTGTCCCTGTCGCCACGTCCTGCAGCCCCACGGCCTCTGGCCAGCCACAGCCTGCTGCCCTCTGCGGCTGCGGGGGGGGCTGACCACACGCCCCCCTGTGCAGCGTTAGCACCTGCACGGACACCCCCACAGGGCGTGAAGACAGAGGGGGGGGCTCCCCGACGCTGCCGCAGCCCCATCGCCTGGACTCCTGTCAAATCGACGGCCCCCCAGCCGCCTGGACTCGGACGTCGCCAGCTTTCCCCCGTGTCCCTCTCAGTGCCCGTGGCTGCGCAGGGTCCCACGGGGCACGTCACCTCCCCTGCCCTCGGGCCTCCCATCTGTGCTGGTGCCGCTGTCCAGCTTCTCTGCGGCCCATTGCCCAGGCTCCGCAGAGAGGCTGCTGTTTTCTGGGGCGGAGACAGGACCATCTGCTTTAGGGCCCCCCATCACATCCCGACTGTGTTGGGGGGCCACAGCCGTCACTGCGACCTAGGGCTTCGTCACCCGGGCTGGGGGCCGTCTTCCGGGGCTCTCGTTGTCCCCTTCCCACACTTATTTCCTGTGTCAAGTCTACAAGGGAGGAGGCGGGGGAGGAAGAGAGATCCTGTAACCGCGGCAGTGCCGCCACAGTAGCTCGGGGACAGTTGGAGGGGCCCCGAGGCCGCCGTTCCTCCCGAAGAGTCTCGCCCCGAACTCCGTCCATCCGTCCCGGGTGCGGATACTCCCTGGACTGACCTCTACCCACCTCAGAGCCATGCCAGGTGGTCCCCGGGCCCCCCGCGTGGCAGCAGCCCAACCACGTTCCTGCTGCGTGGTCTCCCGCCATCCGGGATGGCACCGAGCCCTCGACTGTCCACACGCTGATGGGAATTTGGATTCTTTGCACAAGTTTTATGTGAAATAGCCGCTGGGAGCATACTCTCTCTGGGTTTTGGGGCTGGCTGGGCCGGGCTGTACCATCCAGGGTGTTCGATTTTGCTTCCCCCATTCCTGCCCGGGGACCTCCTGACCTCCATGCCGACCTGCATCGGCAAGGGTGGCAGGAGGCGGTCTGGGCACCTGACCCGTGCTCTCCCGCCTGCCCACGGCCTCTGCACCCTCCCCTCCGCGTGCTCGTCTGTGAGATCCCGGTTTCCTGCCCGTCCTCTCCTGAGGATTTCAGCAGCTCTGTGCTTCTATTTCCAAATGGACCTTTGCTGGCGTCACCCGGGGCCTCCCCACGCAGCGCCCCGCTCGCTGTGCTCCTGGCGCTGAGCCCCGCCTGGAACCACGTGCTTGTTCACCCCCAGCTTCACGCTGGCCCCCTCCGTGCTGGAGCACCCGGGCCAGGATTGAGCCCTATGCCTCTGTCTACCCTCTACCCCCAGGGTGAGGACAGCCTGCAGACCAATGGGGACGGAAGGGGACAGCTTCCCGCTAATGGAGGTCAACACCGGTGACGTGAGTCTCCACGGGGGCCCCTCGGGCTGGTCCCGCCCTTGCCCTGTGCCCTGTGCCCAGTGCCAGCCCAGCCCCGCACCTCCTCCCTCCAGCCCGAGGCCTCTGAGCCGTGGGATTACGTCCTCGTGGCTGACCGCCGAGGCCGGAGAGCTACCGGGCAGGCCCACCGGCAGCTGCAGTTCCTGGAGGAGCTCAGGAGAAAGGGCTTCCGTTACAAGGTGGGCTGGCTGAGCACCTGGCTGGTGAGGGGCGTGGCGGCCCGGGCGCCGGGGTCGTGGGGCACAGCGTGTCCTGGGGAGGGGTCTGGAGATGTGGCCAGGGCCTTGTGCCTGGAGCAGAAGGGACAGGCCAGTGGCTGTGGACAAAGTGGAGTGCGGGTCCCCCAGCGCCTCCCACCCCCAGATGATGGAAGATGGCGAGAAGGTGTTCTTTGGGATCCGAGCAGAGAGCAGGATCTTTGACCTGTACCGCACACTCCTCATGGAGCCCGAGGGTCCTGGCGCCAGGACGCAGCCCGCCGGGCCAGCCCCCATCCCAGCCAGCACCAGGTGAGAGGCTGGCCAGTAACCGGGGCCAGGAGGACCCCCACCCGCCATGCTGCTGGTCCAGTCAGGTTTCCAGGCGTGGTTAGGTCCCAGGTCCCAGGTCCCAGGGGCAGAGCCCCATGCCTCAGTTTCCATATCTGTCTGTGATAAGGGATAAAGACAGTTGTCACTTCTCGGCGTGTTCTGAAGGTTCCATGTGACTGTGTTCCCTGAAGGGTGGGCAGGATTTGGGCAGGACCAGGAGGGCCCTCCCAGCCATCCTCCCTAGCTTTGAGGCCATCTCCCCAAGACCTGGGATGTGGGTCCCATCTCCAGACCAAATGCCCCTTCCCGGACATCTGTCCCCAGCCTCACAGGCACCCAAGCCTCTTCTCTCCAAGCACCTTCTCTCTGTTGATCCTCCACCCACGCCTCCCCACGCCCCTCCTCCATCACCCTCCTCCCCTCAGCCTGGGCCCCTCTGAGCTCAGACGGGGCCTGGTGGGTTGGGGACTGGTATTTGGGATGCCTGGGGTTTGGATACGAGCCTCCTGTGAACGCAGGAGAGCTGGCTGGTCTCCGGGAGGTGCCAGGGGATGATGGCTGAGTAGAGGAGCAGGTTGGGGGCATGCCCTGGGCGCCCCGGGGACCACATCTTACCAGAAGGTGTTCTGGAGGAGTGTGGCTCTGTGCTCAAGCATCTGGCTGTGCCTGTTCCTGGTGCTGCGGCCTTGGGCAAGTTACCCAACCTCTCTGAGCCTTGATGTCCCCGTAGGGAGGGGGCTCAGAGGGCACAAGGAGGATCCGTGCATGTGCAGGCATAGGATGTGCCCTGGCTGTGCGGGGCTGCAGGTGCAGGTGTGATGGGAGGGAGCTAAGCCCCGTATCTGGGAGGGGACATTGGGGCACTGGGCCTTGGCAGGGGAGGCCTGCCCAGGGGAGCCCCATCCTGGAGCCACAGGGCGGCCAGGCTGCAGGGGGACTTAGGGAGGCGGGCTGAGCTCAGGCCATGCTGACCAGGGCTTGCGTTCCAGAATCCGAATTGTCAACTTTGTGCTAAACAACACGACGGCTGCTGGTGGTAAGGACGGGCAGGCGGGGAGGGCAGGGCACGGTTCCCCCTCCCCCCTGCTCCGTGTGACCCGACGCTCCTGTGACCACCAGACACCCTGGACAACTTGGTGAAGAGTGGGGTCTTTGAGACCAGATTCGTGCTGCACAAGGTGAGCGGCGGTGGGCAGGCGGGGGGCGGCCGGGCCGGGTGGGGTGGGCGGGCCGGGCCGGGCCGAGCCTCACCGCCTGTCCTGGCGCCCAGGGGCAGGACGACCTCAGGAAGGAGTGGGCACAGTGGAGGCGCGTGCTCCGCCCGCAGCCAATCGACGACATCAGGTGGACTGTCCCGAGGGAATCCCCGAGCCCCCCGCGGCGGGGTGTCTGCGCCCCTGGGCCCCGGCCTGCCCCGCGGCCCTGGGTGCGGCCTCACCGGGCGGCTGTGCCCGCAGGGACTACTTCGGCGAGAAGGTGGCCCTGTACTTCGCCTGGCTCGGCTGGTACACCTACATGCTGGTGCCCGCCGCCGCCGTGGGCCTCCTCGTCTTCCTCAGCGGCTTCGCCCTGTTCAACGCCAGCCAGATCAGGTGCGGGCGGGGGGGCGGGGCCGAGTGGCGGGGGCGGGGCCGAGTCGGCGGGGGGAGGGGCGGGGCTGACCCAGAGGGGGCGGGGCTGACTCGGCAGGGGAGGGGCGGGGCTGACTCGAATGGGGCGGGGCGGAGTCGGCACGGCAGGAGCGCCGGCACCCGCTCGCCACCCGCACCCGCGCCCCCGGCACGGAGAGCCGCCCGCAGCCCGCTCCCTGCACCCTCAGCAAGGAGATCTGCGAGGCCCACGACATCCTCCTGTGCCCTCGCGGCGACCACAGCCGCAGGTACCAGCAGCTCTCGGACACCTGCACCTTCGCCAAGGTCTGCCCCCGGGGTGGGGGTGGGGGTGGGGGTGGGGGTGGGGGTCCGCTCCAGCCGGCCTCCCCGGGGCGGGAAGCCGCGGGCTGCCCCTGCGGAGCTGCGCGCCCCTCCGGGCGGCGGGAGGCCCGCCCAGCCCGTGCGCCCTGCCCGCAGCTCACGCACCTCTTCGACAACGAGGGCACCGTGGTCTTCGCCATCTTCATGGCTCTGTGGGGTGAGTGTCGGCGGGCATCGGCGGGCAGCCTGAGCCCCGGGGCCGCCAGCCCCGGAACCCCGCGCCCCCTCTCTGCTCCTGTCCGCAGCCACCGTGTTCCTGGAGATCTGGAAGCGGCAGCGGGCCCGTGTGGTCCTGCACTGGGACCTGTATGGCTGGGACGAGGACCAGGTGAGGCGGCTGCTGGGCCCTCGCGTCCTCAGCCCGCCGCGCGCCCCAGTCCCCCGCGCGCCCCAGCCCCCCGCGCGCCCCAGCCCCCCGCGCGTCCCCAGCCCCCCCGCGCGCCCCAGTCCCCCGCGCAGCCCCAGCCCCCCGCGCCCTAGCCCCCCGCGCGCCCCAGTCCCCCGCGCAGCCCCAGCCCCCCGCGCGTCCTCAGCCCCCCGCGCATCCTCAGCCCCCCGCGCGCCCTAGCCCCCCGCGCGCCCCAGTCCCCCGAGCGTCCCCAGTCCCTCGCGCAGCCCCAGCCCCCCGCGCGTTCTCAGCCCCCCGCGCGTCCCCAGCCCCACCGCGCGCCCCAGTCCCCCGCGCGTCCCTAGCCCCCCGCGCGTCCCCAGCCCGCCCGCGCGCCCCAGTCCCCCGCGCGCCCCAGCCCCCCGCGTGTCCCAGCCCCCCGCGCGCCCTAGCCCCCCCGCGCAGCCCCAGCCCCCCCGCGCGCCCCAGTCCCCCTGCCCCCCCCCCTCCCCGTCTGAGCGGCCTGGTGCCCTCCGCAGGAGGAGATGGCGCTTCAGCTCATCAACCGCCAGGACTACCAGCTGCGACTGCACCAGCACTCCTACCTGAGGAGCAGCGTCATCCTCATCCTGTCTGTGCTCATGGTACCTCAGAGAGCCCAGAGCGGTGGGGGGCTGGAGACCTAGGCCCGCCTGGCCTGAGGCCCCCTGCCCGTCCCCCCAGATCTGCCTCATTATTGGCATGGCCCACCTGCTGGTGGTCTACCGGGTCATGGCCGCCGCCCTCTTCAACTCCGCCCTGCTGTTCCAGGAAGAGCAGGTGACCACGGCCGTGGTGGTGACCGGCGCCCTGTTCCACTATGTGGTCATCCTCATCATGACCAAGGTGACTGGGCTGCGGTGGAGGGAGGGCGGGCGAGGGAGCATCTCCCCTGAGCCCAAAGTAAGCCCTCTGGGCGCCCCTCCCGCAGGTCAACAAGTGTGTGGCGCTGAAGCTTTGTGACTTTGGTGAGAGGTGGGACCTGGGGTGGGGCAGCGCAGCTCCTGTCCCATGCAGGGCTGGGGCCTTGGATCCCCAGGCAGGGGAGGGCAGACAGGTGACTTGTAGGATGGGGACAGGTGAGGGATGGGCGACGGATGGCGCCCCGTCTCCTTCCAGAGAAGCCCAGGACCTTCTCGGAGCGCGAGAGCAAGTTCACCACGAAGTTCTTCACTCTGCAGTTCTTTGCCCACTTCTCGTCCCTCATCTACATTGCCTTCATCCTGGGCAGGTAAGGGCGGCCCTGCCCCCACCCCGTCCACCCCCCATCCCCCTGTACAGTGGACGTACCTGCTCGACTTTATTTTTTAAATAACTCGTGCTCAGAACGGGTGGACACCCAATATAAAAACACGTGGGGAAGCCCGCGGTGCACCCCCAGCCCCATACTCCCCACCTCCAGAGGCCACCCCCCACCACCGTGTGGCTCTTCCCGGAATTTTGCACACAGTCAAGTGCACACACACATCCCCTGTGGACATACGTGGTTTTGTCCTGTGAATAATTTTATCTTCTCTCTGTGCTGAAATGCGCTCTGGGCATCTCCCTCACACGCACGGTCGGTGAGGTCGCGTTTAAAACCACCGCAGGAGCCCTGGCATTTGGGCCGGGCCGGAGTTTCCCCTACCAGCTCCCCTGGTGACATCCGGATGATTTCCACAGTTGAGCTTTACGAGGCTGCGGTGCGTGTTGCATACGACACACGTGCGCTTCCTCGCCCCTTTCTTGTTAGTGAAATGAACATTTTTTTGGTTCAATCAATGTACTGAATTTTGTTCTGAAGAAAATCATTGCTCCATTTGTTCTGTGCGTTTGCTTACGTTGCGTGACATGCACACATATCGCCAATCAGTCCCAAACTGCAGAGGAACTTAACAAAAAACACAGGTCCTCCAAGTGTGTTCAAAGACATCAGGTAGTCCCCGGCCCCTGGCTGTGCTTGGAGACGCCCTCTAGACATCTGACCCCCTCGGGCGCACCTGTTCATGCTCACTGTCCGCAGTGTGGGACCTCTGCCCAGCTTCCAGGGGCGTCCCGAGGAAGGGGACATAGGAAACCAGATGCTCTTACTGGGCCCGATGGAGCACCTGGAGGTAGACGTCTCCCTACGGATCTCACCAAGCTGTGCTCTGAGCTGCTTCAAGCTGCCTCGGGCATCTTTGTCACTGGACTTGCTTGAGCAGTTCACTGTCACCCCTGCCTCCCCTGGTCATCCCACCCCACACAGTACCCCGAGTACCCCGTTGCATTCCTTTCAGGTGATGCGCTCCCCACCGTGCCCAATGGCTGGTCCCCCTTTCCCGCTCCTGCCCCCCCACCTTGCCCCTCCTGGACGCTGGCTTCTCCTCTTCTCCCAACCTCTGAAGGTCACAAGGCCCTGCCGTCTGCTCCCGTGACTAGAGGGGCCACCCCAAGCACGTCCCCACACGCCAGTGAGGCTCCACCCCTCCTCCTGCGGGTCTAGCTGCCTCTCCCATCCCCTCAGGGGCCCCGCAGGCCCCTGCACCTTCCCATGGCCTGGCCTCCCCCTGCGCATGGCAGCTCTGCCGTCCTGCTGCTCAGCCAGAGCCTGGGTCCCCCAAACCCCCTTCCCCTCTGGTGCCCTGCACTGGGGGGCGGGGAGGGTTAGCATCTGTGTCTGCTGGGCCTGGAGCCTCGGGGCCTCCGGATCTGAGAGACCTTCGCGCATCCACCTTCCGTGCCCTCTGCTCCCCTCTCTGGAACACCTTTTGTTTGGAAACTGGACCTTCTCAACTGACCATCTAATTTTCTTTGCTTTTTTTTTTTTTCCCTCCCACTTTTGTTCCAGATTCTGGGAGTTTTTCTCAACTGCTTTTCAACCCTTGGCTTGAATGTCTTCCTTCTGCTCACGCTCTCCAGTTCGGGGCGCCCCGTTTGACAGTCCCTTCACAGCCTTGTCTTCGCGCCACCGGGAGGCCGTGGCTTTTCTTGTCTGGGGATCTTGCCTCTTTTTTCCCCTTCTGGTCTGGTAATACTTCTCGTCCTTCCAAGTTTCTTTTATGCTCTTTCTCTAATTGGTCTCTGATTTTGGCGTTACAGGCTTTCCCTAGAGGGCCTCAATTCTTGGTCACTGTCCGTAATCGAGAAAGGTGTGTGCCGGTGGCTCTGGTCTGGGCCACATCTCTCGCGTGACGACCTCTTGCCCTGTTCATCCCTCGAAGGACACTTGTCACGTTGGTCAGAGCTCAGCTGGGGAAGCGACAGTGCAGGCTCTCAGGAGCCACTGGCTCAACCCTGCAGCCCGACTGTTTGGTGGTTCAACCCCCTAGAACCGAGCCTCTGTCTTCCTGACCATTGAGCCCGAGCCTGACTTTGGGTTTAATAGAATTTGTATTTTTTTAAAAAGATTTTATTTATTTATTCATGAGAGACACAGAGAGGCAGAAACACAGGCAAAGGGAGAAGCAGGCTCCCTGCGGGGAGCCCAATGCGGGACTCGATCCTGGGACCCCGGGGTCATGCCCTGAGTGGAGGGCAGATGCTCAACCGCTGAGCCCCCAGGCGTTCCTCGAGTTTGTATATTTTATCATGTAATGGAAAGTACGTGATTTTAAACTATGTGCATAGTTTCAGTGGGGGAAACGGGCCCTGTGTAGAACCCGTGTGAGCCGGTGGGCGGCCGGGCATGCGTGTGAGGACATGTGCCCGAGGCGTGTCTGCTGTAGGCCGGGCACCCAGCACCCAGCCCCTCTCCCTGCAGCAGGGCTTTCTTTGTGTTGCTTCCCCCCATCCCCCTACTGTCCTCCGCTCCACCCCCACTCGGGGAGGTCGTGCCACCTCCTCCAACCTGACTGTCCTTTCCAGGATCAACGGTCACCCCGGGAAGTCTGTGCGCCTGGCGGGGCTGTGGAAGCTGGAGGAGGTCAGTCTGTCCGAATGCCTGCCTCCCGGGCCTCCCCGCTCAGGGTGCTGCCTCCCTCGCCTGACGTCCCCCCGACCCCACAGTGCCATCTCAGCGGCTGCATGATGGACCTGTTCCTGCAGATGGCCATCATCATGGGTCTGAAGCAAACGCTCAGCAACTGCGCCGAGTACCTGGGCCCGTGAGGACCGCCCCTTGCCCCAGGGAGCCCTCCATGCAAGCACCCCCTCCTGCCTGCATATCTCCCGAGCCAGGGCTTCTGAGGGCCCCCGCACCCCTCCCTGACCCCCCCCACCGTTCTCATCACCCCCCAGGTGGCTGGCTCACAAATGTCGCTTGATGCGCTTCAAGCTGGGCCGTGCATCCAGGGACCCGGAGCTCAGGGTCATGCAGCACAACTACCTCCTGAACCCAGTCAACACCTTCAGCCTCTTCGACGAGTTCATGGAGATGAGTACGCGAGGTGGTCAGGGGCGCAGGCCCCACAGGCCGCAGGTTCTGGGGCAGGAGGAGGCGGGGACCAGGGGCAGGGACTCTGGTGAGTGGGGCACCTGCGGAGAAGGGTGACAGCTGCACCCCCACAGTGATCCAGTACGGCTTCACGACCATCTTCGTGGCCGCCTTCCCTCTCGCCCCACTGCTCGCGCTCATCAGCAACCTCGTGGAGATCCGCCTGGACGCCATCAAGATGGTCAGGCTGCAGCGGCGCCTGGTGCCCCGCAAGGCCAAGGACATCGGTCAGGGGCCCGACTGGGTGGCAAGGAGCACAGGCACCTCCGCGGGGGGGGAGGGTGCTGGGACCAGGTCATGCCAGTTCCCTGGAAATAACCCCTTCAGGTCAAGCCCCCTCACCCCACAGAGAGCCCCCAGCCCTGTCTCAGGCCCTGCCGAGGATGACAGGTGGTGCCCCGGCAGGAAGAAGAAGGGCTGACACTCACCCTGGGATCCAACGGAAGGGACGGGGCCCCCTGGGGACCCAGGCAGAAGAGCTGGGCTCGGAGAGCAGGGAGCCGAAGCCGGGGCTCCCGCAGCTGGGGGCAGGGACTATGACGTGGCCTCAGTGGCCCAGATTGTCCTTGCTGGAAGGCCGAGGGTCAGGGAGGAACAGAGGGGATGGGGAGCTGGATGTGGGCAGAGGGAGAGGTAAGTATGAGTGGGAGGGAGCCCCAGTCTTGGGCAGGTTAGGGGTTCTGAGCCCAGAGAGGAGCGAGCTTGGGTGCAGCTGAGGGGTTCAGGCAGAAGATGGGGGTCAGAGGAGGCCTGAGCCCCTCCTGGTCTACGTCGCCACCACGAGCCGTGGCAGGGGCAGAGGTGACCAGGCCCCCGGACCATCCAAGCTCCCGGCCCTGAGGGTGGCGGCTGGAGGGGGGGCGGGCGGTGCCAGCAGTCAGGGCTTGACGACCCGATGCCTCCCCACTGCGGTGGCCCAGGGACCTGGCTGCAGGTGCTGGAGACCATTGGGGTGCTGGCAGTCATCGCCAACGGGATGGTCATCGCCTTCACTTCTGAGTTCATCCCCCGAATGGTGTACAAGTACCATTATGGCCCCTGCCGACTGGGTGCCCAGCCTGCAGTGGAGTAAGTGGGGGGGGGAGCCTCAGACTGTCCGGGGCCCCTGGGGAACCAGCACGGCCACAGCCCAGCCCCTCGGGGAGCTCAGGGGAAGGGCCTAATGCTGCCTGTACTGTCTGTGGCCGACACGAGTGTGGGCATGGGGGGGGGCCTGCCCCCATGCCAGTCTGCTGACCCCAGGAGTGTCGGGACCCCCGTGGGGGAATTGGGGTCCACCCGAATGACTCTCCCAAGGTCAGACCCTTAGGGGCTGCTCCGTAGGAGAGGCCAGAGCACTCCTTCTCTGCGCCTCTGGCCCTCCAGGGGGCCTGCGTACCCACAGACGGGGTCTCAGAGTCTCCCCCGCAGGGAAGGCAGGCGGTGGCACCCCGCGGCCCCTCAGTCTCCCCCACGGTCCTGTGCGGCCCCACCCTCGTAGCCCCCAGCCCTGGAGAGGCCTTGGCCTGCAGCCCTCACAGCCCGGGGCCTTTCCCACCTGCAGCTGCCTCACGGGCTACGTCAACCACAGCCTGTCCGTGTTCTACACCAAGGACTTCCAGGTCCCCGTCCAGGCAGAAGGCTCAGAGAACGTCACCGAGTGCAGGTGTGGACCACGCCCCCCATCCTGGGCGCCCACCCCTGACACCCCTGACACCCCTGACCCCTGGCCCTACCCCAGGTACCGCGACTACCGTGACGCCCGGGACTACAGCTTGTCGGAGCAGTTCTGGGTCCTGCTGGCCATCCGCCTGCTGTTTCTCATCCTCTTCGAGGTGGGTGGGCCCCGGGGAGGGCGGGGGGGCGCAGCGGCTCTGGCCCCCTCCCTCACCCCTGCTGGGGCCCCGGGACCTCCCAACCGGCCCCTGCCCCTGCCCCCAGCACGTGGCCTTGTGCATCAAGCTCATCGCTGCCTGGTTCGTGCCTGATGTCCCTCAGTCCGTAAAGAACAAGGTTCTGGAGGAGAAGTACCGGGCGCTCCGGGACAAGATGTGGTAGGGGAGGCAAGGCGGGGGGCGGGGGGCGGGGGGCTGGGGCCCGCAGCGCCCGGGGCCTGATCCCCGACACTCGACACTCGCGCCTGCAGCTCCAGCTCCAAGAGCACGGACGTGTAGGAGACGCTGAGCTGCCCAAGAGGCTGAGAACCACCTGCCACCTGCCACCCCACTTGCGGCGGACGTGTGGGTCCCCGGAGTTTTGTGTGTGGGGGCCGCGGGGTCTCGTGAGCGGCACCCTGTGATCTGTGAGGGCTCAGCCCCGACTTGAACTCTGGCCCCCCACCCACAGAGCTGGGCGGGGGGGGGGGGGCGGGTGCCTCTCAGCACACACCACCAGAGGAGTGGCCCGTTTGCTGAGCCTCCCTCTGCGGGGTGGGACCCAGGGGTCCCCACCCCACCCCCAGCCTGTGGAACTTTCTTAAAATAAAACTTGTGTGTGTGTCGATTGTGGGGCTCCGGTGGGTTGTGTCTGTGCTCAGGACTGGATGAGGCACGGAAGCCCTGATGGGGAAGGGCCTGGAACGTGGCGGCGTCCTGGTCGTCCTCCCCTCCTGTTGGGCTTCCAGGTGAGGGGCGCCTGGTTCAGGTCCTGCCCTCCCCGCACTGGGGATTTAGGGGCAGGAGGCACTGGCAGGCTTCCTGGAGGAAGAGATGGGGGAGGGGCAGAGCCACCCAAGGTGCCCCTGGGGACGGTGGAAGCTCTGAGGAGTCCCCCAGGTCCCGACATCCGGGCTGGTTGGGCCGGTTTGCCCTCTGCCCCCAGGCCGGGTGGTTGCGCCCGAGGCGCTGGCGGGACAGACTTGGGCGCCCCGCGGGACTCTCGGTCCGCCCTCCGGGCCTGGCTGCTGGGCGGGGCTGCACCTGCCGCCGCCGCCGGGCTCGTCGCCGCTGCGCACCTGGCCCAGGTGAGACGTCCCGCCCCCGCGCTCGGGCGAGCCCCAGGTCCCGGCAGCAGGTGAGTGGCCCAGGCCCGCGGGGGGTGGAGGTCGCTGGCTCCCGGGAGCCGGGGCTACGCTTGCAGCTTGCGGGGCGGGGACGGGGGCTTGACCCGAAGGGCCCGGGGCCGCGACGGGCGGGTCCCGCAGGAAGTGGCTCGGAGCCGGGTCGGCCGCCCTCGTCGCCCGGAAGCCTGAGTGTGTCCCCGTCGCGGCCCCTGGGGCTTGGCGGCGGGGCGGGGCGGGGGGGCGCTAGGTCCGCTTTGCCCCTCCGCCCGGCGGGGGCAGGGGCTTCCCCGCGACCTTCCCCAGGACGAGGTGGGGGAGTCCAGGCGCGGGCCCGGCGTCAGCCCGCAGCTCGGACGCCGGCCCCAGGGCCCCGCGGCTCCGGGACGCACCGAGGGCCTGGCTGGGCGGAGCCTCCGTCCTGCGCGCCCCCGCCACCCGCGCGCGCCGCCACCTGTCACCGGGTCCCTCCCCGCCCCCTGGGCCCGCCCCGCCACCCGCGCGCGCCGCCACCTGTCACCGGGTCCCCCCCCGCGCCCCCGCCCGCCCCCTGGGCGCTCCCCGGCCTCCGCGCGCGTCCCTCCCGCAGCCGCGTCCCCGCCCGGTGCTCCCGCCCGCGACCCGCCTGTCGCTGCCCCCGGAGGGCGGGGCACCACGACGTGTGGGCCCCCTTGGGCAGTGGAGAGGACGGGAGCCGGTTGTGGCCGCGGGCACAGCCTCAGCGCAGGCCCTTCCTTGAGACAAGGCGGGGGCGCAGCGAGCGGGGCGCGGGGGGGGAACGAACACGCGAGGCTCTGGGTGCTCAGCAGCAGATCAGATGGTGGGGGGCGGGGGGGGGCGGGGGTCGCCTCCCGCCGCTTGCGCACGAAACTGGAGCTTTCTAGGAACTGGGGGGGGGGGGATAGCCAGGATTCCGAAGGGCGGCCTGTGCCCGTGCAAGGCCCCGAGGGCTCGATGCGTCCACCCTGGAGCGTGGGCCTGGGGTCAGGGTCAGGGGTCAGGGCGGGCTCTAGCTGCAGAAACAGAGCAGAGGCCGCAAGGCTGCTGGGGCCTCCGCTTCCTGCCTGGGTGCTGGAGGCAGGTCGCCAGCTGCTGTGGGAGCCAGTCTGGGCATCAGGCCCACGGGGCTCCCTCCAGGAGGGGCTGGCACGGTAGCTCAGGCACATCCCGGAGACCGAGGCCCAGTGGGGTCAGGGTGCAGTCAGGACTTCCTACAGCTCCGTGGGCTCCGAGCCCAGGATGCACCATCACCCAAGGGTCTCGCGGGCCTGGGGCTGGGGGGGGGCGGGGGGTGAAGAGCAGGGCTGGGACGGGGGAAAGCCAGTACTGAAGATGGCCTGGGTAGGTGAGGTCAGGGACGCAGCCTGAAGGGGCCTAGCGCCCGATTTCTATGGGGAGTGATACCAGCCATTGTTGCTGGGCCTCCAGTCCCAAGTCCATCTGGGCCTGGAAGTCTGTGGTGTGAGGAGATGCCGGCTGCCTCCAACCTGGGTTCGGGGCCCAGGAGCCTCTGTCCAGGACTTTCTCTGTCCCTAATCTGGAAAAGAGGGGGACTGTCCTCGCATCCCACCCTGAAGGGAGGGTCCACGTGATACCATAGCCTCCCTTTAGCTGCTCAGTGTTTGGGGACTCTATGGGGGAAGTGGATAGGGAGGGGGCCCAAGAGCTCTGCCCAAGGCCCAGTTAGTGGCAGGAATTTCCACCGGACACCCCCTCCCTGCAGCAGGTCACGGGCCAGATGCACACTGGGGGCTTACTTGGGCCCGAGGGAGCAGCCCGAAGGCCCCCGCCGTCCCGAGTGTCACATCCTAGTCAGTGCCCCGAAGCAGGCCACGGTGCCCAGCCCGCTCTCCTCATGTGTGCACAGCATGGCCCTGATGGGCAGCCTCCTTAGGAGCCCCCGCATCATGCCAGGCCCTCTGCAAGCTCCCCTCCACCCCCCGGGCTTGGCCTCGGGAAGTATGGGGCAGGCGTGGCCTGGGGTGGGCCCCAGAGGAAGGAGCCGCCTGACTCAGAGTTACAGGAAGAAGTGATGCAGGCAGGGCAGGCGGGGCGAGAGCCACCAGCTGCCCGCCTGCCTGGGATGGGGGAGGCTGCCTGGGTGGGGTTTGGGTCTAGGAGAGGATGTGACTGCAAAGCCAGGAAGCTACAGGGAAAGTTCTGATTAAAATACACACACACACACACACAAACAAAAGACAGGTCCTCGTGGTGCTTGGCGATGTGTCCTGGGGCCGTGGTGCCGTGGACCGGGCCGGGGGCCCAGCTGAGCAGAGAGTTTGCTCCCAAACACTCGTCAATGACCTCGATGACCGACATTTCCCCCCAGGAGGAAAGAGCCGGAACCAGGTGACTTTGTGTACTCCCCCGCGGCTCCGCGTGAGCCTGTCCTCATCGTGGACACCGTTGTGGCCTGCGGCCGGTCCTCAGAGTCAGGCTTGGCTGAGGGGAGGCCTGGAGCATGTGTGGGCACGTGTGTGTGTGTCTCTAAGAGCAGGGGCGACAGGAGGCTGTCCGTTTGCACTGGCAGCTAGGGTAGGTGTGAGGTGCAGGTTTTGTGCAGGTGCTCGGGGCTCTGCACCCCGGGGGAGCTGTTGCGAGTGTGCATGAGGCCAGGAGAGTACCGGAGGTGGGGGGAGTGTGCATGTCGGCACACAGAGCGAGACAGGAATTTAAGGCAGGTGTGTACGCGGAGAGGGCTGTGTGTGCATGGGGTGTGCAAAACAGGCTACACAGGGGACAGTGTGCAGGGGGGTGTGCAGGGCGAGGACACCTGTCCCTGCTTGTGTAGTTTGGCCTTAACCTCCAGGAAGGCCCGAGGCTGCCTTTCCAGGGGTAAAAGCTCTTCTGATCTTGAAGACGTGGAAGGGCCATCTGTGGCCACCCACAAAGTGGACAGAAGTCTTTGGTTTGGGAAATGACAAGACGGGTAGGGGGGACACGGCTGTGGGAGCCTGCGGGGGCGGGCCGCTCGAGGCCTGCGCAGACTCAGGCCAGCAGGTCCCCGCTTCCCGCTCCTGCTGCTGACCGCGGCCCGGCTCAGCCTCGGGCGATGCTGTGTCGTACACGCACGTGCAAACGGGACAAACCCCTCCAGTGGGACTGTGGCTCAGAGTCCGGCAGCCCACACCTACACCACCTACTGCTGGTGGGCAAGCTTCACATGACCCCTGACCCTCAGGGCCTGCCCAGCGGCCCTCCTGGTATGCAGCATCCCTGTCCCAGGGCATAGTGGGAATGCAGCCACCTCCAGCCTCATGAGCGGTGCAGGGCTGTGCACCCCTGGTCCGTCCATGGGCCGTCGCGGTGACCCGGGAACTTGTGAGGTTCAGTCTGAGGCCCTCCCAGCCACCCGGGCCTTGCCCACTCCAGCCACGTGTAACCTGCCCCAAGTGACAGTGCTGTGCCGGTGTCACCAGCAGCCACGAGGCAGCTGCTGCAAAGTTACATGTTAACTCGTGTTGTTCTTGTTTAACTTTCTCCTTTGGGATGGCAGCAGCCTCTGACCTGTCCTGGCGCCCAGACTGACCGGCCGCAAAGACAGAGAGTGAGTCTTGCCCACCCCCTGGGGGACCAGTCTGCTCAGCCAAGGAGCCCCGTGGAACCGGGGGGTGGCACCAGTGCCCAGCCTGCCTCGAGGAGGCCCCGGCCAGACCATGGCAGGTAGATGGGTCAGAGAGGGACAGGCACGGGCCCCACTCCTACCTCCTGTCCCTCAGGTTGGCTCCACACTGCCAGGTTGTCTGGGCTCTCAGCCTGGTCTCCAGCCGAGGGTACAAAGGCTTAAGCTTGTGCCTCCCACATAGCCCGAGGTTGTGACCCCACGATTAGGACAGGCCCAGAGGCCTCTCCTGCCCAGAGCCTCCAGACCATGGTCAATGGGGTCAGTAAAGCCCAGGGACACTAGGAGTGGGAGATGCTGGGGGGCCCAGGGGCAAGGTGGGTAGATGTGGGCCGCTGAGATGATTTATGGTCACCAGGACTCTTTACCCTGATTTAAAAATCAGAAAATTTAGGTCTCAGGGAGAAAGCTTGCCGGTGGCCAGAAGTATCGGGCCCTGCAATCCCGCGCTCCCATCCCAGGAGGAAGGTGCTGACATACTCATTGCCTGAGCCCCCAAACCACCAGAGTTCACGCTTGCCACTGCTCCCCGCGCACAGCACCTCCAGGCAGGGCGAGGAGCCTGGCCGCGCATGGGGTGGACACTGCAGCCGTGGGCAGCAGATGTACACAGAACATGTGGGAGCTGGGCTCATGTCCTGGGGGACAGGCAGCCAGGTGGGCCCCACTGGGTGGGTCGGCTCAGCTATGACTCTGGCTGCTGCCTTCTGGGGTCCCCTCTGAGGACAGAGCAGCCACCTGGATGGCGGGCAGAGCAGCCCAGACCCAGCCACGGCTGGCGGGAGACCTGCCAAGTGCCAAGCCGTGTCCCCCGGGGGCCTTGTGCAGGGACATCATGTGGCCACCAAGCAACACACGCCACTGAGCATCTTGTGTTTTTCCTGGCCCACAGGCCGTCTGTGGTTGGCGGGACCCCAGCCTCCCAGGCAGGGCTAACCACTGGGTCCTCTCTCAGTAGGTGTCTGTGACAGGGCCCCTGACTTCCTCTCCCCGACTGGAAACCAGGCCCTGGGGCCCGCCCTTGGCAGTGTAGTGGCTCTGAACTGCACAGCCTGGGTGGTCTCTGGGCCCCACTGTCCCCTGCCCTCCGTCCAGTGGCTGAAAGACAGGCTGCCGCTGGGCAATGGGAGCCACTACAGCCTCCATGAAGACTCCTGGTAAGAGACAGAACTGTCGAGGGTCAGGTGACTACCCTGGTCATACCCATGGCCACCTAGATGCTGCTCTATAACCACCTGGACCTGGGCAGAGTGCCACTCTTGGCACAGATGAAGGGTTAGTGACTGCAGGGACAGGTGTCCCCCTCGGACGTGCACCTTGTGCCAGCACAATCCTATGGTCTGAATTAGGCATTCACCCCCAAAACCCAGACCCAGGATCAGGGTCGGTAAACCCAAACAGACCCTCCCCCACCAGGTTGTGGCCACGTCTCTCAGCTCGTGGACCCACTGCTCAGGGGGCCCACATCTGTAGCCTCTGGGGTTCAGTCGGACAGGTGGGACCCAGGAGCAGCCACTGACGCTCTCAGGCCCCAGGTGACAGGGTTGCGGTTGATCTCCCCAGGGTCAAGGACAACCTATCAGAGGTGCTTGTGTCCAGTGTTCTGGGGGTCAACCTGACCCATGCTGAGGACTATGGGACCTTTACCTGTGCCATCCGGAATGTCAGCTCCTCCCCCTTCACTCTTTGGAGAGCTGGTGAGTGGGGTACACTGGGTGGGAGGTAGAAGGGGAGCCTAGGGGCCACCGGGAGCTCGGAGGCTTGGAGAAGGCTGGGCGGGGGCTGCAGTGACTCAGGCTCTAGCTCTGTCCCCAGGCCCAGCAGGCCACGTGGCTGCGGTGCTGGCCTCACTCCTGGTCCTGCTGGCCCTGCTCCTGGCCGCCCTGCTCTACGTGAAGTGTCGACTCAATGTGCTGCTCTGGTACCAAGACACCTACGGGGAGGTGGAGGTGAACGGTGCGTGGGGCCGCGTCGGCTACGGGCCGCCCTAGGCTCAGGTCCCGTGCAGGCTGGAGGGGGGTCTGAGGACCCGGCGGTGGCCGAGCGCTCACCCGCCACCGTCCGCAGACGGGAAGCTCTACGACGCCTACGTCTCCTACAGCGACAGCCCCGAGGACCGGAAATTCGTGAACTTCATCCTGAAGCCGCAGCTTGAGCGGCGTGGGGGCTACAAGCTCTTCCTGGACGACCGCGACCTCCTGCCGCGCGCGGGTACCGCGGGCCCCGCCCCCCAGGCCCCGCCCCCCGGCCCCGCCCACTATCGCTCCTGGCCCCGCCCCGTCTCGCCCCGCCCTCCGTTCCCAGGCCCCCGCCCCTCGGCCCCGCCGCCATCCAGGCCCCGCCCCATCTCGCTCCGGGCCCCGCCCCGTCTCTCCCCGGCCCCCGCGCCCACCCAGGCCCTGGCCCCGCCCTCCTCGCCCCCCCCCAAGCCCCACCCACTCTCGCCCCGGGCCCCGCCCCATCTCGCTCCGAGCCCCGCCCCCGCCTCGCCCCGCCCAGGCCCCGCCCCGCCACCCGCGGCCCCGCCCCCACCCAGACCCCGCCCCGTCTTGCTCCGGGCCCCGCCCCCCGCTCCCACCCAGGCCCCGCCCCGCCCTCCCAGGCCCCGCCGACGCCCGGTTCCCGCAGAGCCTTCCGCGGACCTCCTGGTGAACCTGAGCCGCTGCCGGCGCCTCATCGTGGTTCTGTCGGAAGCCTTCCTGGGCCGGGCCTGGTGCAGCCACAGCTTCCGGTGGGTCCCGCGCCGGGGTGGGTGGGCCCGCGGCCGCGCCCCCCTGACGGTCCCGCCCCCGCAGGGAGGGCCTGTGCCGGCTGCTGGAGCTCACTCGCAGACCCATCTTCATCACCTTTGAGGGCCAGAGGCGCGACCCCGTGCACCCCGCGCTCCACCTGCTGCGCCAGCACCGCCACCTGGTTACTCTCCTGCTCTGGAGGCCCGGCTCCGTGGTGCGGAGAGGGGTGGGGGGCCCCCGAAATACGGATGGGTGGTACTTGGCCCCGGAGAGGGGCTCCTCCGTGGGCCCGGGCCCCGTGGGTGAGGGCTCTGTGGCCTGCACCCGGGGGAAGGCTTTTCTTTGAGGTCCCTGGAGCCCGGTGAGCACGTGCCTGCAGGGGTGCTCTTTGAGGCCAGGGTGGCCAGGCCAACAGCTCCATCCTGGCCCCCAGGCGCCTTCTTCAGATTTTTGGAAAGAGCTACAGCTGGCGCTCCCGCGGAAGGTGCGGTACAGAGCAACGGAGGGAGACCCCCAGACCCGGCTGCAGGATGACAAGGACCCCATGCTTATTGTACAAGGCCACCTCCCAGCGGGTCGGACCCTGCACCTGGAGCTGGATCCTGACCCAGAGGGGGACTTGGGTATGCTCACCTGGCCCCACCCCTGGCCCTGAGAAGCTTGGCCTGGATTGGGGGCGTGGTGGTCCGCAGGGCTGAGGAACCCAGAGGGGGGTCCAGGTGGAGGGGACTCCTCCCTGCAGCCCAGAGGTGGGCCTGGCCCCCCAGCACACCCTCTGTCCTGGAGGCGCTTGGGCCCAAGGCTGGCCTGGGAACGTCCAGGACCTCAGACACCACCATGCAGGAGGGCGAGCAGGGAGGGACCCATGGCTGTGGGCAGCGCAGCCTCAGGCCTGGCCCCTCTCCCCAGGTGTCCGAGGGCCTATCTTTGGGGAGCCATTAGCTCCACCACATGCAAGTGGGGTTTCGCTTGGAGAGGGCCGGGGCAGCGAGGTGGACGTCTCAGACCTCGGCTCCCGCAACTACAGCGCCCGCACAGACTTCTACTGCCTGGTGTCTGAGGAGGACGTGTAGCCCCCACCGGCCGGAACAGCAAGATCTCAAGGACAGCTGGGTGCGGGGTGGGTGGGGTTTCTCTCCTCTTAGCAGGACCACCAGCCCTGAGACCCTCAGGGAAGGGGAGCTGCTCCACTGTGCCTCCTTGTGCCAGAAAATAAAGTCCTTTTAGATCCTGCCTGGGCCTCAGCCTCTCCTCTCCGGGGCAGGAAGAGGGTATGCAGCCCCTGGGCGGGGCACCCCTTGCTTCTGTCTCAGGCTGTCCGTGGCCCTCGGCCCCTCCCCTCTCTCATGCCCGCGTCCCCTTGGTCTCAAATCTGGCCGTCCATGCAGGCCTAACTTCCATCCTCCAGCCTGAGCCAGCTCAGGGACATCTCTTGTAGTAGCCTCTTTGGGTCTGTCTGCTTGGGGGTCTGAGCGCCCCCAGCCCTGTTCTGATCCAGCCACGTCCCGGGGTGGCGGGGGGGTGGGGTGATGGTGGGCACGCCCCTTAGTCTTCAGGCTCTGAGCTTTAAGGAAGAAGCCTCTGCTTGTAAAAATAGGAGTGGGAGCTTCTCCACCAAATGGCCTGGTTTGGCGAGATGGGATCCCGGGACTCAGCTGGACAGTGTTACTCCCCAGCCAGGACCCCAGGCCCAGTGAGGCAGGGTGGAGGGAGGTGCTGGGCCACATGAGTACAGCGCAGCGGGGCGGCAGGGCAGCCCAGGGAGCTCGCAGCTCTGCAGGGACCGGTCGGCCCTCTCTGCACAAAGTCCCCAGCTCTGCTGTGACTGGGCCTCGGCTGGCATCAAGGCTCACCCTGCTGTCTGCCCCATTGCCTCCGTTCTTGCCAGCATTCCCCGCTGGACGCTCTCTCCTCCTTGTCCTGGGCATCCTGACCTGGAGAAGCTTCTGGGGATGCTCAGGGGGTGAGTATCCCCAGGGTAAGGCCTGGTTGTGCTCAGGGACGCTTCTGTGTCCCTGGGTCGGGCCCGCTGAAGAAAACTGCAGGGCTGTGTTCATGGCCACCTTTATTACCAGCACTGGCAGCTCCCACCTCTGCCCCTGTGACCTGGTCACCACCCCACGCACCAGAGCAGCCTCAAGCCCTGCCCTACCCCCTGCCCTATAGAAGCCAAGTCCCTACAACCAGCCCCCAGCCCCTCCCTGGTGTCCTGGGCTTTTCAGAGTTGCACACGGGGCTCCAGCGAGAGGCCCCAGGCCGTGAGCCTCCTCCGCTGTGCTGGCCAGCAAGCAGCGCGGAGCTGAGCCTGTCTCCTGTAGGCCGGGCTACATTGCATCCTCCTCCTCCAGGAAGGCCTCGCTATGGGCCCAGGAAGTCCTCCTTCCGATAGCCCTTCTGCAGTGGAGAGGGGGCCCAGAGTGAGGGTGCCTGCCTGCCGGGCCCTGCTCTCCCCAGGCCCCACCCTTCCTGGTCCGCTGGGCCTGGACACCTCTCTCTGGGTCTCTGGTGTCCCGTGTTGCCCACTTCCTGAGTCTGCGTGTTCCGCAGGACTTCCCATGTCCACCCCCTCCTGCTCAGCCCCCCCACCATCCCAGTGTCCTGCACCCAGGCCCTGCTCCCAGGTCCAACACTGGTGGCCCTGCCTGCCCTGGATCGCTGGGACATACCGCCCGGAAGTCCTGGTGGAGCTTGCTGTACTGCCACAGGTTGGCGAGGAGGCTGGAGGCCGCTCGGGAGGACTTCTCACTGTCGGGGCTGGGGGGGTGGGAGGAGTCAGCAGGGTACAGGTGGCCACGAGGGAGGTGCGGACGGTGGGGGGACGTGCCAGCCACGAGGCAGGTGCGGACGGTGGGGGGCTCACCTGTCCCGCTTCTTCTTGATGAAGACCAGCTTTCGGAGCCCGTCGAAGTAGAGCAAGTCCCGGGCGGCGATGGGACTGGCCACCACCAGGTTGTTCAGCACAGCTATGATGTTGACCAGCACGTCGGCCGGGGGACACTTCTCGCCCACGCTGCCAGGAAGCTTCTCAATCAGGTGACTCACCACCTTGGTGGCTGCCGGGAGGTCGGGAGGTTGGGAAGCCAGCCTCCACCTGCACTCCCGGCCACCTTAGCGCTCCGGTCCCCCCCACCCCCCACGGGCTTCCCCAGCGCTGCTTCCCAGAGGCCAGCCCAGGAAGTGCAGGTGTCAGCCCGCAAGCCAGCAGGGTGAGGGCAGATCGGGCGCCGGCCCCACTCACACATCTCGTCCTTGTTTCTGGCGTTCCGAGACAGGTTTCGGATGAGGCCGGTCAGTGAGCGCAGCTGGTGGTGGTCGGCGGTGCGAACCCGGTCGAGCAGCGGGTTCAGGATGCGCTCCTGCTCCAGGGCCAGGCGGCTCAGCACGCCTGCCCACTGCGGGTGCGAGGGCAGTGGTGAGGGCAGCCGGCCAGGCCAGCTCTTGTCTGTCCCTCCGTCCCCCGCGGAGCCTCCCCGCGTGACCTGGCTCGGCCTGCGCCTACGGCCCGCGCGTACCCAAATCCTCGGCCGCGCCTTTGCGGGTTGCCCCCTGCCCTGTCCCTCCAGCCGCACGTCCCATCCCTCCCACTGGTGCCTCAGCTCCTGCCAACCCCCGAGGCCCCCTGCCGTCCCTGCTCGGTGCCCCTCACCCTGCGGTCGCCCGCCGTGATGTTCTGCAGTGCCCCCGCGGCCGCCTCGGTTGTGTGCGGGTTGAGCTCGCAGCGCTGCAGCAGCCGGTTGTACAGCCCCACGATCTGGGGGCTCCACAGCCACTCGAGACCCTTGGGGTCCTTAGACACCTCAGCGAAGGTGAGCGCGTCGGCCGTGAGGGGCAGCTGGGGGCAGGCGCAGAGGGTCAGCTGGGCGGGCCCAGGCCCCACTCCCTTCCCCCTCCCCGCGGCCCAGCGTGTGCCCACCTCTCGCAGCCGCCGGCTCTGAGGTGTGAAGCAACCCACTACCTCGCCGGGGGGCGCCCCCGCCGCATCCCTGCGGCCCCTGCCCTCCAGCCGCTGCAGGGCCGAGGGCGGCATCTCATCGTACAGGCGGTAGGACAGGTTCCGCAGCACGCACACGGCATTCTCCACGCTCTGCAGAGGGCAGACCCCGGTCAGAGTGGGCTGGGAGCCCCCCGGGCCCTGAGGCCGCGGCCGCCTCTCACCTTGTCCTCACACTTGCCCACGTCCAGGGCGTGGTTGATGTAGGTGACCAGGGCATCCACGAGCCCGTGGCACTCGCGCATCTTCTGGCGAGTAGCCTGGGAAGCTGAGCTGAGGTTCCTGCAGGCGGAGGCAGGTCAGAGGCCCCCCAGCGGGAACCAACCAAGGGCTGCGCCCCTGGGACCCAGGCCCCCTCTGTCCCCGGAGCGGGTGCTGCTGGCCCTGGTGCCTCTGAGTGCCCATCACCCAGTCGCCTGTCCGAGCGTCCAGAGTGGGGTTATAGGGTCAGATGAGCCTGCAGCCCCCAAAGCCTCGACGCCCGACATGCTAGCCACTGTCAGCTTCCTGTCCTGCCTGTGTCGGCACCCGAGCCTTGTTTCGCCAGCCCCCGGCCAGCTCCGCCCGGCCATCCTGACCTCAGAGCCGAGGGCCCCTGCTCCAGGCACCCAGCCCTCTGCCCCTGGCTGCCAGCACGGCCTGCACCTGCTCACCGTCCCCTCCCCGGCCCACCTGAGGAACCCGGTGGCATTATAGAAAATTTCGGCCTCAGAGGCGTTCTGTTGGATGAGGGGTGGCCCCCCGGCCCCTGAGAGGGGGCTCAGCACCAGGTCCGTGAGCTGCTCCAGGGTGTCCCGGGCCAGGCGGTCCTTGAGATGGTCGCTGGAGGACAGATTCCACAGGATGCCTGCGGCGGGGGTGCCGCGGCCGTGGTCAGCGACAGCCTGCTGGGCCCCGCCGGCCCCTCCAGGGGGACTGGGGCCGATGCTCCCGCTGGCCTTGGGAGCTTCACCCAACAGCCCCACTAGAAAGCCTACGTGGGACCTGCAGGTCGTGGGCCGGTGACACTACGGAGAGCACAACACTCGGGGGCAGGGATGTGCCAAAGAGGAGTGGGGGCTGAGGGGGCATGGGGACAAGGAAGAGAGGACGGGGCAGAAAGGCAGGGGGCAGCGGCGCTGGCCTGGGGCCGTGGGCGGGCAGGCCCACCTGTGACGTTCTTGCGCAGCTCATCGTCCTGCTCGCGCAGCGTCCGCAGCAGCTCGAAGATGCCGTTCTCCTCCACCAGGGCCAGCTTGTTGTCTGCGTTGTCATAGATGAGGTTGCGCATGGCGCCTGTGGCGTGGCGCTGCACCTCCTGGTTGGCGTGGTTGAAGAGCTTCACCAGGGGCACAGCCTGAAGGCTGCGGGCCTGCACACACAGCCACGTGGCTGTCAGCACACGTGTGCACATTGCACGGGCATATGTAGACATACGTGAGGACACGAGGGCGGTGCTGGTGATGGAGACAGACGCAGGTGTGTACGTGTGTGCAGGCTTCTGCAGACGCGTGTCGACATGTGCAAGCGTGTGCAGGGGCACAGACACGTGCAGAGGTGTGCAGGTGTGTGCAGAGGTGTACAGACGTGTGCAAGGACACAGACACATGCAGAAGGCATGTGTAGGCGTGTGCAGAGGTGTACAGACGTGTGCAAAGGCACAGACACATGCAGAGATGTATAGGCATGTGCAGGCATGTGCAGAGGTGTACAGACGCGTGCAGGGGGGGTGGACACGTGTAGAGGTGTACAAGCATGTGCTGGCATGTGCAGAGGTGTACAGACGTGTGCAAGAGCACAGACATGCAGAAGGCATGTGCAGGCGTGTGCAGAGCTGTACAGACGTGTGCAAAGGCACAGACACGTGCAGAGGTGTACTAGCATGTGCAGGCATGTACAGAGTTGTACAGACGTGTGCAGGACCACAGACACAGGCAGAGGTGTACAGACGTGTGCAGGGGGGTGGACACGTGCAGAGGTGTGCAGGCGTGTGCAGAGGTGTACAGACGCACAGACACATGCAGAGGTGTGCAGAGATGTATAGGCATGTGCAGGCATGTGCAGAGGTGTACAGATGTGTGCAGGGGAGTGGACACGTGCAGAGGTGTACAAGCATGTGCTGACATGTGCAGAGGTATACAGATGTGTGCAGGGGCACGGATGTACAGAAGTGTACAGGCGTGTGCAGAAGTGTACAGACATGTGCAAGGGCACAGACACATGCAGGGGTGTGCAGGCGTGTACAGGGGCATGGACATGTGCAGAGGTATGCAGGTGTGTGCAGGCATGTGCAGGGGCACGGACATGTGCAGAGGTGTGCAGGGGTATGTAGGTATGTGTAGGGGCACAGATACGTGCAGAGTGAGCAGGGGTGCTGTGTGTATGCACGTCACATGCTCCTCCCCGCGGTCTGCCAGGGAGCCCACCTGGCGTGTGCCCAGTCGGCGTGGGGGCGGGTGAGAGGTGCTCGGGGACCTGGCACGGGGGCAGGGAGGGGTCGGCAAGGGGGCCATCACCTGCTTCTTGGCCGCTGCGTCGCTGTAGCACTTGTGTTGGATGTAGGCTGCGCCCAGCACCTGGAGGTTGGGGTCCGAGGCCATGAGGTACTTGACCGCCGAGGGCAGGTCGATGTCATCAAATCTGGGGAGGCGGGGGTGGGGGTCAGCGGGGGCCCAGGGGGCCAGGCCGGGCACAGTCCCTCCCAAGCCGGCCCGCTCACCCGCTGCTGAGCCTCTGCAGGCTGCGGTGGCCGCCGTAGCTGTCCAGTCCTCGCACATCCGGCAGGTGGCCGGAGTCGGCCAGGCTCAGGCTGAGGCTGCGCACGGAGGGTGCTCGGGCCATGGGCTCCAGGGCTGCCCCCGGCGCCACCCCGGTTGCGCCACGGCTGCGGTGGCTACTCTGGAACCGCTGCAGGGTCCGCATGGCCGGTGCGCGAATGGGGCGGCCGGGCGGCCCCTCACTGGCGTCTGGCCAGTCGGGGCCCTGCACGCGGCCGCAGGCGGCCTGGCGCTCGTAGGCGAGGGCCCTATAGGCGGAGGCGGCCGGGGGCTCCAGCTGCTCAGACACGACGCTGTAGCGGTCGTCCAGCCCCACGGCCCCCAGCCGCAGTGAGCGCAGGGACAGGGTGTCGTAGTCGGCCCGGCCACCCGGCCCGGCGCGCTCGTGGAAGGATACGGGCCGGGCGGACGCCGCGGGCTGGGGGCCCCCGTACCCCGCTCCCCCGAGGGTGCTGCCGCCGTTGTGGGCAGAGCTCAGCCTGCGGCTGCAGCTCAGATCCACGGCCGAGCGGGACGACCAGGAGGCAGGGCTGTAGGCGGGCTTGGCGATGGGCCGGAAGGTCTGGGGGGGGGGGCGGCAGTGAGGGGGCGTCGGGGCGCCCCGCTCCCGCCCGACCCTGGAGCCGCCCTCGTCCCCCAGAGACCCCTGAGGATGGAGAGAGCGTTACTCACCGAGGGGTCCCCTCCGAGGCCCTGGGAGCGGGAGCTGAAGCCAGCCTGCAGGGTGTGGTAGTGACCGCGGGCCGGGCCTGCCGACGGGACGGCGTGTTGGGGCTGAGCCGCACGGCCTCCTCCAGCCTCAGCCCTGGCCGGACCTCTCCGGAGCCCCCTCCCGACCAGCTGGACCCCCCCGGCTGCCCGGTCGCCCGGGAAGTGTGCCAGGGACAGCGCCAGCTCTCCGGGCCCGGCCAGCGCGCACGCCCGGCCCCAGCCTCCAGGAAGCCACACTGACCTCCTGCGCGCCCGGCCTGGGCTGCGGACACACAGGAGTGTCCCTCTCCCACCTGGAGGAGCCACGCCCACCCCTCCAGCTCCTTGGAAGGTGGGGGTGCTGGCGCCAGCCCGACTGTGGTGAGTGGACAGACAGACGGGGTGGGTGGTGGGGGTGGAGGGGCGACTGGGAGGAGAGACGGGCAGTGGACAGGTGGGTGGCTGCTGGGGTAGAAAATCAGGCGGACACAGCGCGGGGGGTGGGTGGGCTCCAGGGTCTCTGGACAGAGGGCAGATCTGCCCCGTAGGGTCCCTGCTGGGGTCGTGCGTCCCCCTGCCATGCAGGGTGACCTCCTGGAGGGCCTCAGGCTGAGGAGCTGGCCTGGGGGGGCTCCCCTCCCAGTGCGCTCCCCAGACCCGCCCAGGTTAATGAGGCTTCTGGGCAGGGGCTATTAACCCTTTGACGCTGGTGAGCCTCAGCCTGGGGGGACCTTACTCCCACCCCCAAATTATACTCCCCCCCTAATTGGTAGGGTAGCCAGGGTGGTAATTAACCCCTCCCTGCTCCCTCCTCCACCCCATGACCCCTGGGCACCTGACTACTTAGCCGACAGAAGGCTGGGGCCCAGGCCAGGGGGGGGGGCCCGGGAACCCCGGCTGCTCGGGTGACCCTGCCCCCAGCTGGCCAGCACCCCGACGCTGTGCGGGAAGGGACCCTCCAGTGGTGGTGGGAAAAGCACGGAGCGCTGGGGCCGGGCTCCCGACCTCCTGGGATGTGCGTCTCACCGTCTACCCTCGGTCACTGTCGCTGTAGTTTGGCAAAGGTAGAGACGGTGTCTCCAGAACAGCTCCCCGAGCGCGCCGTGTGGGAGGCCCTTTAACGCACGTCCGCCCACCCCCGCGCACCCACGTGGCCTGCCTGGCACTAAGGGGCACCCCCTCCTGCGTTCCCATCAAGAGCACCTGGGTCACGTCCAGGAGTCCCTGGTCCAGGTGTCCTGGACCCGACCCCTCCCGGGTCTGTGTGCTTCCCGAGTCTGGGTGTCGGGGTGTCCGCGTCCCCGCGGACGGACGTGTGTGTCGCGTGTCTGAGGCTGTGTGAGAGCCGAGCTACGCGGCCTGGACGCGCGTGTCCCGGGTTGGCTGGCAGCGAGGCCTGGTGGGCCTGCCATGTGTCGGTGGCGCTCCGGGTGGGCTTGCGGGGGGGGGGCCGGAGTCCCCGCTGCTGGGAGGCCGCGCCCAGGGCTGCTCCCACACCCCGTGGGGCGGGGCGGTGACTCAGGGCGAGGCCTGGGTGAGTCAGGGCGCTGAGCCCCGGCGCCAGCCCTGTGGCCTCTGGCCCTCGCGCCGCCACACCCGCTGCGGCCCCTCGCGGCTGTGCCCACCGCCCGGTGCCCACCCCGGGCATCTGCTTACCTCTGGGCGCCTCGGGGGCCCCCTCGGGCTCCGCGGCCCCGTTGTGGCGGCCCTGCTGGCCCAGCTGCAGGAGGCGGGCCCGGACCTGCTCCTGGACGCGGGCGGCGCGCAACCGCTCAGCCTCGGGCCCCGGGGCACCGCGCCGGTCCAGCTGCAGGTCGGAGGGCAGCGCCAGGGAGCACACGCCGGCTTCGGGCTGCAGGGCCGACAGCAGGAAGTTACCGTCCTGCATGGCGGCAGGTGCGCCCTGGGTCCGTGGGGCCACCGGGGCCTCCTGGGCCCGAAGCGTCTTCACAGCCCGGCCCGTCCGAGTCCCCTCCCCACTGGCCTCGCCCTGAGCCTCCGGAGACAGACGCGGCCCAGCCCCGGCGCGGCGGGGGCGGGGACACCCGGGCCAGGTGAGAGGGAGGGGCCACTGCTTGCTTAAGGTGGAATTTGGGCGGAAGAACAGGCCCACGTCGCTGTCCTCCCTCCCATTCCTTCCGCACATCCCGGGACAGAGCCGCAGGGGTCCGGGCCCTTGGGGCAGGTGCCGTCCGGATCCTGGGAAGGCCCAGGCCAGGCCCCAGGGGAGCCCCTGGCACCTCTGGGAGTCTGGAGGGGAGGGGGTCTGGGGCCAGTCCTGAGCGAGGCAGGGGTCGGCATCAGGGGCACAAGGGTCCCGGGGTGGTGCTCAGGGTGAGGGTTGGGTGGAGTTTTGGGGTAGAGGAGGGCCCTGTGGACCTTCACCCTGTGCCCAAGAGACCCCAGAAGCACACAGTTAGGCTGGCGCAGCCCCAGGCTCATGACCCTCCAGGTCTCCGGCCTGTGGACTCCAGCAGTTGGCCCGACCCCCAGCTTCTGCAGAGGCCTCCAAAGCGCTGGCTCGGCCCTCTCTGGCACCCTCCCGGCTCCTGCCCCCCGGCCGGCCGTGCAGCACAAGGCCATTCCCTACACATGAGTCAGGGCTCAGCTCGAGTCAGGGCTCAGCTCCACAGGACTGCTGCGGGGCACTGACTCAGAGGGGCCTCCTGCCTGGTCTGGGGGTGCGGGAGCTGGGCTGTGTGTCGGGGGAGGAAGAACCCAGGGGCCTGCCAGAGAGGGGTGAGGGGTCGGCCCCGGGGGTGGGGAGCGGGGCCAGGCTTGGCGGGGCTTGCCCCCAGGTTTCCCTGTGTGCTCCCACCCAGCTGGACCAGCACCTGCCGGGCGTCCTGGGTAGGCCTGGACAGAGCCCAGCATGGGGCCCTGGTGGATGAGGGGGGCAGGGGTTGAGCCACCCAGTGCTGGAGGGGTGGCAGGGTGGGGGTGGGTGACCTCAGGTACCTCCTGGGCCCCCCGAGAAGTCCCTGTGGGGCCCACTCTCTCCGCGGGAGGCCCTTACCCTGGGCCCTGACGACATTTGCCTTAATCCGTGATGGGCCTTTTCAGGGGATGTGGTCCCCGGTGGGAATGGTGCTTGGGGGTCCTTGGAGTGGTCAGCGCTGGAGAGGAAGGGCCAGGTGGGTTAGGATGGAGGGGAGGGGAGGGTCCCCAAGAAGGCCGAGGTGAGGCTGGGGGTGGGGCTGCTGGGCCGGGCAGGGTGGGGGGGTGGTGCGCAGGTGGGAGACCTACCGTGCCGGTGGTCTGGATGCTGCTGGCCCCGTGGCTCATCCCGGAGGCCACAGCTGCGGGCCAAGGGGTCCCGGGCTCCATCCCAGGCCCGGCGCGTCCGACAGGGGCGGCCTCTCACTGCAGGACGGTCCTGTGGGGGCCCTGGAGGGCGGGGTGGGAACGCCCGCACGCCCAGCTCATCAGACCGGTTGCTTTCCTGGGAGACGTGTTTTGTGTGGAAAAATCCTGGGAGACAAGTTTGTGCGGCGCCGAGTGCACCTCGAGGCACACGCCTGGCACTGGGCTGGGGCCTGCCCTGCATCTGGGGGCTCCCTGGGCCCACTGGGGCCCCACAGAGGCCAGGCCTGGCAGCCTCCAGGCCGCAGGTGGGGTCTCAAAGGGCTTGTGGGGCGGCCCTGGGCGGCAGGCCGGAGCCACAGAGGATGGAGGGCCCAGCAGGGGGGCACGGCCAGGCGACCTTCCCTGCCCCAAAGCTGAGCGGGGGGCCTCCCTGACCTCTGACCTCTGCAGCTCCCTGTTTCTGAAATCCTGGGGTCTTGGGTGTGCTCCCTCTGACCCCTGCAGGGCGGGGGGCTCTGGTCCTGGCCTGGACCGGCTACCACCACTCAGCCCCAGGCTGGGAGCCCCGTGCCCCGGCCGCCCACCTTCTGTCCACCCCAGAGCCCTCTTTCCCTGGAGCCAGTGCTTGGGGAGGGGGCGCAGGAGAATTCACGCTTAGGCTTGAGGAGGGCTTCCTGGAGGAGGTGGGTCTGTGACCAAGGGAAGATCCACCAGGGAAGGAAGAAGGCAGAGAGCGGAGCTGTCTGTGTGGCAGGGCCGGGGCCAGAGATCAGCTCCTAGCTGGGGGGCCTGGACTTTGCACTCCTCCACCTGCCTGGGCCGGGGGACCTGGGTCCTGGGAGGTCGCCTGCCCGCCCGGCCCTGGGGACCCCGCTCCCAGAAAGGTCTCTGAAGGTGGGCAAGGGACGAAGACCTGGACTGGAGGGAGGACCCCTTAGCTGGCCTCAGGGGCCGGGAGCTGGGCGCTGGGGCCTAAGGAGCAGGAGACGGGAAAGCGCCAAGATGTTACAGTCTGGGGCAGGCGGGTGGCCATGAGGGGGGCAGGCCCACAGAGGGCCCCCCCGGCGCCCGCCCACCTCCTCTGGCCGCGTCCCGCCTGCATCTCCCAGCCTCCCACGGCCTGGACTCCTCCACGGTCCTTCCTGGACCCGCCGCGGCACCACTGCCCGAGTCTGTGGGCCGGTGGCCCCCACGCCCAGCCCCCGGGGATCCCGCGTGGCACTCTTGGGACCTGGCACCCGCCGCGCCCCCGCCTCCTTCCCGCGCCTGGGCTGAGTGCACAGGTGCCCCGCGGCCCCGGCACCTCGCGTGCACCCCCACGGGCCACCCACCTGCTCCAGGACCTGTGTGCACTGGGTGCCGGTGCGGTGTGGCCAGGGCGCTGATCTGACCCCCGCGGCCACCCCGCTGCTCCCAGTGCGCCGGTGCTCAGCGGGTGGGCACCCGAGCGCCAGATGGTGGCCTCTGTCTGCTCCGGGAGGGTCTCCCCCTGCTCAACCCTTCACCTGAGTCTCTCGTGTTGTCCCACGTCCTGTCTTCCCAGGAACTGCGGGCAGCGCCGTCCTCCCCGTTCCATTTCCTCCGGGTCCACGACTCAGCTTCCTCCCTGGGCTTTCAGTGGCGGCTGCTCTTAGCTTCTGAAATTCCTAAGGTGGCCTTTATTCCTTTAACGGTTTCCTTTTTCTCTTCCATTCGCCCTCCGAGTGTTGTCAGAGTTTGATTTTCTTTGTTTTTATTGTTGATTTTTTTAAAATTATTTTTTAAAGATTTTATTTATTCGGAGAGACGCAGAGACACAGGCTGCAGGGAGCCCGATGTGGGACTGGATCCTGGGACCCCAGGGCCACGCCTTGGGCCGAAGACGGATGCTCCACCGCTGAGCCCCCTGGGAGTCCCTTAATGTTGATTTTTAAAGCAGACTTAATTTTCAGAGCAGTTTTAGGTCTACAGCAAAACCAAGAGGCAGGTGCAGAGACTTCCCCTCCCCCACCCCCTGCCCCTGCCCCCGGCCCCTGTGCCTGCCCCTGCCCCAGCCCCTGCCCCAGCCCCTACCCTGCCCCCTGCCCCTGCCCCCACCCCCGCCCCCTGCTGGGGCATCTCCCACCTGGCAGGTTGCTCAGCGAGCCTGCACAACCCCACGGGGCCCCACCACGCCCACGGTGTGCCTCAGGCTGGGGGTGGGGCTGCGCACCGTGGGCCTGGGCTCACAGGTGATGACACAGATGCGCCAGAGTATGGCACGGAGCAGCTTCCCTGCCCTGAAGCCCTCCGCCTGCCTCTCCACCCCCAGTCCTGCCCGACCCCTGGTTCCCACTGGCCTTTGTCTGGTCTTGTAGGTTTGCCTTTACGAGAACGTCCCCGGACGGAGCCACACAGCACGCAACCTCTTCAGAGCGGCTTCTTTCACTTGGCGATAAGCATTTAGGGGTGTGTGTGCGTGCGTGCGTGTGTTCTGCTCTGGGTGCTGAATACCATTCTGTGGTCTGCACAGAACTGCAGGTTACCATCGCCGGCTGAAGGGCACGCCAGCTGCTTCCAGTTTGGGGCAATTATGAGCAAAGCTGCCGTGACCCTCCGTGCGCAGGTTTTGTGCGGACACAAGTTTTCACCTCATCGGGGTAACTATCCAGGAGCGTGAGTGCTGGATTCTGGGAAGAAGTGGTTTGGTTCTGCGAGAAGCCGGCAAGCGTCTTCCAAAGTGGCTGCGCACCCTGCATGCCTGCCGCCGCTCCGCGTGTCGTCAGCGTGTGACGTCATGTCCCAGATCCGGGCTGTTTAGCAGGCGTGCGGAGGGATCGGTGTCTTGATGCTCTCATTTCCCTCGTGGGTCGTATGTGGAGCAACTTTGCATGTGCTTGTTTGCCATCTGTGCATCCTGTTCGGTGAGATGCCCGTTAAGGTCTCGGGACCATTTTTAAAATTTTTTTATTTTTAAAGATTTTATTTATTTATTCATGAAAGAGACACAGAGAGAGAGGCAGAGACACAGGCAGGGGGGAAGCAGGCCCCATGCAGGGAGCCCGATGTGGGACTCGATCCCGGGGTCTCCAGGATCACACCCTGGGCTGAAGGCGGCGCTAACTGCTGAGCCACCCAGGCTGCCCGCCTTTGCTTCTTTGTCAAAGATCAGTTGGCCACACGTATGTGGCTTCTTTCTTTCTTTTCTAGGTTTTATTTATTTATTTAACAGAGCAAGAGAGCACAGAAGGGGAGCTGCAGCAGAGGGAGAAGGAGGCTCCCAAGGAGCCGGTAGGCCGACCTGGAGCTCGACCCCAGGACCCTGAGATCACAACCTGCGCCAAAGGCGGGCGCTTCCCCGACAGAGCCTCCCAAGCGCCCGTGTGGGGCTGACCTCTCTATTCTGTTCCCTTGATCTGTCTACTTTCATCTGTATGTGGTGTTGATCGCTGTCTCTCCCCAGCCAGCCTTGAAGCCGGGCAGCGCCCTCCAACTTTGTTCTTCTCCTTCAATATCGTGTTGGCTTTTCTGGGTCTTTTTGGTTTCTTCACATAAACTTTCGAATCAATTTGTTGACATCCACAAAATCACCTGCTGCAATCGTGGTTGGGATTGCACGGACTCTACACATCAAGTTGGGAAGAGCAGGAATCATGGTAATACAGGGTCTTCCTGTTCATGAACACAGGACATTTCTCCATTTATTTAACTTTTCTTTGAGGTCGTTCATGAGTTTTTGCAGTTTTCCTCATATAGATATTCGGTGTATTTTGTTATTTTATACATAAGCTTTTTTTTTTTTTTTTTGGTTAATGTAAATGGTATCGTGTTTTGAATCTCAAGTTCTGGGGCACCTGAGTGGCTCAGGTGGTGAAGTGTTTGCCTTCCTTTCGGGCCATGATCCTGGGCCCTGGGGTTGAGCCCTGCGTCTGGCTCCCTGCAGGGAGCCTGCTTCTTTCCCTGCTTGTACTTTCTCTCTCTCTCAAAAAAATAAATAAAATACTTAAAGATTTTATTTATTCATGTGATACACACAGGCAGAGGGAGGAGCAGGCTCCCTACAGGGAGCCCGATGTGGGACTTGATCCCAAGACCCCTGGGGTCACGCCCTGAGCCAAAGGGAGACGCTCAACCTCCCTCTGAACCTCCCAGGTGCCCCTAAATTTCAAGTTCTAATTATTCATTGCTGATCTATAGGAAAGCAAGTGACTTTGGTGTATTAACTTTATATCCTGTAACTTTGCTGCAATTGCTTATTAGTTCCAGGATGGTTTGTTGTTGTTTTGCTGATTCTTTTGGATTTTTTACATAGCTGATCATCTGCAAACAAAGCCCTTTATGCGTGCATCCCTTTAATTTCCCATATGTCTAACTCTTATTTCCTTTTCTTGTCTTATTGCATTAGCTAATGTGGTTGACTCTTGAACAGCATGTGTTTGAATGGTGCAGGTCCACCTATTTGTGTTTTTTTTTTTTTTGATACAGTGCAGTACCCTAAGTGTAGTTTCTCTTCCTTGTGATTCTCTTAACATTTTCTTTTTTCCAGCTTATTTTAAAAACAGTACATAATTCATATAAAATGTGTCAAAAAATAAAAAAAATAAACAAACAATAATAACAAAATATGTGTCAACTGACAGTTTTGCGTTATTGGTGAGGCTTCCCATCACCAGTAGGCTCTTAGCCAGGTTTTGGGGGTAAAAGTTATATAGGGATTTTCGACTATGCTGGGGGTTGCTGCCCTAACCCCCCTGTATTGTTCAAGGGTCAACTGTACTTCCAGTATGACATTGAGGAGTGGTGACAGGCGTTGATCACTAATTAGAAAAAAACAATTTCAAGTGTCACCTCTGACCGTAGCCGCTGTACAGCCTGCAGGTGTTCTCTGGGACATCTGCTTCTCAGGCTTGCTTTTTCTGAGCACTGTTTACAACTGCGGGCTTGCTCAAACTTACTGTTCTCTTTCAGGGTTTAATTATCTTCTTTTTCTTTTTTGGGGGGAGGGGGCTTAATTATTTTCTACAACAGCTGCCACCAGCTAACATCCTAGACACTTTCTGTGTTGTGTCTATTGTCTGCTCCCCTCACCCTTCGCCGGAAGGTAAAGTTCCAAGAGGGCCAATTCTTGTCTCTCGTGTTCACTTCTTTTCCCTTCATGCTTAACTGCTCAACATGTACTGTGTGCTCAATAAATAATTGTTAAAATGGGTTAATAAATTATGGCGTATGTATAATTCAGATTAAATGGGGTTTCGCTTGAAATCTCCTCCTGCTTCCTGACATAATTTCTCTGAGGTGTTTGCTTCACCTGCCTGTTGTTGACGTTTCTCTTCTCTCCTCTTCTCCCTTTTGGAGAATGTATTTCTGCAGCCAGCACTAGTTTTCTTGTTATGAAAAAGAGAAGATGCCATCTGAGCTCACACTGGGGGAGAGGAGGGCAGCATGAACGAAGGGCCCTGGTAGCTTCCGAGCAGGGATGAGGCGGGTGAGCTGTGCCTGCTGCCCTGTAGGCACTTGTGCTCTCTGGACCAGCAGCACCTGTTGTGAAGCTGGTCACAGGTGACTTAGTGTCCACAAGCATCTGCTGGCCACTCTGCTCAGCGGTGGCAGGGCTGAATGTCCCTTCCAGCAGGGTCATTTCTAGAATCTTCTCAGGGCCAGACGGTGGTGTCCATCTGGTTCTTCTCTCCCTGGGATCCTTCCTGCTGCCCCGTGTTCATGGCGAGGTACGACCTGAGATAACACCTTGGGTCAACCTCACGAGGACTGTTTGGGCTGCTGGGTTGGACGGCCTTCCCACTGAATGTGAACGAGGAAGAATCACAGCCCCAAAGGCATCCAGGCCCCAATCCCTGAAACCTGTGACCGTCACCTTACGTGGCAAGAAGGACTCTGCAGATGTGGTTACATAAAGAATACTGATCGAGATGGGAGATTATCCTGGTGAACGCGTAGTCATAGGTGTCCTCACGGGACGGAGTTAGGAGGGTCGGGGGAAGATGCGACAATGGAAGCAGAGGGGAGACGCCGGGAGCTCTGGAGTGGCCAGTGTGAAAACAGCAAGCTGCTAGCTTGAGGGCAGAGGAAGAAGCCCTGAGCCCAGAACCCAAGCAGCCTCTCAGTGTGCTGAGGGTGAAGCCGGTTTGATCTTAAGGCCTCCAGGAGCTCGAGCCTGTAGAGACCTTGGCTTTAGGACCTCAGATCCCCAGAACTATGAGACGTTCTCTGCTGTCTGTGCTGGCCACAGAGATCTCCTACAGGCAGAGCACCAGCCTCCCTCCTGGGGCTGGGACCCAGCTTCTGACCACTGACACCCCCAGGAGGAGCCAGGCCTCGACAGCATCTCCACTTGTCAGTACTCACCCGGAGCGCCCAGAGCCTGAACTCCCACTTACGTGAACAGAAGTCAGATCAGCTCCCCTCCCCCCACCACGGTGTCAACCAGCTTGAGGGGGGTTTTCTGCTTCCGGCAGCTCAGCTGAGTGCTGCCCCCAGCGTGGTCCTAGGGCCCTGCCCGTTCACCTTCCCCTCCTGGGACAACAGGGTTGGCACTGACACGCAAGTTCTGTTTTCAAAAGGGAGGGCAGTGCAGTGGTCAAGTGCTCCTTCCCGGGAGGTGCCAAGGCCGTGCCCCTGCCCGAGGCCGCGTGCCTCCACCGCACCGGAGGGGGGAGGAGATCAGCCCACCTCCAGAGCCGAGGCTCCTGAGCGTGACAGGGGGCGCAGGGGGTGGTGTGGCGGCTGCAGCCGTGTGCAGGCCCTCGGGGCAGGGGCCCCGAGTACCCGAGGCCGGCGGGCTCCCTGCCGTCGCCGGGCATCGCCTCTGCCCTCCTGACACAACCAGGCAGAGGACCAGTCAGAACTAAAAAAAATATTTCATTTCATTCTGAATAAAAAACGGAACAGACATAACTCTTGGAAATCCTGAAAACAATGTCGTCGCTACGGCAAAATTTCACAGAAATCATCGCACAGGGTGTGGAGACCGGCGGGCCCCACGCAGCTGTGAAGGCTGCCTCGCGGCGAGGGGCGCGGGGTGGCCGCGCGGGCCAGGCACGGTGGTGGCGGTGCCCTGCGAGGGGCCCTGTGTCGCCCCGGACCAGGCCCGGGGCCCGGCCCCCAGCCGCCACCTCGGGGCGCAGCCAGGCGGGCGGCCTGGTCACGGGCCCCCCCCGCGGGAGCCCTTCCGGCTGCGCGTGCCCCACATGCCCCGCTTGGAGTGGTAGTGGTGGTAGAAATTCCTCAGTCGGAGCCGCTCCACCTCCAGCCCTGCCTGCAGGACCCTGGGCAGAAAGGGGTGTCAGGAGCTGGGGCGGGGTGGCAGCGCTGCCCCCGAGCCTGTAGGATCTGGGGGGTCAGGGCTCCCACCGCGTTGGGACCTGGTAGCGATGGGGGCCCAGGGCACCACAGGGGCGGCGCAGTCTGGGGACAGAGTCTGTAGGGCCCTGAAGTAGGAAGGGGCTTGGGGACTCAGAGTGGGGTCAAAGGGTCTCTCCTCGGGCAGAGACCAAGCAGGAGGACATGGTCCCCGCAGCCAAGAGGATCCCCCGGGCTTCATCTTCCCCACTCAGGGGAAACTATGGAAGCGTCCTTGGTCTCCCCGAGGGCTGGGGAGGCGCTCACCTGTCTAGGAGCTCCCAGTCCTCACCCCCCCACTGGTCGCGGAACTCCTCGGTGTTCATGCCTCCAACCCGGTCAAAGTCTGACTTGTAGATCCCGAAGAGGCCGAAGCCATTCACCTCCCAGTAACCTGGGCAGGAAGGTGCCTCTCAGACCCCTGGCCCGGCGAGCCTTCCTCCCCAGCCGTGGGAGTGGGTCTGGGACAGGGTCCCACGTCGGAGCGGCTCCTGGGGGGCACCCATCCGCGGAGCTTGTGACTAGGGTGCTGGAGGAGGCTCCTGGGGGTCAGGCGTGACCTTGGAGGTTCTGGGGGGACCTGGGCACCAGGAGGGGCACTGACGGGCCCAGGCCTGCCTCCGGGGCCTCAATTTTACCCTGGCGCAGGTGGCAGCCCTAGTGCTCTGGGGCCGCCCAGGGCATTACCGTGCGGGTCCCCCGGAGAGCTCCCGCAGCCCAGGCGCATGACCACGGGCGCGAAGGCCAGCTTGCCCTCCACACAGTGCTTGCGGATGCCGTCCAGGATGTTCGGCGGGAAGTGGATGTGCAGGTCGCACAGGAAGACGATGCTGCTGGCGTCCTGGAGGTGAAGGTCACGGAGGTCATGGAGGTCCCGCGGTGCCGTCCCCCCAGGCCCGGCCCTCTCTCGGCTCCCCGCCCGCGCGTCCCTCCCACGCACCGCCACGGCGTCCACGCCAGCTTGCAAGCCCGCGGAGCGCTCGAAGTTTCCGGTTCGCCTCAGGTACTGGTACCTGGGGGGGGATGAAGGGACGAGGGACAGCGGGCGGGAAGTCACAGGCGTGGCCCCGGGGCGCAGAGGGAACCCTGCGGCCCCCAGGAGGCGGGGGTGCGGGCATGGTTACCGGGGCAGGCGGGCGGCGCGCAGGGCCCGCTCCACATCCATGTCCTCGCTCTCGAAGTCCACCAGGATGACACTGAAGTGCGAGTCCCCGGTGCGGGCGTGCAGGGCGGCCATGTCCGCCAGGAACTGTGCCACCCAGCGTGCCTGGTTCTTCACTGGGGGAGGACGGGCCTGAGTCCACCCCAAGCGGCCTCTGCTCACCAGGCGCCCCCGTCCTGGAGCCGCCCCCCCCCCCCCCCGCAACTGGGCTCCCTCACCAGGCCCCACCCCCCCCACCTGGGCTCCCTCACCAGGCCCCGCTCCCCCGCCCACCTGGGCTTCCTCACCAGGCCACCCCCCCTGCCCCAGCGCACCTGGCACGATGAAGTGCACTGTCACGTCCTGGCGCCAGGCCAGGTGCAGCGGCCGGCAGAGCTCGGGGCGGCCGTCGGGGCGCGTGGGGGCGGGCTCGGGGCTTGGCGCGTCGGGCTCGGCGTCGGTGTCCCCATCCCCGGCATGCGCCCCGGGCAGCCGCAGGAACACGTACTCCGACAGGCGCCGGCGGCCACCCCCGCGCTCCTGCAGCTCCAGCTCCAGCAGGAAGCGGCTGCCGCGGGCCGAGTCTCGGCGCTTCTCCACGTTCACGATGCGCAGGAGCGCGAAGCGCCTGGGAAGCCGAGCGGCCTGGGTCAGCGCCCTTGGCCTGGGGGCGGGTGGTCCCCCCTCTGCTCGGTGACCCCCCCAGGCGACCGGGCTCCCTGCACCCTGGGGCCCGCCAGGGAGCTGGAGAAGGCAGGCCACGCGGAGCGCCTCTGTCCGGCGGGGGCAGCCCCGTCCGCCCTCCCCGCCACCCGGCCTCCCCAGTGGACCCGTTCCTCTAGGACGCGCTCAGGGGCTTCAGGGCCCCCAGCAGCCGCAGGACGAGGTCGAGGTCTTCAGGTGGCTTCGGAGGACCGCGAGCAGATCCTAAGTTGCCCTCCACGTGCCCTCATGCGGGCTGAGCCCCTTCCTGGTGCCCGCGTTTCTGCGCGGAGCCTCCAACCGGCTCCTGGTGCACGCCTGCCGCTCGGAGGCCCCGAGAACGTGCCTGGGCCTGCCCCTGCCCCACTGAGTGTCCTTTGTCCCCTGCCCTGCCTTCAAGCAGAGGCTGCTCACCCCGGGAAAACGGGCTCCTGCCCTGCTGCTCCCTCCTGCCTGTCCTCCCTGCGCAGGCAGTGCCCCTCACCATGGTGCCTACCTGTGTGACCCCCGAGGGGTGCCCACCTGCCCTCCCTGCGAGCTCTCCCCAGCATCAGGGACGTTCTGCTGCAGACGCCCCGGGTCTACCCACACCCTCGGTCCTGGGGCCACCCGTCCGCGGCTCTCGGGAAGCTGAGGGACCCCAGAAGCCGAGCCCCACCCGCCCACGCCGTCCGTCCCATCACGGCCTGTCAGTCCCATCACGGCCTGTCACTCGTGGCTCCTCTGGGCTTCCCATCCTGTCTACTCCTCTTCAAGGCAGGGAGACGCCGGTCTCCAACCCAAACAGGTCGAACCCCTGTCCTGCCCAGAACCTTGTAATGCAAGCAAGAAAGAGGGGGTGCTGGGCAGGTTGCTCCAGGCCCACAGTGGCCCCTCCTCTGGCCTCTGCATCCTCCGGCCCCCCTGCCTTTGCCTGCCGTGGCTAGCTGGACAGATCCTGCTCCTCCTTCAGGGCTCACACGGCTCAGAACTTTCCAGGGTCTTCTGGGGGCCCAGATGGGGCCTCCCACTCTCCACAGCACTACCTATGAGGGGGTGGGAATGGGGGTGGGGGTGGAGACAGGCCTGGGGGAGACCAGAAGGACAGGAACGGGCAGGAGCGCTGGGTCCTTCCCTGGAGTCAGAGGGAGACCCGCTTGGAAGACCCAGTGGCACGGTGCCAGGAGAGGAGGGGTCCGGGGACTCTGGGCTTGACCTTTGGCTGTGTCTGTCCCTCGAGGACAGACCCAGCTGGCTCAGACTGGTTCTTGGGTTCAGGCCCAAGGTGAGGGTGGGGTCTGGAGGTGCAGGACAGGGGAGCCGGTCCTGGGTGTGTGTGGGGGGGTTAAGCTTCTAACAGTGGACAGGTAACCTGCATCATAAGCAGCCCCAGAGAAGACAGGCAGACAAGACTCTGCCCCAGGGAGTGTGTGCGCCACTCCCGGAGCCCATGCGCCACTCCCGGAGCCCATCACCCCCGGTATGAAGGCTCCCAGAGACCAGGGCCTGCCCTCCCCTGTGCCCCCTCTCTGCACACCCAGCAGGGCTCCCCTCCCCTAAGCCCCCTCCCCCCCTTCCCTGGATCCCCCTCTCTGCACCCACCAGGGCCTGCCCTCCCCTGGCCCCTCTCCACACACCCAGCAGGGCTCCCCTCCCCCGTGCCCCCTCTCCCCCTTCCCTGCGCCCTCTCTCCCCCTCTCCTGCACCCCCTCTCCGCACACCCACCAGGGCCTCCCTTCCCCTGCGCCCCCTTGCCCCCTCCCCCTTGCCCCCTCCCCCGCACCCGCCGTGGCGCGCGTTCAGCCGCTCCATGTACTGAGCCACCACGTCCACGGCCTCGGCCTCGGGCAGCTGCAGGTTCCCCGACACGTTGCAGCGCAGGTCGTTCCAGTCGGAGCGCAGCAGCTCGAAGTCCACGGCGCCCACGCTGAACGTGCGCTGCCAGTCAATGGCGTCCTCGCGCCAGCGGCCGCGCGGGGGCCCCGCCGCCTCGTCGCTGTCCTCGGCGCCCGGGGCCCCGTCCTCGTCCGCCTCCTCCTCCTCCTGCTCGTCCTCCCCAGGCAGCTGCGGCCCGGACACCTGGGACAAGCTCAGGAAGGAAGTCACGGGCTGTGCTTCAGACGTCGAGTTCAAGCCCGCGGTGGGCGCGGCGAGGGCGGGCACGCGCGCCTGGCCTTCCCGGCTGCCCCGCGTGGCCTGCGCCTGGGCGGGGGTCCGCGTCTGCGCGGCCTGGGGGCGGCCGGTCCTGCGGCCTGGAGGCCGGGGCCCAGGCCGGGGCGGCCGGGGGGGCGCCCGCAGCTGCATGCGGGGGAGCGGCCGGGGGCGGAGGAAGCCGCCGGGGAAGGGCGGCCGCGGGGGGCTGCGCAGGCCCAGGTGCGCCAGGGCCCGAGGGGGCGCGCGCGGTCCGGGGCGCACGCGGGTCACGTACACCTTGGGCGGCGCGGGCGCGGCTCGGGGGCGCGGGGCGCGGCCCAGCAGCAGGGGCGGGGGGCGCGCGGCCCAGCTCAGCGCCCGGGAGCGCCTGGGGCTCGGCGGGGTGGGGGCCGCGGCCGAGGGGAGGCGGCCGCCGCGTGGGGGGGACGCCTCCGTGGGCTCCAGACTGTCCAGCAGCTCCCCCTCGTCCTCGTCGTCCAGGAGGTCTGCGGGAGGCACGGGTGAGCCGCCGGCCCCGGGGGCGGGGCGGGGGGGGGCGCAGGCTGGGGGCACCGGGGCGCCTGCCTCACCATCCGGGTTGAGAAAGAGGAAGGCCCGGCGCTGCACGTCGTCCTCCTCGTCCTCCTCGCCCTCCTCCTTGTCCATCTTCATGTACTTATAGAACCCGAACCTGCGGGGGGGCGGGGCATCAGCGCGGACCCTGCCCACCGCCCCTCCGGTGCGCCCCCCACCCCCCCACCCCCCACCCACCTCTCCAGGTACAGCGGCGACTCCCGGTAGAAGCATTTGTTTTCAGTCTCCATGTGAGTGAGGCGCGTGTGGTCGTTGGGGTAGACGAAGGACAGGTACACCTGCGGGCGGGGCGCAGGGCTCAGGGGACCCCGGGAGGCGGCCTGGGTCCCGGGGGCTCTCGGGCACTTACAAACTGCAGGCCCTGGTATCTCGCAATGGGAAAGTCCTTGACCACGTAGGTGGGGGCGTAGGCGCAGGGCTCCAGCACATTCTCCAGGCTGGAAGGCTCCACCCGGGGCGCTGTGGGGGCGTGGCCACAGCGTGAGTGGCAGGCTGCGCTCTGCCCTCCAAGCCCCGCCCCCGCCCTCCAAGCCCCGCCCCGCCCTCCAAGCCCCGCCCCCTGGACTGGGGGTTCCCCGGCTCACTGAGGAAGAAGGTGTCTCGGGGGTCTGGGCGCAGCATGTCAGCTCTGGGCTCCTCCTGCGGCAGGTGCCCCCCCACGTGGCTAGCTGGAGACTGGGGCACGTGTGCTACATGGTCCATCTTCAGGGATGATTCATCTGGGGGCACAGAGAGGCACGGGGGTCCCCGGAGTGCCCAGAGACCACTCCTCAGCTCTCCGCACCCGCATCCAGAGCCCCCCTCCCCACCGAGGCACTGGGCCCCTCACCTGTGTACAGGGAGATGTGAGCAGAGCCGATGACCTCAAACTTCAGGCCCGGCAAGAAGGCTCGCCACTGGGGGAGGGAGAGAGCGGTCAGGACCAAGGTGTGGGGTGAGGACGGTTACAGCTTCAAAGGAATGGGTCTTCTCTGATGTGGGCATGGGACCTAGTCGGGACAGCCCCTTCAAGGGTGCAGGGAATCCGGAGGGTGGATGGGAGGCAGGTAAAGATCCCCTCCTCTTGCTCCCTCCAGGCCCCTCCTGATGTCCCTGGCACCCCCCTGTGGCCTGCTTCCCCATTCTGCAGCCGCGGCTCTCCTAGAGGTCACCGCGGACCCTCCCAGGGCCCGCACACACACCCCTCACGAGACCAGGGTCCCCCTCTGTCCCCCAGTCTCGTCTGCAGGCTCTGTCCCTCCTCCCTCCTCCCTCCTTCCAGGCTGGACTTCCCAGGAGCTGTTCCAGGGCCTCTTCCCTTCCCAGCTCGTCCTCGGCTTCCACGAGGTCACCCCACTCCGTGCCAGCTGGGCTGGGGTGATGCCTGTCACATATGCTGGACACAGGCGACCTCCCACGGGCTGCGCTGAGCACCCCCATCCCACTCTAGTCATTACCCCACATGCAGCCAGATCGGGCCCTCTGTCCTGTGCACCCCTGCCCCCCCTCCTTTCCCACCTCCCTGGTTCAGGGACTGCACAAGACATCCCTCCCCCGGGCTCCAGGGCTGAAGGGGCTTTCCTGGAATGTAAACCCAATAACCAGGTCCTCAGGACAAAGCCAGAGCTGTCCCCACCCCCCGCCCCCTGGAGTTCTGGAGGAATGCTGGGTGTTGCCATCCTCTGCCTTTCTGAGATCTGGAATTCACCCCATGCAGCCCGTCCCAAATTCTCTCCTGAAGAGGACATACCCCCGTGAACGTGTCATCTCTCAAGACTACTCAAGCCCCACTTCCTCCACGAAGCCTCTCCAAGCAGGCGGGGGCCGTCCCTGGGGGTCTGCTTTGCCAACTGGACGGGAACATGGCGGGGGTGGGGGGAAGGGTCCGCACCACTGCCCTTTGGGGACTGCTAGGAGCAGGGAGGGCAGGGGCAGGGAGGCGATGCTCTAGGAGGCCACGGAGGGCAAGTCACACTCACGCCCACTTCCACATGGTCCGAGCCTCGGTCATCCTGTTTGTGCAGCAGCTCAAAGTAGTACCTTCGGGAGGCCATGAGCCTGGGGACATGAGGAGTCAGGGGGACATGTGGCCACCGTGTCCCAAGAACAGGGAGCCCAGAGATGGGGCACTCCGGGATGGCCCCCAGCGCTGTCTGGCCAGGACAGCACGAGGGCAGTGGTTTCAGGTGTGCTGTGTGTGCTAACGTGTGCTCACTCATGCGCACGCCCCCCCAGGCACTCACCGCTTGGGTTTGGACACCTGGGAGCTGAACTTGGTGAATTCTCCAGGTGCCGTCCACTCTGAGCCGGTCTGGGGAGCGATACAGAGGGGGTGGGGGGTGGGGGGTTCACCCTCTCCTTGGGGGCACCAGCCTCATCCAGTCCCCGTCCCTCAGAAGCTGGAGGTGACGGAGGTGGCAGGAGGCCCGCTGAAGACAGACGGGCGTGTGGGTGCAGGGCTAGGGCGGGCATGCTGTGGGGTCCAGGGTACCTTGCCCACGTAGGCCACCAGCTGGGCGCCCGCCGGGCTCTCGTCTGGGCTCAGCCAGAACTCAGAGTTGTCATCTGAAGCCACAGAGAACTGGACGTCTCCTAGGCCACAGGACAGGGACTCAGGGGGGCGTGCGGCCCTTCTGACCCCCTCCCCGGCACACCCCCACCCTCGCACCATCTCTCGCTGGGTGGATGAAGCCGAAAATCCGTAGTCCGTAGTTCTTCCACTTGGGGGACACAGCCAACTTCTTGACGGTGGTGCGGGTCTAGGGGCAGGGGCCTGTGACGTCAAAGCGCCCGCATGCCCTCCGCACGCCGCATGCCCTCCCCACGTGGGGGTGCGCCCTGCCCCCAGCACTCACGTGGGGGAAGAGCGGGAAGTGCAGGTTCCTCCTCAGATGGCCTACGGCGCCTCCACACCAGTCCTCAAAGACGTGCAGGTTCGCCTGCCCCTTGTACTGCGGGGCGGGAGGGGGCCTTACCTTGGGCAAAGTCCCCCCCCAGCGTGCCCCCGCAGCCCCACAAGCCGAGAAGCGCTCACCTCTTCCCACCACGGGGGCACCTGATGAGTGAGGTTCAGAGGGGGCGGTTTTCTGGCCCCTGCAGGGAACGGCAGGTTTGGGTCCCGGCCTTCAGACTCCAGGAGAGAAAAGGCACCGGGGTCAACGGGGTCAACGCTGAGACACGGAGGGCAGGTAGGGGTCACACAAGCACACACAGCCCGACACAAACAGCACAAGGACTGCCCTGCACGCCGCCAGCTGGAAAGCCCCAAGTCCACCGTCCCCCAGGCGACACGTCCTGACAGCCCCAACATGCCTGCCAGCCGCACCCTGGGCCAGCCTGCGAGGCACCACCTGCATCCGCACGGACGGAACTCGGGCCAGGCCACACGGGTGCCAGCCAGCCGCACCCCTGCATCCACACACCAGCCCGTGCGTGGCCTCGGGGCCTGGGCCCGGCGCAGCACATTCTTGCCCGCGGCCCCGCTCACCACCTGCTCCTCCTCTCGGCTCTCGCTGGAGTCCTCTGCCCTGTGCGTGGACAGCGCAGCACGGACGCCCCTGCCCTCGGTCACTCCGCTCAGCTTCTCACCGTCTGTGGGCGGCACGTGGGGCATCATGGGGCACAGCCCCCGCTGCCGGGGTCCGACGGGGGCACCGGCGCCTCCCGCTGTGGCCCCTCCGCGTCAGCTGCTCCCGGTACCCGCCGCCCGGTCGCTGTGCAGTTGCTCCCTGCCGGGCCCCCTCCACACCTCTGCGGGCAGGCAGCCCCTGTCAAGCCCACGCCAGGTCCAAAGGTCCACACTCATCTGGCCGCCCCACCGGGCCGTGTCCCCAGCAAGGCCCCCAGCTCTACCGCGCTGCACCCTCAGCTCTTGTCCCTCGTGGGGTTTTGTGCCCCCCCTGTCCCCCCCACCGTGTGCCAAGGGTCAGTGCCGGGCCTTGCTGTTGGGACAGCCGGCGCTTGTGCCGTAAGGTGAGGCCAGGCCCGGCTCATGGCACAGGTGCCACGTGCCGCCCTTGAGTGGGGGTTTGGGACCAAAGGAGCCCTGACCAGTCTGGACAGAAGGGGGTTGCACACGCTGGTCTGGCTGTGGAGGCCTGGGCCAGCGGGACTCTGGAGGGAGACTGTCCCCCGGGGGACCCCTTCCTAGGTCTGTCCGTGGACCCCCCACGCCCTAGCCTGCGGCAGACCACGTCCAGGCCCCCAACTCCCTCAGATTCCCGGACCTCTTGCCCGAGCTATGGACCTGAACGTCCCGCGCTGTCCCCTGGGTGGTGGGGGTGGGTGCCACACCCCAGGACCTGAGGCTCTGAAGGGAGGCTTTACTGTACCCCACCTCTGCCTCTCCTGGCGCTCCCACCCAGAGCTCCCCCATCCGGGAGCCCAGCCTCTGCTCCAGGGAGAGCCTGGTTTCAACCCCCCTGGCCTTCCTTCGAGCCAGCCCCGGGAGCTGGATTCCTGTGTGGACACATGGCCTGAGCCCCCTCTCCGGGACAGGGCAGCTGCCCTTGGTCTCCGGCCTGTGGGTGCCCGTGGTGCCTGCCCACTTGCTCCTCCTGGGTTCCTCCCTCGCCACCCTCTGTCCAGCTGGGAGATGAGCCCCTAAGAGGCTTAGGGCCAAATCCCCACAGCGTGGCCCCGATGCTCCCTGCCCACCAAGCTCAGTCCATGGGTATTAGGGGCCTTCGGCGGTGCGGTCCCAGCCCAGGCTGCCGCCACCGTCCCTACACCAGGGAAGTAGCCCCCCTGCCCCTCTCCAACGCTGCCTCCCAGTTGTCAGTGAACATAGCACTGACCCCAACACTTGAAAAGGCCCCAGGCACATCTAGCTGCTCGGCTTCTCACAAGCCCTGCCCCCGGGGGAGCCCAAGGCTGGCCAGAGGGGGGGCTGGCCAGAGCTGAGACCCGAGGGCGCCGGCCGTTTCTGGAAGGTGCCACGTGGGAGTCTGACCTTCCAGGACCCGGAGCGGCTCCTGCTCACCCAGGAGTAGCGAGGGCAGTCTGGCCAGTGTCCCAGCCTCTCTGCTGGGGGAGCTGAGGGCAGACAGGGACTCAGAAATGGGGTTCCCACCCCCCCACCCCCTCCCGGTTGCTGAGCTAGACTCCCCAGCTGCTCAGGAAGTCAAGTTGGGGAGGACTGTGGTCGCTTGAGAAGCCACAGAGGTGGCTGGGGAAGGGAGGCCGGTCTTGTTCTGTGTCACCGGGTCACGCTCTGGGGTCTTGCCTTGTTTGCTGATAGCTGGGGGAGGGGGGCCTCTTTTAGGGACTCAGCCTCTCAAGAGTGGTGGCTGTGAGGTGTGTAGACTCAGGGGGTTGGGACAAGCTCCAGGCTCTGGGCCTGGAAGATCTGGGGGGCCCGGTGTCTAGGCACAGGAGGGGTGGCCGTGGCTTCGGCAGCTGGGAGGCAGGAGTGGGAACAGGGAGGCTTGGACTCCTGGGTGGAGAGCGCCCTGCTGCTGTGAGCCATGGCCATGGGCCTGAGTCTTCAGGAAGCAAGACTCCGTCTCTCGCCTCCCGTCCTAAGGACGCCCAGCACCCTGCCTCCTTAAGGGTTGGGGCAGTCTGCCCCGGGATGTGTGTGGGGGGTCACGCCTGCCCCGAGGTCCTTCCCTCTCCTGTCCCCCCGCCCTGCCCAGGTTCCAGGCTCTCTGCTTCTCCTCTCCCCACCGGCTTTTCAGTCCCAGCTTTTCAGTCCCAGTCCCATTCCTCCAGGTGTGTCACCACCTTCAAGAGGCCATCGCATCCCCCGAAGCATCCCCTGAGCTGCAGGAGCCCAGGAGCCCGACCCTCCCCTGCTGTCTCTCCCAACACTCCCCAGGGCCTGACTTGTTTTGTGGGTTCACTGTCCCCACTGGAGTGTGAGCTGGAGGAGCCTGGGAAAGTTCACTCCAGGCAGTTTAGGGGTCCCCAGGCTGGATCCCCGTCTCCCTGCTTCCCCTCTGCACAAAAGCATCTCAGGCCCCTGTGAGAGGTTTCCCTGGGGCATCCCGGCCAGGACGGCCCTACAGTGGCCCTACAGCGCCAGTCAGCTCCCTCCAAGCCCCTCCCCCCCCCCCCCCCCGCCCTCTCCCGGGCAGATGGGTAGACTGAGGCTCCGCTAAGGGGGCGAGGGGCGGACCTGCCAGGCCTTCTCGAAAATCCCAGCCTGCGGGGCCTGGGGGCGGGGCCTCCCAGAGCCCTCGGGAAACCCCGTCGCTCCTGGCTCCGGGTCGGATCCCCGAGTCCGCCTAGGTGGGGGGACGCTCCCCGGGAGGGTCGCGCGCGTCACTGCTGACGTCACTGGGCTCCTGGCCCGGCCGAGCCGCGCCCCCCGCCCCCCGGCGCCCCCTCCCTACCTCGCCCGTAGCCCAGCCGCTGGCGCAGCGCGCGGCCCTGGCGCACCAGGCTCAGGTGCACGTACGTGAGCCACGCGGCGCAGGTGAGCAGCAGCAGCAGCAGCAGCAGCTTGATCTGCTTGCGGACCTTCTTCACCGGGAACCACGGCATCGCGCCGTCCCCGCCCCGCCTGGGGCGTGCTCAGCGGCGCCGCTGCGGCCCCCAGTTCCCGCGCGCCCCGTGCCGCGGCTCCCGGCCCCGCATGGCCCTTTGTCCGCCGCCCGCGGCCACTCGGCGCGGCCGCGACCCCGGGCTGCCCTCGGCCGCGGGCCCGGGTGGGCGGCGGAGCGGCTCCGGCGGTGCCCCCGCCCGGCCCCGCCCGGCCGCTCGGCTCCACGCTCCTGGGGGCCGCGGCGGGACCGAGCAGCATCCACGCTGCGGTGCTACCCACCGTGAAACGGGCCCGGCCGCCGCGCGGCGCCAGCCAACCGGGGCCCGGGCAGCCCGCGGGGAGCCAATCCGCGGCGCGGGGGGCGGGGCCGCCGGGGTAGGGTGTGCCCGCCGCTCGTCTCCACGCAACGCGCGCGCATCCACCTGGGCGCGCGGCGCGGGGGCGCGGGGGGCGCGGGGGGCGCGGGGGTGCAGGGGGCGGGGGCGCTGGGGCCCGGGGGTCCTGGGGCGCAGGAGTCTGGGGGCGCGGGGGCGCGGGGACCCGGGGGCGTAGGGGTCCGGGGGCGCAGGGGGGCGCGGGGGCGTAGGGGTCCGGGGGCGCGGGGGTCCGGGGGCGCAGGGGGGCGCAGGGACTCGGTGCAGGGGCGCGGGAGTCCGGGGTCGTGGGGGCGCGGGGACCCGGGAACCCAGGGGCGGAGGCCAGGGGTGCAGGGGGGCGGGCGTGGGGACGGGAGAGGTAGAGGGCCAGACCTGGTGGCTGGCCGTGGGTGCAGAGTCCCCCCGAGGGGCACGCGGGGGAAGCGGAGCTGCAGAGGCCTGGGGGAGCGGGCGTGTGGGGATGGAAGCGCGGGCTATGGGGTGGGGACACAGGGAGCAGAGGACTCCAGAGAGGAAGCAGGGGACACCAGGGCCTCAGGGGATGGGGGGAAAGCTGCCCAAAGGCTGCAGCCTGGTCTTGGAGTCGAAGCAAGGCTCTGGAAAATAGAGCAACCCGGAAGGACTGGGGCTCAAAGGACTGAAAAGGGGAAGGGAATTTTGGGGAGACACAGGTGGTAGGTGATGGTGGTGGGTGAGTGGGCAGGATGGGTGGGGGGCTTGCGAGGGAGTGAGACGTGGGAAGTTCTCAGAAGCACATGGCTTCATCCTGGGGGGCCAGGCCTTTCCTGGCCCAGGTGGATGGGCAGCAGAGGGCAAGGGGGTGGCCTCCGGTGACGACAGAGTCGAGGTGGAGAGCTGTGCAGGCGGCCGGGCAGGACGCAAGGGGGGTGCATGGCAAATCTCTTCCACTTCCACTTGGGACGTGAGGGCTGGGCCCTGGGGTGCCGCTGCCACAGGGCTGGGGTGGGAGGCCGAGTGGGTGGATGATGGGCTTTGCCCCTTCCTCCCTCTGTCCCCCCCCAGCCACCAACCTCAACCTTCTCTCTTTATTGCTTCCTCTGTGTGTCCCAGCTTCATGTCACTGCGAACCACAGCAGGCCAGCGTGAGTGCTGTGAGGCAGCTGGTGGGTCCGTGGATTCTGTGGGTCAGGGCGTTAGGGCCCCACAGCCTGTCCTTGCTTTATGATGTGGTTGGCCTCAGGGGGAAGGAATAGATGCCGCCGTGACCCTGCCGGCAGAGCCGGGCCGGCTGCATTCTTGTGAGGTGCTCAGCCCGCAGGTCACCCAGGGCGCCTGCATGCGGCCTCTGGAACCCCGAGGGCAAAGCGCCTGTTGGGTCCCTGCCTGTTGGTTATGCCACAGGCTGTCACGCGCCACCCAGGTTTCAGAGGAGGGACGTGGACCCCACTGCGTCCTGGACACATTGTGCAGGAAGTTGCAGTCTGGCTGTGACATGCTGCACTGTCCTTGTGTCCTTCCCTGTTAGCTGCAGGGCCTAGAATCAAGCAGACCACATCCCACTGTCCTGGTGTCCTGTCCCTGATGCTGTGAACGATGCCGCCCTCCAAACCTCATCACCCCCCTGCCCCGTTCCTGTCCTGCCCTCTTCCAGTCCACTTTTCATATTTATCTGCACACATTAAACAGACCAAATCGCCCGTGTTGTGAACATCAGCATCAGTGAGCTACGTTTCTCGGCTCTTCTCCAAACCGCGTGTGTCCATGCCCGCTGGCAGGCGAGTGCAGCGGCCTTCGGGAGGCAGCAGGGCCGCGGCGCGGGTGCTGCTGCTCGCATGGGGCCGGCCAGGGCTGTGAGGACGGATGCATGCAGCCCGGACCATGAGGCGGCCTGGACCGACTGCAGAACCTCCTGGAGCCCGGGCTTTGCCGGCCGAGGTGCTGCAATAGCTCGGGCAGAGGACAGTTGCTTTCTGCTCCGCACTTCTGTCCGCGTGATGTCACCTGTGTAACAGGCCAGCGTGAGGTCCGTGGAGAGGAAAAGCCGTCCAGGTCCCCAGGGGCAGCCCTGGGTAGTGAAACCGGGGCAGGAGCAGCGGGTGCTTGGAGGCCCTGCCTGGCCAGGCTCACAGTGCGCTGTTGGCCTCTGATAGGAAGGGGCGAGTCGCCACACCGCTTGTTTCCGGTTCTCCTCAGTGGCACTGATCTCTGCACTCGCCCTGCAGGTGCCTCACTGCTCTTGCTGGACGACTTTCCCCGGGAGGGGGTGGTTCTGGGGTTGCAGTGGCCTTCCCCCCGTAACCACCCCCACCCCAGGGGCCAGGAAACCAGCCTGGGCTTCTGCTAGCCGCCAGTTATGTATTCGGCAATGGGGTGCTAGCCAGGTAGGTTCAGGGACCCTCTGGACCCACGGTGAGACGGACGTGACCAGAGCATCGTCGGTCACTTACCCTCTGGAAGCCGCTGCCCTCACTGGTGCTCACGGGGCCATTATGGGTCTCAGGAATCAACGTCGGCTCAGGGCCAGTGTCCCCGAAAAGCCTGGGATTTCTTCTTTCCCATCACAGCCCCATGGTAAGTGGCTCTGCATCCGGGGGCTTGGGGTCTGTGCACTGGTGTAAACCCGGGAGTTGGTGGGAGCCCAGGGCTTTGGATCACAGCGATTCAAGTACAACCTTTCGTGTGGACCGGATGCTGGCATCCCCTAGGTCCATGTGTTGAAGCCCTAATCCCCAGTGTGATGGCATTTGGAGATGGGATTGGGGGAGGAGGTTAGGATCAGAGGAGGTCGTGTCGGGGGGCTCTGGCCTTAGGGGATCATGTGCTAATAGGAAGAGACCGCAGGCGCCTCGCTCTCCCTCCACACACACGCACATGCACCGAGGAGAGGTCGCGTGCGCCGAGGTGCTGGCACCCGACAGCGTGGAGCCCGGCAACTCCCGCCAGAACCCCAGCGCCGGTGCCCCGGCCGGGGACATCCAGCCTCCGGAATGGAGCAAACACCCCTGTCACCAGGTGCCGTGGCCCGTGGCATTTCATTCCCTTGTACTCCCCGTGTCATGTTGAGAGCTTTTCTGCTTCTACCATCAAGGGACACTCAGCCCCGGGGTTTCCAGGATTTCTGCAGGTCAAGCATCCTGGCTGTGCGTTGGCCCCACAGTGACCGCACCCCCGGTCTCTGGGGCATGGGGGTGCCCTTGGCCCTGCCACACCGATGTCCTCAGAAACCCCATCTCGGGCAGCGATTCCCGAGGTGCCTCCTGGCCCACAGAGCTCCTCGGGGAAGCTCCCCTCTCTGCGGTGGAAAGGAGGAGGGTCCTCTGGGTCACCCCAGGGGTGCAGCTAGGAGGGAAGAGCAGATACAAACGACCACTCATGCGGCATTAAACAGAATACTTTACTTCTTTAACAATTTTAGGTTTACAGAAATAGTGAGCGGGTGTCAGCACAGAGTCCCCATAGGCTGCCAATCCCAGTTTCCCTGTTAATATTGTGCATCAGTGGGGTCCATTTCTCACAATTAATGACCCAATATTGATGCATCATTATTAACTGAAGTCCACACTCTATTTGGATTTCCTCAGTTTCCCCCTAATGTCCTCTTCCTATTCCAAGACCTCACCCAGGACCCCACATGATGTTCAGTCCTCGTGTCTCCCGAGGCCCCTCTGGGCTGTGACAGCTTCTCACGCTTTCGGGTTTTGATGACCTTGACAGTCTGGAGGAGCGGTCGGTATGCTGTAGGAGTTGCGGTATTGCAATGTGTCGGCGGTTTTTCTCCTCATTAGTCTTGGGTTGTGGGGTTTGGGAGGATGTGCGCAGAGGCCAAGTGCCACTTGCATCATGTCTTGTCACAGGTGTGCACGTTGCCGTGACTCAGCAAGTGGTGCTGCCCTGGATGGCCTGGCTGTGCGTGCTCGTGGGGGCCTCCTGCGTGACGCTGCTCACCGCCCCCTCTTCCATCCCGTGCTCTTTGGGAGGAGGGCCCTCTGCGCAGTCCGCACTAAAGGGCTGCTGGACAATGCCTCCCCCTCTGCGTAGCCACACACTTCAGTGGGAGGTTTGTCTCTTCCCTCCCACTTAATGTGTTCCACCATTTATTGACATCAGCGTGGACTCGCGGATGCTTATTTTATACTTTGGTTTATAATGCAACACCACTTTTTTAAAAAAAGATTTTATCTATTCATGAGACAGAGATAGAGTCAGAGACACAGGCAGAGGGAGCAGCAGGCTCCATGCAGGGAGCCCGATGCGGGACTCGATCCCGGGACCCTGGGGTCACGCCCTGGGCTGCCCTGTTCATTCACCTTTAAAAGACATCCTGGTTGCTCCCAGTTTTTGGTGATCATGAATAAAGCTGCTACAAATATTTGTGAACAAAGTTTTCAATTCAATTGGATAAAGACCCGAGCGTTGCCGTGAGGGGATCGTGTAGTAAGACTATGCTTAGCTTTGGAAGACACTGCTGGATGTCTTCTAACTTGGCTGCGTCCATTTGCACTCTTTCCAGGGACACCTGGGGCCCAGCGGGTGAGCGTCTGCCTTGGGCCCTGGCGTGACCCCGGGGGCCTGGGATCGAGTCCCACATCGGGCTCCTGCAGGGAGCCTGCTCCTCCCTCTGCCTGTGTCTCTGCCTCTCTCTGTGTCTCTCAGGAGTAAATAAATAAAATCTCAAAATTTTTTTTTGCATTCCCTCCAGCAATGAGTGAGAGGCCCTATTGCCCCACATCTTTGCCAGCA